GAAAGCCAGCTGTTATGGGCCTACCAGACCTATCCCCACAGAATTAAACACTTCACAACTGTTTAATTCTGTGTGGTTGGGAAGGTTAGGGTTAAGAAGAATTACAATCTTTCACTTCGTTTCCCTCATCTTGCCTCACTTTGACTTTCTTTTTCAGGTCCTACTCTTCCTATGCGTAAAATTATTCAGATTGAAAATAAATGACAGAAAAACCTTCCTTCCGGTAACATTAACTACATTCAAATGTCCGATCTGCTGAAACAGGTGCATTCAAATATTAAATCTTCGAGTTGGCTTCCTCCTACCTTTCTTCTCCTTCTGGTAGTCCCTCAACCTTTCCATCTTGGAAAACCACACAAAAATCTCTGTTGTTTGGAATCAGTGTGAAATCCTTACGGAGTTCTCACTTTTTTGGGGGGGGGAATGATTTCTGCAGGACTTAAAGCATGCAGCTGTACTCCTCTTTGCCAACAAGCAGGACCTGAAGGGGTCCATGTCGTCGGCCGAGATATCCCAACAGCTGAACCTGACTTCCATCAAGGACCACCACTGGCACATACAGGCCTGCTGCGCGCTGACGGGCGAGGGGTAAGAAAGGGTCCCGTTTATCTCTTCCCTCCCCCCCACCTGTCACCAGCCCCGTCTTGGTCATGGTAGCATTGTCCGATGCTTCACCGATAAGACCCCAGGCTCCTTGATGCCATCATTTGCATAAAAGACCGTGCATCACATTTGTAACCATTCCTTTGACCACTTTGCACTGGACGAAGTGTATTCTACGATTTGGCTATCTGTATACACTCAGGCACGGCTGTCTGGTGAAAATGCCAAGCGTGCCTGGACTCGCCTCTGGCTGACATCTTGAAACCCTAATCCACCCAATTGTTTTATACCTAGGAGAGATGGATTTGAGGAAAATTAAACATCCACCAAATAATCACCATGAGCATAGGGTCCATAGTTTACAGTACGTTTGTGCTGGCCTGAATGTACCCCTGACGACACCCATTTCTTGTGCTCTCATGTAAACTTTCCTACACGTGCGTAAAAACACCTCAAGATAAACTCAGGATTTTACAGATTTTGAAAGAGACTATTTCAAAAAAGCTGAAAATAGGGAAAAAATCCAGACAGATCTCATCCCTGACACACACAGAATCAGAGAAGTCGGTGTGTTGAACTTGGCGTGAACGGCTTGTCGTGGCAGCCAATATCACTCTTTGAGCGCATCCCGATATCTGCAGAGATCTGAGATTGAAATCCCTTACAAATACTGTTCAAATGAATCTAAGAAATCAATGTTCGGGCGTTTGACTGTACATTAAGTGTTGTCTGCTACATCTTGCTTTTTTTTTTTTGAAAATTAAAATCTTAAATGAGAAGCTACAATACTGTTGTCGAGTTGTTAAAATTCTGGCGATCTGTGACCCGTGTTTTGTTTCTGCCATTCAGGTTACTCAAAGGCCTGGAGTGGATTGCCAACCAGATTCGGAGGTGACCACCGCCAGCATCTCGGCATTATTTTCTGCTCAAGAAATAAGCAAAAGGCAAGAGTTTCTTTCAGGGAGGAATTACTTTTCTTGCTCAGAAATTGTCACAAGGTCTTCTCCTCATGATAGTATTTTAGGATTTCTGAGAAAAAGTGGGTATCTCCAATCACATTTTGACTGATAGAATTGGGAGCATGTCGTCAGGTGTTTTCAACCGTAGAACTCCCAGATTGGCGTGCGTGGCAGCCGGCAGATAAATATTTGTGCATTGACCAAACTTTGAAGTGAAAATAAAGGCAAGGCAAAGTGATTGCTGGGGTCTGGACAAATTTTTACCCTTAAAATCAGCCGAGTAACTAAATGTCTTTGCACAAATCTGGTCTTTTTTTAATGAGAACATTGGGTTTTTTAATAGGATTAAGAAGTGGCATTTTTTTTTATGGGGAAGGGGCGATCGAGGCATAGACTCTTTGTAATTCTCGTGTCAAGCCGGGACTCAATATCTGGGGGCCAGCTTCACAGTGTGGCTGGACACGAAAGATATTCACTTGGACACAAACCAACAAGCTATTGGCTAAAAATGTCGCATGATTTATACTGGCCCGGACTGGTTTTCTGTCACAGTCAGTGTAGCTTTTAGCACTTGTCTCAATTCAAGGATTTTGCAAGGTGGTCCCCAGAATTCAGGCCCAGGCTTCACGGCTGAAGATGGCTTCATGATTTTTCTCTCCTTTTGTGCCTTTCTGACGATGGTATATCTTCCACAGAATGGACGGCAACATTTTTGGGAGTGATATATGAGGCTTTAGCTATAAAAAAAAAATGAAATAGAATTTGGGAAGTAAATGGTAATGTACAGTCCATGGTATTTGTGCCCGGCAAAAACATCGACTTTCTCATGTACACGATTACACTGCCAGGTGTGATCGTCCCATTTTCCTTCCAAACAGCCGTTGAAATATTTCATTTCCTTTATTCTCATTCTATTTTTTTTTTTTAATTGGGGAAACTCTATTTTGACTTGGGAGAACTGCGATCGGTCATGTGGTTTGTATTTATTGATTGGAGTTATTGAATTTGCAGGTCCTGGTGTTAGATTTTTTTTAATGTACGTGTTTTTTTTCAACTTGTCAAAATCTTTTTGTGTCTAGTTGTAGTTAGGTTGTGCAGAACTCGATACATGTATGATGGAGTGGCTGTGCTTTGCAAGAGATACCGATTACCAGCCAAAATGTGTAATGTGCATTATGCTCGACCGGTTCTCGCCAACTTGCTCTGGCCATCCGTAATATTCTGCTGAGACGGTTCTCAGAGTCGGCCCCAAGGTGGAATGTCACTCGAGTTCAGACGTAAACATTTCTTACCTATTGTGTTGCACTTTGTTTGTGTATTCACTTATGTTAAGTGAAAGTTCCCTCGCCGTTTACTGCAACGCATCCAAAACAAATCGTCCCCCTTATCTGAGTGGAGATTTTTGAGTGTTGCCCACATCCCCTCTGCCATCTCATAAATATTTATGAATTTTTACCAAGAGATTGGCCGCCACAAACGTCTGCCAAGGAGGTGTTCCTGGATGTGTGCTTTTTATATTTGGTTGGGATAAATTTGAATGTTACTGTAGCTATTTGGAAGCATGTAACTGCAGCATTATAGTCTTCATGTTATCTTTTTTCCCCCAAGTCATAAACACTAAGCCACAAATTTCCTTGCACTTTTTCATATGCTCTCTTGACATGAGTTGAACAAATTATTCAATGACCAACTTGTGACAAGGTTTCTTCGAACAAAGCACATCTAGCTGCCCATTTATTGGAATGCAAAACTCTCCGTTTCACATTGCTTGAATTTGTTAATTCCTAATTGTCGCGTAACGGTTTCATGTTGTTTACACACTGACGGTGCTTTAGTCTTGATTCAAGACGCTGATGTTCTGTATTTAATGCATGACTACAACATAAAACTCCAAGAGGAAGGCCGTGTTGCTGACAAACAGAAACCTTGTGTGATCTTACAGTGGATTGTCGCATCACAGGTTTTGACCACCTTTACACAATTTCTGGACACAAAATGGAGGCACACTAGGGTTTACATTGGGAATTGCATGCGATACCATTTCGTCTCCACCGAAGGCTTGTTGTCACAACCCCAGTGGCCGAGTTTGTTCCCAATGACAGTCTCCTCGTGCAGGCCCCTAGTGCCACAAATTAGCGTCTTGAAGAAGAGACTAGTAGAAGTGTAACTGTCAGTGATGTGTCCACAAGCCATGTGGTAATCTTGACAGGCCCCTGCTTCGTGCAAGTATGGTGTATTTATCCTTTATGTTATTGTTTTATTGTACGCTTTGTTAAGAAGTCTTGTTTCAATGAATCACCTTGTCAGCATATATGTGAACAATAAGCCTTTTATTTGTTAAATTCGAATAAAACCTGGAGTACTAATATAATCCCCCAGACTTGAGACACTTTCTATTCCTCGTGATTCGGGCAAGCTTTTGCGTCGCGACCACCATCTCCGGAATGGACTAGTTCTTTTGCCCGCCTCTTGTCCTTTGAAAACCGTGTACTAGCTCAAGGCGTCTCTTGTGTAACTAAGCAAAAGCTTGCCCCGAATCACGAGGTATAGCAGCAGTGTCTTTGGTATGAAGAAGTTAAACTCGGTGTACCACATTTTATTCAAATTTAACTCACAAAGGCTTATTCCCCCCAGCACTCTCCCAAATCCGGAATGTGATTCAAGTTGCCTTTGTAATACAGGTTAAAGACGGTTGTACATTGCTGTAATAAATTCTGTAGCTGGTAGATATTTTAAAAAAATACCGTGGTTTGCGTCGACAAATTTTTTTGTTAAAACCCAAAGTTAGATTTCTTACTCTCGAGTACCGTCAGTAAAGTGGCAACTCTGAAAGAAATCTTGGCGCCATTTGTTGATGCCTGGGCATCGGACACCTCCCCCCCCCCCGACCGATTCAGGACAGCAAACTGAGTTAAATGGGTGGTCACTGTGGATTGTGTGGAGCTGACAGTGACCAGGGGTGCGAGTGGCCACTTGACGTGAAGGCTGAAAACCACCATGAACAAAAAGCTGAAAGGTTAGAAGTTCCCATACATTTGTACACACCCGGGCGTACAAAAAAGCTGAAATTCAGGGTCAACATCTAAACCAAAAAAAAAAAAATGAAATCAGCTAAAAAGCTGAACTCTCACACCCCTGAGTGATCAAAATTCATCCGCAAATTTCACCACACTGAGGAGCAAAACGCATCGTATTCATACTCTCACAACATTTATTCATGCAAAAGAAATATCATTTTTAAAAAGGAAAAAAAAAATCACCGTGAAGCCTTGTGTCATTGCTTTTTCTGATTTAGCATGTACATGTATTCACGTTTCCATTGCTCAGAAACTCCTAAACCTACAAGTGATACTTTATACACCGTTTTATCTGTAGTCCCTGAATCTCATTCCAAAATCTGACATTTGATGCGCAAGAAACTCTAATGCCGATTCAAACTTCCATGTGGACGAAAGTCACATTTTACCTGTAAAAAATTAACTAAATCACAGAGAACTGTCACGTGCACATTCAGAAACCGACAAATATAAACTACGTTCTATTTACACCCATAAACTAGCATTAGGATTGGTAGGCTTCTTGTATTTACAATCTTCAAGGCAAAGATCTTGTATTTTGAAAGTGAGATTTAGTTCTGTTTTTAATGTTCTTGCCAAGCGTCATCTGTATCCCCTTCCGCAGCCCTCCTAGGTATTTCTCGTTATCCTAAATGTTAAAATTAGAACGGGGCTCGGAATTACTACCTTTGGCCGTAAAAACGTTATTTACAAATCTACATACTTGTACACGTATGTTACAGTAAGCTATTTGAGAATGGAGTTCTGCACGCCGGCTCATTCAAAGATTACTCATTCTTGAACTTAAAAATCTCCAGACAAAAGACACTGTTGGAAGTTCTGGCTGTCGGCAATAGCGCATGTACCTCTGGAAGACGCTGGTTAGCGGCTGCTGCCACGTACCATAGACGTTCGTGCTACCGGTAGCCACAGCCCTTGATGTTGGACACTGGCTCGCATGTGTGAGCCAGTGTGTTACTACTTCTTAGGCTAATACCTCTTCGTTCTGAATGGCGATGAATGGTGCAAAGATCAGGCCATCAAAGCCGGAAGTTGCTGGCATGGGGCTTTGCCTTAAATCGCAGGCAGTATCGCAACTGTGTCTTAAATCTGGGGAAATTAAATTTTCAATGACCAAGTGTACAAAAAAATCAAAAAGTAACAGAACTTACGTCATTCAAATGAAACTCACAAATATTCCCATCTGTCACAGGATTTTGCTGTACATTGATGTGTTAACAAAGATGTCGCTTGTGTCACAGAGAGCCTGGTTCTCACCACTCGCTGGCCATCTTCAAACTTATTCTCACACCAGAGTCTGGGAATCTGACTCAGGTGGCTACAGATTAGAAAGACTCCGTACCTGTATGCTAAGAATGATAGTAGGTTCATCTTTCACCCGTGCATTTATCTCAGTGTCGGTGAGGCAAAGAAATGGGTTGACTTCTTGACGGTGTTCTCTGACTTGCTGCCAAATCTAAACAAAACAAAAAAAAAAGCAAAGCGCAGGGTTAAACAACAATGCAACACGACATTGGAAACGCTTTCACAGAAACATAGAACCATTTCATAGAACCATTCAAAGTCGTAGCGTAATAGTTACTATTGGGTGAAAATGTGATTTATAGTATCTTTCGGCTCATTCGTGTCATTAATTTGTAATGTCAAAACAGAAATTCACACTGTGAATTCACGGCAGTTCAACTGTGGAAAATTCCGCTGTGAGTGCTTTTCTGTGTCAAACAACGTGACCAATTTCGTGCCAAGCACGAACTGGTATTCCGGTGGCGGCAATGCGCTGTAAATCGCCACGCCATATTGCGCCGCTTGTCACGGCTAAGGTTGGGCTCAAAGAGAGGGTGCCGGAAGGGAGGGGGATTTACCTGGGGGTGAGGGGCGTCTTGGTGAAGATGGACCGCGCCTTGCTGATGGAGGAGCTGGAGGGGGTCTTCTTGCCCATCTTGCCCTGGGTCTGCGGGGTGTTGACCGGGCCGAAACGATTACTGCCACCACCTTCTGCCAAAACAGAAAAAAATGAGGAAGGAGAACCATGGAGGACGTGGAGCACAATCGTTCACCCAGAAGAACCGGAAGAATAGCAGAGCAAGAGCGAACGCAAGCGAGAAGGGATGCAAAATTGAACCTCTGGAAAAGTTAACAGGAGTGCCATGCTAAGGTTTACCGTATGAAAGCTTGAAGATGGCAAACAACAGAAAATAAAACTGAATGGTGATGTAATGTTCAAGAAAAAGCACGACTGATGCAAACCAGAAAAGCGACAGAACGTCAGACTTTTAAAATGTAAGGAAAGACAGAAAAATAGGATGTTAAAAGTGGTGCAAAGTGTCGAAGGTAAGCTTTGCTGTACACAGCACAGAGTGCACCTGAATTGGAAAAAACTTCAAGGCCATCCCAAGATGTACAAGAAACCAAATTCCAAACTGGAAGGGAAACCAAAGCCCCTTTCCAATACTTGTAAAACTGGTGTCAGTGAAATGCTCGCAACTGTGACGACTTCAGCACTTGTTGCACTCGTGTTGTCGTACAAAGACTGTGTGTCAGAAGCCTAGTGCGCATCAAAAAAAGGATACTGGTCGGTGAAAATGACTGCATTGCATCGTTTTCAACGCAATTACAGGTATTTTATAAATTTATCCTGCAAGTAAGGTGTTTCGAGTTTCAAGTATTTGTCATTTTTAAAATCCAAAAGTTGGTATTCGCTGGACTCCAACTCTTGCAGCATATATCTTGGTGCTTTTTTTTTTTTTTTCTTCAGTTTTTCGCATTCTTGTAGTCTTGGTGAGATGGCCTTTTTGTTTTTCCACAGTTCCTACTTTTCTTGAAGGAATCTTTCTTGTTCATGCTGGCGGGCGTCCGCAGTGAGCCCGGCATGCCAATGTGCCCGACTGAAATTACAAAGCAATTGCAGCACATTAGAGACGAGAAGGTGATCATCGGCGTTTGACATACGCAGGGGTGTGAGTGGCCACTTGAAATCGACGCTGAAAACAGCTAGCAAAACGCTTCAGCGTGAAAATGTTCCCATACTTTTGCACAGGCCAGGAGTACAAAAAAAGTTGAAATTGAGGGTCAACATCGGCACGAAAAAAGCTGAAATCTGTGAAAAAAAGCTGCATTCTCACACCCCTGCAAATGGGAAGGGTAAGCAGGGACCTGGTCATCTTAACACATGGATGCATTTTTGTTTTAATATCGGTGTGCAGGGCGGTGTTGACATTGGTGGAAGGTTTATGCCTCGCGATACGCGTTCTGCCCAAACTGCGCCACGCTGGTCTACAAATCTCTGAAAACAGCAATTTTGTCAGAATTCTTTTCAAATATACAAGGGCCAGCATGGATGCACTGTGAAATGGTACGTGGAAGATGCCATTCGGTCGCAAAAATGGTTGAATGCTTATTTATGAACAACTTCACGAATCTATCCGTATTGGACACTTTGCAGCAATCCTGTGCCACTTTCGTTGAACTTGAGCAGAACTTTCCAAACCAAAAATGAATCTGGGGTGGTTAGAATTGATTTCAGTAATGATTAATTGAAAAAAAAAGAAATAAACCTTCACCACGACTCTGTTTTTTTTCTGTTTTTGTTAATTCAACTAGCTGACAGCTACCAACCTGTTGGATGAGCCTCGGGTGTGCCAAAGTGACGGTTGGTGATAACGTTCATGTCGCCGGTCACAGCATTCTCCGCGTCCACGTTGACAAATGCCTTCCAGAAATCGGTGGGTAGCGAGAGCAGCCGATCAACGACCTAGAGGAAGAGAAGACATCTTGTTGAAACTCCCATGGGGGGGTGGGACAAAGTGTCGTGAGGATACGGTCTGCATAATGCCGCTGCGACACGTTACGCTATACTCTTTATCTCATCTTGTGAAATGGTGCTAATGCACCGGACCTGCTAACCAAGCCGTACTCCTTCCTGAGGTCAGGCATCACCACACAGTAGATTAAAAGGTATTCAAATGAGCCTTCGATTCATTCACAATTTTTAATCTATTGTGTGGTAATGCCTGACCTCAGGAAGGAGTACGGCATGTTGGCAGGTCTGATACACCATGGGTTCTTGCAAGCGTACTGGACGTACCGCGGGTTGCTGCTTGGTGTCGTTCAGCATCTGCAAGGGCTCGGGATCCGGCACGGCGTGACCTACGATAGTCGGCCCAAAGACGCGGGACAGGTTGACCACGCCCATCTTGCACGCTGGACTCTCGGCCACCCTGCGAGAGACGGACAGACAGTTCCCATTCACATTTTCAAATTATTTCTAACACAAGGACTGAGCAGCCATATAAAACCAAATAGAAATAACAAGAAACCGTTGCATAAAAATCCCATGGAACATGACAGAGAAACTTGAATTTTCTACACAATCTGTTCATGTTTAACAAAGCACTGTAGAGCCTCTTTTGAACCTGGATTTTTCTCAAAGTTTCAACTTTTCCAGGCCATTGAAAAAGGCACAGAAATGAAATCTATATATTTTGTTACCAGGTGCACATTTCTTTGACAGTGGTAAAATCTTCATGTTTGTGGTTGTCAACAGGGAGCCCGAGTTTATCAGCATCAAGAGTTTGATCCACTGAACATTAAAAGACATAGCAAATTAGCAAAGCACACTGCGAGCATTCAGGGGAGAAGTTTTGCCGACCTCTGCAGGTGGAGAATGATGTAGGCCAGGGTGTCCCGGTTGGGCAAGGGCAGCTCGCTGATGGCCTGGTAGGTGAAGGTGGCGCAGTCGTCCGGGTCGGGCAGGGCGGCCGCCCTCATGAAGGTCGGGTGCAGCTTGTAGGTGACCAGGGGCTCCGACAGGTTGCGCAGGAAGTCCTTGAGGAGGCCTGTCACGTTGTTGATGTCCGGGGTGCGGTCCTGGCAATCGTAAGTACAACAAGAAAGGGAAAAGATAAGCATCTTCAAACTTCAACCACGGTTTTATCAAGGATTGGAACACCGGCCTGTCCCTTCCCAGCAAATTGTTTGCACCTGACACCCTTGGTGCCACAAAGGAAAGAGAAAGATTTGTTCACCCCTGTTCAAGATTTATGTATATAATTGGAGGGGCGGTGGTAAATTTTGTGCACGCAATATTGCTGGTCCAAGACTGCATTTGCCAGCCCTCGGGACAGGCGGCCAGACGAATCCCTGTCGTGATCCGGGGATCAAGTTGATATGACAGTTGACTGACCAGGTGAAGGTCTTTGCCCAACATCGCTCTCTCTTTCAGCTCCTTGATGGCTCGCTCCGATCCTGACAGGCGGTACAGCCCCTCCTCACTCATACCTCGCCTTTCCACCTCAGCGACGCATTGGACCTGAAAGGTAAGATGGTCAAAGAATGCTGGTTTGGATCGACTGTCTTCCAATTCCAACCCCTTACCGAACCTGAACAGGAAAAGTTAAGAAGCGATGCCGTGAAAAACTATCATTTTTGGACCACCGACGGGAAATTCATTGCAGGGGAAACACTACTTGTATACACATACACATGTATTCCAACACACAAGTCGCAATCTTTAGAATTTTTCAAAAGTCTTCCAGTTTGATTTTTCAAATAATACAACAAAAGTCTTCCGCTTTGTCATTACAGATAATAAAGTAATTTCAGAGCCTTTTCAAAGTTGTCTTCTCTTGCCTTTTTTCCGCTCACGGGTTTATTTATAATGCGCGTAGAGTCAGCTTACCACCAGTGGGGGTACCATGGGGGAGGTTGATGGCGCCACATCCGAGAGCTGCGTGTTAGGGCCGTAGGGTCTGCTCTTGGTGGGCGTCAGCACCACGGGCTGACAGGGGAGCGGTGCTTCGTCCTGACAGTCGGGGTGACACACCATGCGACAGTCTATGAGAGAGTGTGTATAACAAACCATTGAGGATACTTTTACCATTGCCATAAGTCTGTTTGAACTGGATGAAATCTGTTAAGAAGTGAAATTCTGGATTTTTTTTTTTTTTTAGCGCTTACCTTTGCATTTCAGGGCATACTTTCCAAACTTGATTCTCTTCCCACACTAGACGGAAAATGAAAAGGATAATTATTTCAAACACAAAACTGGTTTAATTTAAAACACAAAACCGGAAAATAACTTAATGCTCACTCTTGGAAACATTTATATCTAAGATTACCTCAAGCCTAGCCTTGGCTGGTGTAAAGCAATGCTGGAACTCATATACGAGCATGAGCAGCTTGATAGACCCAGGCTAGCATGGACTGACATAGAACAAAATTTGGGTCAGAGCCCAACGCCAAATGACCATGGTTAAACCAATTTTCTGTGATGCATACCACACCACTTCTACTAAGTATAAGGCAACTCTAAGAAATTTGACCCAATAAACTTACTGGTTTGCACGATTCCGGCTTGAGAACCGTCTTGGTGCAGAAGGAGTGTTGCCGGGCTGCCTTGCTGGTTTTGATCGGTTCCTCCCTGTGCTGGACCACGTTGGCACTGTTCAGGGCGGCCTTGAGGTGCTGGTTCTCCGGAAGGCTCCAGAAAGAGTCATCCGGGACATTATGCTCTTCAAAACAAAACAAAAAAAACAAGAAACCGATTTCAAGATAAGTTTGTGGTTGAGTCAAGGAAGCAATATGCATCAAGAGTGTGTGGAAAATTGATGGGACAGCTTTGGATACTTCCTGTAGTCAAACCGCTACGCAGCAAAATTTGAATTTTCCAAATCATGCCAGAGTTGAGTGATTCTTCGGTCCTTGTGAATTTCAAGACTTGGAAGTGACTGTTACAGACATTCTCCAAATAAAATCCACAAAGAGCATGTAGGAAGATGTACATCCAAGATCCAAGAACCCAATTTCGCTGAAGGTGTTCCAGGCAAGTAATTATTACTTGAGGCACGACTAAAGTAACGGAACTGACCTCCACTTTTCAACAGTTCCCGCGAGGGCCTCTTCCTGTTCTTGGGCCCCGGCGGCCGGGAGAAGCTCTTGTCCAATCGCGGTACCGTCTCTATGTTCATGGCTGCTGTGATTGGCCCGTCGGCTGGCACAGTGACGGTCGTTTTGACAATAGATGTTTCCTGGAACAAGATATACGTACCAGTTTGCAAATACGAAGTGGTGTCCATAGCTCAGAGCACTCAATATTGGATTGCTTTCTGTTCGAGTGCTCTTGGCCAAACGTCAAGAAGCAAATAATCAAGACATCTGATGCTTGGCAAATTTCCACATCAAACAAAATCAACATCTGACCACTGAATGGTGCTTAACTAAACCCACAAATGCAATAATATTCACCCAACCATTTGATGGTTATCTAGGATTTTTTTTTACCCCCAATATTGATTCCAGCTTACCTTATCATTGCTGGGACTATATGTGATGTACTGCGTCTTCACTTTCTTTGGGGGAGTGTCTTCCTCGAGTGGGGGTGCACTTGGCCTCTGAGAAAATGAGAGAAAATGTGAGAAGATACGAGGAAAGGGGAGAAAATGTGAGAAAACATGAGAAATGGGGAGACCTTGGCATACTAGTATTCCCAGCAATTTGAAAAAAGGTCACGATTCCAGGCATTAACAGTCAAGAGCTCAATCTCTGGTCTTAATAGCGCACTGTAAGAATTGTCACTTAAATCTTAAAGACGGGGTATGTAGGGACACGGATAGGAAGTGCAAGAGCTCCCACCTTCTTTGAAGCTGACCGCCCACCGCCTCGCTTCCACGTCTTCCCGCCCCTCAAGTAGGACACATCCAGGTCCTCCTCTGTGTGATCGTAGCTGACATCCGATGGGGACAGGAGGTCGGCCGAGTGCTCGTGGATGGCAGAGAGGCGATTGGTGGCGGTGGGCGTGCCGCCGCCGTTCTGCTGCTCGCTGCGCAGGAAGGCCAGGCTCTCCCGGTCCTTCTCTGACAGCTGGTTCATCTTGTTGTCGGCCAGCAGCTCCCGGATCAGCATGATCTGTTGGTCCTGTTGGGTTGGCAAAACAAAGGAGTGAGGGAGTTAGCGAACTTTGCAGAACGAATCAACCTGAATGAAAGGATGAGTACGAGAACTGACAGCAGGGAGTCTACTCAGACAGCTGTAAGTCGACAGAGGAAATTTTGTCTGAAAACCGAAGAAACGTTACGTATGTATGGCGCCACAGTCATCTTAAATAAACTAAGTGTTGAGCTGTTGCAGGACATGTATACCTGAATTGACCTACTGTGCTAGAATTGCGTCAGTGCAGCTTGTGAAATTAATGTCCACTAGAAAATGGACGCAGGACGCACAAAGCTAAACAATGAAAACTCAGCATAGATAATTCCACAGGGCTGTCCACGTGGAAATGGCTAACTCACAAAGAAGTCACAGGCTGATACTACATTAATTGGAGCTTCGTTTCAAGTTAGACATGACATTTTATCAGCAGCCTCTTTGAAACCCCACGTGACCAACCGCTCGTTCTTTATACTTCAACAAAACATAACACAGTGGTAGGCTCTACACTCCTTTGCCATTCAACACACTAGCAAACCTCAATTCTGTTTAAACCATTTTTCAAAGGATCATGGGTACTTCAGGATCGCTGGTCACTTTGTGGGTGAATTGAAACTGATGAAACTCACCAGTTCGTCAGATCTAGCCTCCGCCCTCGTTCTTCTCTTCATTTCCACATCAACTTGATTTCTGTTAACAAAACAAATCAACTAAAACAGTAAAAACACGAGATGTGAGGCAACGTAAACATCAACGCGGCGTACTTCACCACTGCATTTATTGTTCAATCAGTCATAAAGTTCAAAGATCATAAGTCAGAGGGGAACCACAGACCTGGCATGTTTGAGCTTGACGTCCAGTCCGTCTTTCTCGGCGGTGATCTTGGTGATGAACTCCTGCATCCGAAGCTTCTCCTGTGATGCAGAAAGCCACTGGCGTCGACAAGAATCCTGGTTCTTGGCAAATTTGAGGAACTCTGGCAAAAGCCCACAAGTACAGAGAAGCGAATTTAAAAAAATCCCAAATTATCATGCACGTGATGCTGTGCACTGTCTTCAAGCAAACTTGAATCTTCAATTTTGATAGTCGAACCATGGTGCCAAGGTGTGGTTCACATCACACCCCATGTATCGTACTGCTCTAACTCTGCATATCTGTCTAGGATCGGGACCTAACAATTTCCTCGTTTTAAGTGGAATATTTTATTAACAGTGCTCTTAGACACAAGGTTTGCCGGTCATATCAAAGGGATCTAGGGTTGCGATATGCAACTTCACTTGTAGATTGAAAGTGGCGCTTCACCTGGTTCGCATCCTTTGCTCAACACTGACTGGTAGTGGCAAATCTCGTCGAAGGCTGCCACAATCGACATGCTACTTCCTCCGCTCATGGCTGTGGCTCTGATATTCTTTGCTGAACAACTTTCTTGATTTTGAGCAGGTGATGAACACGTCCCTGCAACATTAAGACAATTTTGACTGTGTTGAGCATAAACTTTCTACCATGCACAACTTTAGAGACTGCCCAGGAAGAACATACGTACGTAAGCTGCTTTATTATTATTATCGTTATTTATTCTTGTTTATCCCGGGTTAAAGCAGCTCAGCATAAGCTGTTCTCCACTGATGCCCATCACTTAACAGGGAACAAATTAAAATGTTTAAGACCCACGGTACGCACTGCGATCACTGTACAAATATGTGTTGGGAACGATCAGCAGATCTGCATGGTTCACAAATCACTCTGCGTGATTGGTCATTTCTGTATATCTCCAACTTTACCATCCTTTTTTGAAACAATCTTCCACAAGTGTGAATAGAAAGGACGGGCTAATGGTGGAATTATCTGATTGACAAATCATGAAATAATGACCACTATTATTAGCATGATTACAGATACTTTGAAATTTAAAGTAAAGCCGGCATTTGATTCATTGAAATAAGGCGCAAATAAGAACAAAGATTTTACAAACACATCAATTTTAAGCTTTTCAGTTAAAACCCACACTCATATTTCTGTGTATAAAATAATCACAGTTTGCTCTGCATTGCACATGTACAAAAAAATCTCAAAATATCCTCGCTTCAATTTGAAGTTCAAATTGAATTTTTTTTGCTTTGCATGGTCTGATGGAATCCAAATTCATATCAAAATATTTCTTACAACATCACCTTCAAAATAACCTCTAAAAAGAAAACAGAAAAAAATTACAAAAGTGTCTTGGCCTCCCTATAGTTGTGCCCGGCCTAGTATGGGAACAGGGTGCTAAAGGTAGGCCTAATGTCAATGGACACCTACTCCCTAGTAAATTTTTGTAACTTAAATAAACACCTCCTTGATTCCTCCTTCCCTCACCCGGCCAACCCAGCCATGATTCATCAAGTGGCCATGGCATGAAATCCCACATGCACAATGCACAAGCCATGTGACGGGTAGGCCTACCATTTCTACTCGCAACTGAACTAAACTGGCCTAGCACTGCACTGTGGCAGGCATCGATGGAAACATGGGAAAGGTGCGGCCATGGCGCGACTAACCATGCTAACAAACAACACTCCACTACCTCAATACCTGGCTACAGAAAGAAACTTGGCCAAGTTGACCCAGTTGAGGGCTTTTTAAACACCTTTAGAAATCACAAGACACATCCCTTATTATAATTACGTATCACAAATTACATTTAGTGTTTATTTTCTTTTAAAAAGGTAAAAGTGAGACGAAAGCTCTCAAAAGATTTCACCTTTGTCCACGCAAGTTCCACGAGTTCTTCCCACAAAACGGTTTTGAGTTTAGAACCCAAAATGCTCTTCCGGTTCACCTAGCCAATCAGACGATACTTAGAGTCACGTGACGTCGCGCATGCTCTATCCGAAGATTGCCGAAGTAAGCCGAGTGAAGCCGCGTTCTCATTCCGTTCGTCAATGGCCGCCATGCTGTCCGGAATAGCGAAATCCTGTTTCTCGGCAGTTAGGGCTGCAAAACCGGCGTTTTCTGCCGGTCTTGTGAGCCAAACAGCAAGAATATGTGCACCAGCAACGTATAGCTCAAGTAGGTGGAGAGATTGAAGACACATTAGTTTACTTTTATATAAAAAAGGAAGTCGCCGGTGAGGTGTAGGCCGGCAGCCCGGCGAAATTACACACAGTGGAAAAAATTCTGCAATGTCTGGGTGCGCCTCCGTTTCTACACAAGTTTATGGCAATCCCTGGGTTTACGACACCTGTTTTGCTGTTTTTTTTTACACGCTTCTTTTGTTTAATTGTTTTAGTTTATTTTTCCAAAATTACTTTTAAGCCTGGGAGACTTTGTTCCGGAAAGAGTTCATACGGACGCTGCTTGACACCCTGGCCCCTGTGTTCTGGCTATGACTCCGATATGAGTCGATAGTATTTCTAGTACTAGTAGTCGGCGTGACGTCACTATGGACTTTTAACGTATGGCAAAGGGGCAGATTTACCCTCCTTGCTATTTAATAATGTACCGGATGTCTGACCGCAAGAATGACAAGTAAAACTATGAGACTGGTTTAAAAAATTCTGTTTTCTAAGTAAAACTTTAAAGACTTGGTATTTTCCCTCCTACATTTAAATTTCCTGGACATGTTTTTGCTTTCTGACAGCTAATAGGTCACTGTAGAAAATAATTATTGGCGTCTGTACATGGAACTCTTTCCTGTATTTCTTACATTGGCATTTGTAATTCAAGGGAGAAATTGTGACTTTAAAAAAAAGTCAGCAGTCCTTCGGAAAATGAAAACATTTGTGCCTTCCCCAACAGGAAGGAACTATGTAGCAGAAGCTAAAACACAGGCCAAGACGGGCTCCACTGGCAGGATTGTGGCTGTCATTGGTGCTGTTGTCGATGTACAGTTTGATGAGGGCCTGCCTCCAATTCTCAATGCCCTGGAGGTGCAGGGACGCCCCACAAGGCTTGTACTAGAAGTTGCACAGCATCTAGGTGAGTGCTGAAGTCTTGAACAAACTGGACTTACTGGAGTATGGGTAACTTTCACATTTTTTTTTTGGCTGTAGGTTTTCTGAAGCCTTTGCTCAAAGGCACTCCCACAACCAACCCATTTGTTGGAGTGTAATGCCCAAAGGTAGACTGACCTGAACTAGCTCCACACTTGTGCCGATTGGCCGTGAGGCATGTGTACTAAATCTAGTCCTACAATGCCGTGCATTCAGGAATGGCTCGGGGATAGCTTTGACATCAGTAGCGATAGATAATTTTTGGAAAAGAATGTGTAACTTGAACTTTGTACAGAAGGAACCTTTCTTGGAAGTCACAGGACGGCTGTTGAGAAGCATCGTGCATTGTCCAATTTTCAGAACGTTTATACCGTTTCAGTGGATTTCTTGCAGGTGAGAACACATGCCGTACCATTGCCATGGACGGTACGGAGGGTCTGGTCCGAGGCGATAAGTGTCTAGACATTGGCTCCCCCATCAGGATTCCTGTCGGCCCCGAGACGCTAGGCCGCATCATGAACGTCATCGGGGAGCCCATCGACGAGAGAGGTCCCATTCCCACGGAGAGGTTAGGAAAAAGTCTTGTAAAGATTGGAATTTCCTTGTTTTTTTGTCAAAGTCCAAGTTGCCTACGTGACAAGTTCATTTTCTGACACGAGTGCCGTTTGTGAAGGAGAAATTGCCTTGCCCCTTCAAGAACAAAGGTCCTGCCCTGAAAGACTCCCACATGTTTTACCCCAAACCTCACTAAATTTAACTGGGTTGATCTTTTTTTTCCCTCCCACAGGAGAGCAGCTATCCATCAGGAAGCTCCCGAGTTTGTGGAGATGAACGTCGCCCAGGAAATCCTGGTGACGGGCATCAAAGTGGTGGACCTGCTGGCCCCCTACGCCAAGGGAGGAAAGATCGGTAAGAGAAAGGCTTTAGAACTGCAGAGGCTTGAAACCAAAAAATGGGCTGTCAGGAGACGAGTCAGCCAGATGTGCTGTGGGATCAGGGGTTAAAAGTTATTGTGGGTAGGGGGCACTTCTCTCTGTCAACTAAAGACAAGTTATGGCCTGGAAGTAACTGCCTGAATCCCAAGAAATTCCCCAAATCCTGATGGAGAATTCTGGTTGTACTGGAAAGCACGTTTTGGTCTCTGAGGGGCTGACAGACATTTTTGTGACCGACGTAGGTTGTCTTGCTCTTGTTTGAAATCTCCGTTGTCTCGTCACCGCAGGACTCTTCGGCGGTGCTGGTGTGGGCAAGACTGTGCTGATCATGGAGCTGATCAACAACGTAGCCAAGGCCCACGGTGGTTACTCCGTCTTTGCTGGTGTCGGAGAGCGTACCCGCGAGGGCAACGATCTCTACCACGAGATGATTGAGGGTGGTGTCATCAGTCTGAAGGACGACACCTCCAAGGTACGTATTAAGTCAACACGTACTGCTTGCATGATTTCTAGATGCACATCAGTGTTATCTGTACAGCAACAAACTTCAAAGGCTGCATTCTCATTTGTCTGTGGGCTAGGTCTTGATCCTTGACGTTAGCTTAGCTGTAGCTCCAGAACAGACATGGCCTAATACGGCAAATGTAGGGGTGAAGGGGTTCGCCCAAGGACATACTTTGGCCAGCAGCTGGATTGGAACCCCAGACCATCCATCTGATTGTAGATTGTGAATATTCCACGAAAGCTGCCATGGCCCAGTAATGACAAAACTTACTGACCATTCTTCCCACAGGTGGCGCTGGTGTACGGTCAGATGAATGAGCCCCCAGGCGCCCGTGCCCGTGTCGCCCTGACCGGACTGACCGTGGCCGAGTATTTCCGTGACCAGGAGGGCCAAGACGTGCTGCTCTTCATCGACAACATCTTCCGATTCACTCAGGCGGGCTCAGAGGTAAGACTTAAGGACCTTCCAAAGCACACGTTAACTTTCTCTAGAACAATCTTGACAAGATTCTTTCGAGATGTCACTGCTGAGCAGCCGCCTTTGTCCTAAGGCATGCTTGTGTTTTCAACCGTGCGCAAGTGTGTAAGAAACAAAGGGATATAAACCGGGATCGGCTCCACTTGTAGGCTGCTCTTTCAGTGCGGCAGACAAACTAAATCTGATCCTACAAGCCTGAAGAATACCAGCACTTGCCTCCAAATCCTACCAGAAAATTGTCAACTCGGTGTGAGGCCCTTCGCAAAAATTAAGCGCTGGAGGTCAAATGAAAGGAAGGAATTCAGTTGTCGTATTTGTTGGTGGAGATAAATTCCTTTCTTCAGCTCTTACCCTGCTTTTCTCCCAATGACAGGTGTCTGCCTTGCTGGGTCGTATCCCGTCTGCTGTGGGTTACCAGCCGACCCTGGCCACTGACATGGGTACCATGCAGGAGAGAATCACCACCACCAAGAAGGGCTCCATCACCTCCGTGCAGGTAAACGGCGGCCAGAATGGCTTGTAAACTAAGAACAAAGGTCTGCGGCTTGTTTGAAAGTGGCTTGTGATTATCATTCTCATGGGTGTGAAGACGATACAGAGAGCAGCTGATAAGTAGAATTGGACCAGGTAAAAGGGCCCAAAGAACTTGGCCTTGTTGAAGTGGATATTTTCCTCAGTAGCTATGAAGGTGAAGTGAAGATCGCCTACAGCTCAAAGTTGTCATAGAATGTGCATGGCGTTTACTTGAAAGATGATATGCATGTAACCAGTGCTACCTTCTAATAAAACTTCCTAGAGCCAGTGTCTTGGACAAGTGTTCATATTGTTATCTTTTTTTTTTGTTGGCTAGGCCATCTATGTGCCTGCCGATGACTTGACCGATCCCGCTCCTGCCACCACTTTTGCTCACTTGGACGCCACCACTGTGCTGTCCCGTGGCATCGCCGAGCTGGGCATCTACCCGGCTGTAGATCCCCTGGATTCCACCTCCCGTATCATGGACCCCAACGTGGTCGGGGCGGAGCACTACAGCGTGGCCAGAGGCGTGCAGAAGATCCTCCAGGTAAACTCCCGGGAAGAGTGCCTCGTCGATCGTCCTTTGCAACAAGACATGCCTGTGCTTTCCCCTGTGCATTGAGTGTGTAAGAAACAAAGGCAGAGAAATCTGGGTCAGCTCCACGTGTGAGCTGCTGTTTTGTGTGTCACACAAACTAAATCTGACCTTACAACTGTTTGCTGCTTTTAACTTCAAATGTCCATGTGATGGCCCGATTGAAGTCTCCATTTGGCACTCAAAAACTACTGTTTTAGGGTTACGCTTGCTTCTTTTCTTTCTAATCCCTGTGTTGTTCCAGGACTACCGTTCACTGCAGGACATCATTGCCATCTTGGGCATGGACGAGTTGACCGAAGACGACAAGCTGACCGTGTCGCGGGCTCGTAAGATCAGCCGTTTCCTCTCCCAGCCCTTCCAGGTGGCCGAGGTCTTCACCGGTTCCGCTGGCAAGCTGGTGCCCATCGCCGACACCATCAGCGGATTCAAGAAGATCTTGAGTGGTAGGGAGTGCTGACTTATTTTCAGTTGTCCACTTTTGGGAGTTTGCCTAATCCTTTCATCCTGCTACATCCCATCCTGGAAGTTTTTTTGTGGACGAACTGCAAGAATTAATAATTTTGGCCTCTTTGAATTCCTTGTACAGGAGAAATGGATCACCTTCCGGAGATTGCGTTCTACATGGTGGGCGACATCAGCGAAGTCATAGAAAAGGCAGACAAGCTGGCTGAGGACCGACAGTAGAGGGCGCTGCTCTCTATGATCCCCCCCGATGAGCGCGGCGGAACCCCTCAGTCTGTAGATTGTTTCAGTAATGAATTATATATGAGGTCATATGATCTCCAGATAGGAGTCATAGGCCAAGGTTTTTGGTTTTAAAGAGTTTTCTGTGATTTGATGCAAAATTTGAAGCTTGTACGCAACAGAAAGATTGAGCAAGAATTGTTACGAAAGCAATGGAGCATGTTGCAAATGACTTAACACATTTGGTTTGATACTATAGTTAGCAACAGTTCATGTTGGAAGGTTAGAAAGATGAATGGATGTTCACAGCAACAGAGGTGCAAATTTATATCAATAGTTTTTCAGAGTTCAAGACCAGACCACACACCAACTTGAATTTGGTAATCTGGAAATGATTGAGATCAGTTTGGAAACAATATTCGTGTAGCATTCTCTGGTGTCGTTTTGTCAGGCAAGTTGGCGGAGCATCTGCAGCCATTGTGTGACACCAGACACAAAGCAAACATACCCTGTATTAACTGAACCCTACTAACTTATTCTCCTCCACAAAAGTAGCTTGTAAACCTTTACTTGAGGCAAAGTTTAAGTGAACATGTTATTGCAGGGGCCTCACACAAAATGAAATCCTGTCACCTTTGTTAGCTAAAGAAGAGTGATTTGCATATGTAACCATTTTGGATGTTGCGGTAATAATAAAATTCACTTCACATTTAGTACGTGTCGTGGGTTTTTGTGTTTTGCTTGTGTCCAAAACCTTGTCGGAATGCATGTATTTGTATTTCTGAAACTATTGCACACCACCACCCCCCCCCAAGAAATTACTCAAAAATTACACACTTTTCATGTATTTCTTAATTTGTATTCCAAAAATTTATGCTCGAGCTTAATACAATAGAACCCTATAAAATTTACAAATGTTACAGATTTTATAAAATATAACTTCAGCACACAAACTCTCCATTTGTACATGTATCCACAAAGTGTTGCATTAGTTTGTACAAAATGCCAAACACTGTACACTTGGTGCAAGAAATGAAAAAGTAGCTCTGCTTGTTCCCATTTGTTCTGATATCAAGTTGTGAGTTAAAATAACTACAAAATAATTTTGTGTTCTGTGTCTTTTTGTCCTGCATTAGTTTTAACAGTTGCCACAAAATCCTTTGAACAGAAACCCATTTCCCCACCCCACCCCCAGAGAAATGCCTGGAAGTTGCAGAGCTTCAAATCTGATTGTGAAAGGATAATTACAACTGCAGTACCAGACACGGACGTATTTAAAAAATCTGGACTTGCAATGCCTTGGTATGAAAAAGAAGCCAACCAGCGGCCATTTTACCGAGCCGAATACATAAGCGTGGGTCGGCTCCTTCTATTGACGGCAGGAAGAAAAAACGCGGGCATTGCCAGGAAAGCTTTGTATTCGGCTCGGTAAAATGGCCGCGAGTGGATTCCATGACTCTATAAGCTGATTAAAGGCATTGCGAGTCCAGATTTTATTATACGCGTCCGTGGTACCAGACTCAAACTTGACCATTGATTTCAACCAGTTTTTAAAGAAGGGGCCAACTCGTCACCTTGCTCGGGTAGGCTACAGTTTCACTGGAAGTTATTACAGAGAGACTTTCTTGTAACAAGGCCATTTGTTCAAAGTTCTTTGTAAACTTGACAACTTGTCTTCAAGCAGTTGGCAACACTATCACCTGACCGGATGTTGACGGACGACTATCTTGTTTCCATCTGAAAAAATGATAAGAAAAATCAAGTTTTCTTGCCATGAGGCTACTTTTTCGAGGCAACTTTAATTGTCACAAACCACGACTTACGACGGTTTATGTGACTTGAACGTTGTCCACCTGTTTCAGTGATGGGATATAATCTTGACATAATCAGTATGAAACTTGTTATCTTACTTTGGTGGGGGTGACGGGAGTGGTATGACACCTTCGACATCCGAGTCTTCGTCTGCTTCGTCATTGTCAACTATTTGGGAAGCTGCGAAAAAAAGATAAGGCAGAAAAACTTGTGTATTTCACAGACGGCAACAAGCGCTGGATTCACCTGGGAAGATGGTACTCTCCAAACCTTCAAACTCTGAGTCAGGTTTGGATCCTATTCTGTCAGAAAATTACATGTACAATTATTGAACAAATTATTAAGGTAAATGTACTTTTCTTTCCAGTCTGAGATTCTTTAAATTTTGTTTTCCAAGTGTACTGTATTTATCGAACGTTTTCCTCGCCTATGTCAAAAGCATGTTGTCCTCAACCCACAGGATTTGTCGAGACTACTGAACTACGGTAGGTAAGATGCTAAACCTCTGTCAATGCCAGAAAGGTGTAATGTCAAGGGCAGGACATTTATGAAAACTGCAATTTTAAGGGTACCTTTGCAAAACATTACGGCAATGTCATGATCGGAAAACACATGCTACCAAAGGAGAAAGATTTCATTACCTGCTGCAGAGAAAAGTTCCACGCCCCTGCCCGAGGGTGGCGACACGGTGTACGGCGAAATCAGGTCAAGCCGGGGATCTCTGACCTTTGACATCTGACCTATCCCGGGCTGAATGAGAAAGGCAAATGGGCCAAGTTAGAAGGGTGTGCTTTGAAGAACAGACTGTATACAGACCATGGGCCAAAATCTGAGGGATTTGACAAAAAACGGGAGGGAATTACACTCACCAGAGGTGGATTTTGCCGTCTGGGTGTGTTAGTTGGTTGGCTGCTTGGCAGAATGCCAAGGGGGGTGTCCGCCTGAAAATTTAAAACAAAACCAGAAAAACATGAGAACCTCAGGAAAAAAAAAACTGAAATGTGATTTTGAAGTTTGGCTAGTCACCTGCAATTTTGATCTATGTACCAAGAATGACAAACTTCTTTTAAATTAACCAGCCAGCAGGCAAAAATGAGAAAGGTGCCCGATTTACGAACTCCTAGTGTTCGAAATAAAGAGAACCACTCACTGCGTAGGACACGGACGCATGGTGGAGCGTGGCCGCTTGCTTCTGCAAAGTCTGCCTCACAAAACTCTCGTCCTTCAAAGCATACAAGCTGAAGAAGGTACAACAGAAACGACAAAACAGTGAAAAAAAAAACGTAGAGCAACTCAAGTTTACAAAAAATCAAATAGGGCTGATTACAAATCAAGGCAACGAAGCATGCATATTTGCATTGAGTTGACAACCTCTGTTAATGACAGTGGTGGGGATCTACTTTCCTCTAGAGCTCTGTCCTGAAAAATCCTACCAAATCTCTTTCTAGACTGTGAAGGATCTAGGAGGTGGCGAGTTAATGCTCTGATTTCCTTCCAACCTTTTCTGCAGAATGGCAAATTTCTTTTCCCACATTCTGGTGGTCCTGGCAAGCTCTTTCTTCAACCTGGAAACGTTCACAGATGAAAGTCATCATGATTATTCATTACTTAAGCATGAATATTCAGCTTTGAAACGATATGTTGAGACCAATTTGACTGTAAGTATTCATCACCACTTCACAGGTATTCACGGCAACTAATTAATATTCACCCAATTTGACTCATTTCCATGCCACCCTCTAATCACTCTCGCCAACGGCATGTTGAAAAAAAAAAAAGGACTTGGTTGTACCCAAAATTTGACTATGAAAAAGGGGAAAGAAAAAAATGGACAACCTTGCTACTTCCAGTTTGAGGAAGGTTTCCATCTTTCTCAGCCGATTGATATCGGTGTCACTCTTGGAAGCTTGCAAAGCATTCTCTCTTTCCTGCCGAATGGGGAGAAAAAAACAGAAAAACACTTCTGAAAGAAAATTGGAAAGAATCCCTTATCCAGTCATAACATACACTTGGTTTTGATCAGTCCAGGAATGTGGGCAAACCGGCATTTCATGACACAAACATTTTGGAAGTAAACTTCCCAAAACCCTCACTGTGCAGAAGTCCAGTGACACCTTGACTTTTTGAGGAGGCATCAAGTTCCACGTAAAGTAACACCTGGGCTCTACACTCCTAATTCCTACAAAATCCTTCAGAAATCCCTGAAAGATTTTGAAGGATCTGGAAGGGTACGGGTTAATGTATGAGTTTGATTGTTACGAAAAGCACTACAAGGAAACAACAAGACAGGATTCAAAGATGAAGACGGTTTAAACTCCACCGCTTTGAAATTTAGAGCTAGGGAACCTTCAAATTGGAATCCTGGATCAGATTTTCAGAGATCTCAAGACCCCTCGGTACCTTCTTCTCCAAAGCCAGCGCCGCCTTACGTTGTTCCTCCAGGATTCGCTGTCTCTCCTCTTCTTGCTGCTGGGCTTCTTTGGCGTGCTTCCGAGCCAGTGTCACCATCTGACAACCAACCATCAAAAACAAAAACGTGTCATGAATTTCTTGCTCGGGTTCTTAGAGTCTTCGTCACTGATATTTAACAGCTAGACTAGTTGCGCTGCGGCTAAAATCGGAGAAATAAATGTGACGACAACTGACTACTTGCGATGAGCACACAGAGTATGACACCGGTTTACGTGATAATGCTTGATGGAAGGGGCTAGAGTGTTGCGAGACACATCTTGCAGAGGAAAGCTGTCATTCCCAATCGGGAAGACAAAAAACAAAACCAGCGAGGCGACAGACTGAGGTGGGGGAAATAAGGTGAGAGAGCCTGTGAAGTAAAACAAAATGACACCAAGCAATATGCAACATCAAAACTCAAAACATGAATTTGACGAAAAATGCGCAAAAAAGGGACCGGGGGCAGATTCATGAATCACAGGCAAAAGGCCACGGTCAAACTCTGTGGAAAGGGTACCCAATAGTCAAAACTTCTTGCAATAAAATTGGGTAAACATAGCCTTTATTTAAACTAATTGACACAAGGTAAATAGATTACATTTGGGTGATTACAGTAAAAACCAGCATGTATTTTTTTTCAGTTATGATGAAAATCTATACCCATGATAAAAAGTGGCCAGAATTCTAACTTGCAAAACCTTGCATGCGAATGTGAACCCCGCAACCCAACCAAAATCCTCTGTGTGTATCCTGCTGCAGTGAATGAGAATTGCAACATGGAATGGGTGCAGTGACAGCTGTTGAATATGCATGAACCTTGTACGACTAAACTACAACGCAATGAATATTCATGACAAACGTGTCATGTAAGGGGACCAACTTTTTTGCGCTCCTCCTCTTTTGCTTCAATCATCTGGAAATTGAAAACAAGTCGAAGAAAGGTTGAATTCCTGAAACACACTCTCCATTCAATCATTCTCAAAAACAGACCAGCATGTCTGACATTACCTCACACTTCATTTAGACTTGGGCAACTACCTCTCCTAACAATCTGAGAAACGTCAGTCAACTGTTAAGGGAGAAGACACATCTGGGCTCATTTTATTTGGGGGGGGAATAGATAAACTGGAATTTAAGAATCACCTCGTCTCTTGCTTTGCTCATCTTGTCCTGCATTTCTCGCTCCATCTGCAGCCGTTGCTTGTCCGCCTGACTCATGAAACAGATATTCAAGATTTTGAAGAAAAGAGAAACCATAAAAAAAAACCACAAACCCAGAAGCATGTTTACTGATTCTGAAGGAGTCGTGGTTCTGGCAATCGTTGAATTCAGGAATTGCAAACGAATGCTTGTACAAATACAAATAAAGAATGGACCACAAAAGTAAAGACCAAAAAATTAAAAATAATAATAATCAAAAAAATGACTGAAACATCTAAATAAAACCAAACCCAATGACTGCTAGGATGGGTTATATTCACGTCAATTTTTTTTTTTAAATGCATTTCAACAAATCTAAACTCTACTCACGTTTCGTCGTAGTGAGGCCAGTTCTTGTTGAGCTGTTGCTTTTGATTCTTCCAATTCATGGAGAAGCTGAGAAAAGGAATTTTAAACATTTCCAAAAAAAGGATATTGAAAGTCATATGACAAAGTTTTAATCAATGGATTTATTTCTGATTGAAATAATAAAGAAATTCCACCTTTGAATGATCAAGATGATATTTTACCTGTTTCACTTGTACTCTCTCCTTCTCCAGATCCTTTGTTAACCTTTCGACATCCTTGTCTGTTGGGGGAAAAAATAAGCCACAGATTAAGGTTTATGAAAAGTCGGTAAGACTGCAGATCAGTGGATGAACGAGTAAAGGACTGTACATTGCCTCCTTTCACCGTGTTTGCTCGAGCCTGGGCCGAGAATACTAGCTGAAAAGCGGGCTGAGGATCTCAATTTTTACGGTGTGTCTAGCCGCGTCCCGGCGCGAAGGGGTTAAAAAGTGAACAAACGACGTCCTTGTCAATAACAAACAAACAAAAGCTGAACAAACAGATGCTCACAGAGATCATCAATCCATTCATCCTTGGCATCCACGGCCTTCTTTATGAGGTCACCACACAGACAATCATAAAGGAGTGAACAAACAGACACTCACTAAGTTCATCTATTTGTTCATCCTTAGCATCCATGGCCTCCTCCATGGAGTCGATTCTCTGCTGCAGGTTCCCCATCTCGTCCCGCAGGTGTTCCACCTCGTACACGGCGCTGGGCGTGGATGCCTCACTCCGCGGTTCCTGTCGAGTCGGAGAGAACAGAGAACGGAGTCGTTACCAGGGATCCAGAAGAGTAAAAGAACGTGGCAGAAACGGTTTGGGTCACTACGGATGTCATCTAACCGAACTTAGTCATTCTCTCCCAGAAGCACCAACTGTTTCCAATTCCAATATTCCAGTGTTCTGAGGCGTGTTTTTTGTCCTCTGCGAGGCAGGGAGAGGGGGCGAGGACTTTTTTCTCACCTGTGCAATTTGTGCAATCTGCATGCGGAGCATGTCGATGATGCCCTCCTGCTGGGCCACCTGCTGCACCAGCTTCTCGTAGTCCTCGCCCATCTGATCGTTCTTGCTGGCCAGCCGCCGCTGCTCTGCTTGCATCTTCAGCCCGGCGTGTTTCTAAGGGGGGCCAGACAAGATGACGGCACACGTCTGAATTCAGTTTTCCCCAAATGAAAGAGCAGGGTGGTGCCAGACCCAGACAGAATCAGGCCAACTATGCGCCTTCAAATTTTTCCACAAGGCAGAGGCAAGGTCCTAAACATTTCACTTAAATTCCTTTCATTTCACTGAAACAGATTTTTAAAAATTTTTTCGCATCACCAACTGCCATCTAAAAATGTTTTGAAGCACCAAAACGATTGAATGGGAAACCCTTAATGTTTTCAATGATGAAAAAAAAAGAATAGTGGATGAAGGATAAATAGAATCGAAAGGAGTGGTCATCAAGCAGGAAGACAGCTCTTACTTCATGAATACATCAATTAAGTCATAAATCAATTAATCGGTCAATCAATCAATGGTATCTGTGATTACCTTCCAATCGTTGTTCAGCTTCACTATAGCATCTGCCAACTGCTGCCGGAAACTTCTCCGCACAATCTCCACCCTCTTGAAAATAAAAACAAGACGATCATTCTTTAAACAAAATTTACTCTTCAGTGGCACCAATAAAAATGATCCACAAGGCAGGGCGAACTTCAGGACAGTTTTCCATCCACTATCATCTCTTCGGCTTTGCTTGTGCGTGCACTGGGCCTAGTTTCTGGGAGCCTGCCGTCATTTTGAGCTTTGTACAGAACTGGAAGGTTTGGAGAGCAAAACAAATAGAATTGAAAAGATAACGTTTTCATACAGAACCGATATTGGAGAGTACCACGCGTAGACCTTTAAAAGTTAGCAAGTATACTAGACAGAACAGAACAAGTTAGAGAGTATAGTATCCGCCCCAAGCGGGACCAAGAGAGGGAGCACTTTTCCCAGCAACAGAGGCTCCTTTGGTAGGGAACTGCACTTCGTTGGTTTGCAAGCAATGCCATCGCATTACTACCAACAAAGTGAATACTTCCCACCAACATGGCTCTTTTCAACCATTGAGGGGGTGCTTCTGCTCGAGGCGGATACAGAGTGCTTTATGGAATGCCAACCGGTGAAACAAACATGACAAGGCAACTTACCTCGGAGTGCATTTTCTGCAGTTCCTCCACCCGTTCGTTGATGCGGACGTACATATCCAGTGTCTTCTCCTGAAGCCTGTTCTCGTAGTCGGCCTGCATGACTTGCTTCGTGACCGCCAATTCCCGTTTTAGTCTCTGAGATTCCTGTAACAGACAGTGAGGGGGAACATTTGGTTTGATCAAGTTCACGGTCTTGTGCCCGACTGTCATCTGAGGCCAAACAGGACATCTGACCTTTTGATCTTGTACTGACCTTAAGGAGACCCTGTATGTCCTTGGTCATCTCCTTGAGGTTGATGATGTCGGACCGCTCCGTCTGCGTGGCTCGATCCTGACTGAAGAACCCAACCTTCTGTTGGTCAGCGATGGACGGCCTGAAGAATTCAAAAATATTCTAGAGAAATTCTAGGATTTTGTTGATGACAGTTTGCAAAAGCTTATATGCGTACTAAGCGGGACTAAGGGAAATGTTTTACAAAATTCCTGCAATAATTACAAGGCCTAACGTTATTAATGTTGGGCAATCAGTTGGTCAGTACCATCGTGCAATTGCCTCGCACTACTACTAAGTACTAGGCTACTCAGGGGCGTAGCCTGGTTTGGCCCCAAGGGGTGCAATTTTCAAGAAAGTGGAACTCCAACTTCCAGCATTTAAACAAGGAAGGCAAGTGCGCACGTGAAAAGCAGATTGCCCTTGATACACATATTTTCTATTATACTTTTTGGTCATCGTGTGTCAAAAACCCACGCATTTTCACCGTAATATAACAACGTACTGCTGTTTGGTTAAAAAAATAAACATATAAACACCTCAAGCGGAACTCCCTACTGCTGGTGTGGGGGGGGGTGCGTCGGCACCCCCTGCACCCCTATCTTTTGGCATATGTAACATCTAAATCTGACTAACTTGAAAAAACTGTCACATGCCTACTTCGACTAGTACCAACTTGAGCAGCCAAGCCTAGCCTAAGTGGGCATCTCGAACCGATTGCACATCAATATCTACCACTGCAATGAAATTCTACTGTGTTGTATTGACCTAGACCTATACATATTTAATGATCATATAACCAATTAAAAGGGGAAGGCCCTAACTACCCCACCCCCCATTTAGTTTGGCTTAATCATATGCGTCCGGAATCTGGGCAATAAAATACCCCCCTCCAAAATCGACCCATCTTCAATGGTTCCACCGTGATTTACCGAATATCACCATCGTCATCGCCGGAAGAGTCATCCCCACTCGAGTGATCAGCAAGCATGGCATCTTCCAGCGCCAGTTTGGCCAGTTCTTGCGATGTCATTGCCGCAACAGCAAGCTTCGTTTCGGTCTCTTCTTCCGCCATGATTTTCGTCGTTGCCAGGGCATTTATAAACTTGATCCCAGTCGGTTTGTAGTGGTGGAAAAGTTTAGAGATGATAAAATGAGGGCGCTGTGCAACAATACTGCGCGGGCGGGTCGAATCAGAGACATTATTTATGTCTGTGGGTCGAATCGAATTCCGTGACATAAACACGTGTATAATTTTGCAGTCGAATCATCGATTAATCGTGAGCGTGATTTTACTTTTAGATGTCAGCTCCTTTTGGTGCGCAGCAATTATTTTTTTTCGATCGCGGCCAAAAGAGTTACAATTTGTTGAGACTAACTGAAAGTAATAGCGATGACTTCCATGCGTTTATTAGTATTTTTTCAAACTTGACTGCATCGCTTTGAAGCAGAAAAAAAATTAAAAGTACCCGTTACTCCATGGTAATGACATATTAAAGAATGGAAAATACAGGAAATTTTCAATTGTGGGCCTAAATTTTTGTTGCCTGGGCAGCTGTGATTTCTTAAGAACTGATTTACTTAATAGACGATCTGTGGTGCAGAGCCTTGTTAAGTGAACGTCACTGCATAATTTTATAAGAGATTCTATTGAGGACTTACCAGATGGATGATGCCAACCGGCTTAATCTCCTCCTTCTCTTTCTTCTCCTTGCCTTCCCCCTCTTGGCTGCCCTTCCTCTTCGACGGCTCGCCGATCTCTGCAACCTCCCCGTTCTTCCGTGATGCAGCCCCAGTCTTCCTATTGCTGGCTGTGGAAAGGCCGACCTCTACACTGTCGTAGGGAGGGGGAGGCTCGCTGGGAGGGGCAGCATTGTCGGCAGCCCAAGTCTGGGGCTCTTCGACTGCCCTTAACTTTCAATCGACAATTACGGCGAGAAACAGTGGCTGGGCTCCGTATCATCCTGTAAATCCACACCCTATGAAACATGGGGGCTTGTACTGAAGAAAAATTACACGGCAAGTAAAATTTTATTGGTAATCTTGATAAAAAAAAATCATCACCCAAGAAATTGACATGCAATAAAAAATGTGACCCCTAAACAGAATTCAAACACAGGCAATAAAGTAACCACGAACACCAGCCCAGCCGTGCCAGAGCACATTATATTGCAGCACATGTAGGCCTACATGTAGCCGAAAAACAAGACTTCCACCAATAACCTACCTTGCCCACATTGAAGTTAATTTCAGCATCACTGGCCTCTCACTGAGAAAGATGAGGCCGACATGCCAACGAGAAATGGTACAAATCATGCATACACTTGTGTTTTGAGATTGGAAGTTGACCAATATCCAGCCAGATCACCTTTGATTTCCTCTCCACTGTAGACAAAGATGATGAAAAACGTTCATTCCACGTGAAATGAGTTTATTTATCCCGAAGAAATGCGATGTGCCAAGATTAGGCTTATTAGGTCAGTCTCAGAGTCTGATCCTTCTTTGGACTTTGAAATGGTTATTGCTTTTGTAATAAGATACATCTAGTGAGCGAAATGATTCAAACGATGACTTGGTTCAATAACTCCTTCCTCCATGCCACAACCTACGCGTACCTCAGTTGCTGCGCCTTTGTACTATAATTCGGGGAAACATTTTTTTCTAAAGCACATGTTGTGGCTTCTTGTATTACTACTGCTTATTTCAATCACTCATGTTTCCATTTCAAAGGAAACATTGGGGCAGAAATTGTTGCAAATATGCGTGTTACTTGTTTTACGTTTGATGTGAATCCGGTGAAAAGTTTCATTCAAAAAAATAATTCAATGATCTTGCATATAATGTCAACTTTGATTTTCCTAATTCGAAAATTACTGTCTGTAAAAAATGGTTATAAAAGTATCGTTTTGTATTAAAATTCGTCTTTTCGATGCTACGCTGTACATTTGGTTAATTAATTAAAGACCTCTGCACTGATGAAACCACGCCGTGCGTGCGCAGAGCTTTCCTGTGGTGCTGGGCTTTCAACCTCTAATACTTGCACACTAGTGAAGAGTCAAACTCTTCATCTGCACATCAAAAAGGGTTCTTCTCGGGATATCTTTCACCCCGGATCATTGTTCAATTCATTATTTGTAAATAATGCAGTTGTACATATCAATAAATTAGACGGAAAATTGAATTTATAATGAATGAACACTTCTATGTACCATTTTGTAAAATCCAACAAAGTTTTGGGTCGTTGCTAGGGCGTGATCGATCCGCCTTGGTTAAACTTGCTTTGACTGATCTCAGACGATTTATTTGGGTAAAAGATTAGTTATCTTCAATAGAGGGCGCTGTGTAATCTCACCCGTATACCGCGAACCGGCGCGGCGCGGCGCGGCGCGGCTAGTGCGGCTGGCGCGGCACGCATATATCAAACGAACGTGATGAAACCTGCGTTACACGGTTCACGAATTCTCATCAACGAAATTCGATTCGAAGCCATTTACTCATCGACCTAATGTAAGTATATCATTCGAGTTAGTCTGTTGGAAGAAATTCAACATTATAGGTGAGTTTAAACTGTTAATTTTTACTTTTACCAAACCAAGCCAAACTTCTTTCCTTACCTTACGTAGCAGAAAAACAGCAATCGTTTGTGTTGCTTTTAATTATCACTGGATGGATAGAAAAGACAATTACATTCTATTTTCTGTCGCGCTTTTGCGCTTGTTTTTGTAGGCCAACTGTGCATGTAGTTAGCAACGTGTTAATCATGTTCATCATGGGAATGGCAGTCTTGATTTCTAGCGCAGTCCGGTGTGTACCCCCAGAACTGTGGGGTCCGACGTCTGCCCCGTTCATTTTCGAGGGGGGGTTCGTGGGAGCGGGGAAGACGTCGGATTCCACAGTTCTGGGGGTAGTCAGTGTGGTGTGTGATGAAAGAGTTTATGCATGCAGGACGTGGAGAAAAAACAATAAAACTGAAAACCACCAAACACAAGTGCAGTTCTTTTGATTTCCAAGATTGTGTTGTGAACCCAAGACTTCTTTTCCCCAAGTAGTCTCAGACACATATTTCAATTACTACCTGAAAGAAGCTTGATTCTCTTAAACTTTGAATATGTAAGATAAAGACCTATCCATGTGTAGGACACGTACAAGGTTTGATGTTCACTGGGCACTGGCTTTTTGTCATATATGAAAGGGGATACATGCGTAACTTGTACTATATTACAGTATACATGTACATGTAGTGTAGCCTACTTTTCCTTGGCAAATTTGTGGGTTTTTCAGTTTACGTGGTTTAATTATTTACGCGTACATTTCCTGCGGCTTTATCGTTTTATATGATGAAAGTAACAAAGTGTCCATAGTTTCTTACTGTGTATTGTCTCCCAGCAGATAGCCAAAGACTTTTAATGCTAATTTGCTCCATTTACATCGACTACAATCTAATTTTTCATCCCATACTCACATTAAATTGACAAGGTTTCACAGTGTTTTCTTGTCAAATCAGCCATCAGGGACATAGGCCTACATGTTTTCCTAATTTCCCACATTTGATAGATGGCCTTGCAATAAATGCAGATTGTTTTTCAAATTCCTGGACAGTTGACCTATGACATGAGGGCTACGTGTAGCTAAAGCTCGACAGCAACGATAGTTGTAGTGTGCACTTGAAAATGAGTACTTGTACAGTATGTACATATTTGGGCTTTTTGAATCTCAAATTGATTTGAAGAGCTCTGCAACAACTCTTTCAAATTTCAAGGAGGCCGCCCTCGTTAACATTAACAGCAGGAATGGTGAATGAAGAACCAATAAATGTCGAAGTGACCTTAATTTGATCTGACAACATGATGTCATTCTTCCATTCCACCCCACCTCCACTTAAAATCTCAAAAGTTGGTGCCACGTTGGCAGACCTATGCAGTTTCATTGATTAATCTCTCTATAGATATAGCCATTCCTCCATGACCTCACACAAAATGGAGGCTCTTATTCTGTGGGGCCGTTGGGCTAGTATAATGGCCCATGCAGCTCCCTTCCACTTGCCACTGTGTGTGGTCATGGAATTACATCATCATGCCACGTGTATGATCCTTCATTTCCTAGATGTGTTCTGTCCAGTGTTTATCATCATGTCCATATTTGGGAAGCTGCTGTCCCAAGGTTAAAAGGACAACTTGTGATTGGAAATTTCAGGAGCTGACCCCTAGTGAGGTGCATTTTTAACTATACTTGGTAATGTGTGAAGAATTTCAGTCTATCACAGTCTTAAAGAGTGCATGAGTAATGCTTCTTCCCTGAATTTAGATAAACAAACAGGAAGTTGTAATCGGGGACAAAATTATGTGATTGCACCATCCACTCCAGCAATTCTTTTCAAAGCCATTGGCTCGTGAAGGAAATGTGTGGAATGGTGGAACAAAAATCTGACCTCGGAGGAAGAAAGTTCTGTTACCTCTGTTGATTTATAGTCTGTTAAGAAAAAAATCTAGGCTAAAGAAATATCTGAGTGTGTTCAGACCTTTTCCATTTGTTATGTTGTCAAAAAAGAATTAACTTGAGAAGCGAAAAAAGGTAGCCTTTGTTGGAACACGTGGTAGGAAAGTCCAAAACTACCGGAGGGGGGAGGGATAGCCCAGGCTATCATGAATTGTTAAACTGTGATGGTACATCAGCTCATTGCGCATTGTTATTCTGTTTTACAAGCATGACTTCACTTCACAACATAGTCACAGCATAGGAGCTACATGCAGGCATTGTTCCCCTGTTGTAACTTGTCAGCAGCAGAGCTGATCATGGGGCTGTTGTATGGCTGATGAAGACCTTGGCCCTTTTTGCGACATGTATGCATGGGTGTGCCACTGGCAGGGGATAACGTCATCCTCAGACAACATGTATGTGTTTGATCTCTCATTGCTCTTTCACAGAGATCTGTTTGACACTGAGTGTTGTATTGTTTGAAGAAGACATTTGTTTAGTCAAAAACGTGCATGAGTAATGTTTCTTCCATGAATTTGGATTCGGAAGGGAAAAGGTGTGATGCTGAAAAGTGGTTGCATCATTGTAAGAAGCTGTTCTTTTTAATTAAAAGCAGTTTGGCACACAAAGGAAATGTGAATTGATGAGAGAAAAACATACCACTGAGTATGGCGTCGAGGGAAAATTTCGTGCAACTGTAAATACAATCTTCCAAGAATCAGTTGACATCACTATGCACTGATAAATATGTACATGGAAGTTTTCAAAATCTGAAAAAAAAAGACCTGTGAGGTTGAGATGTGATTGTACCATCATAGAAAGCTGTTGTTTTAAAAGAAATCTGGCAAGGGACAGAAATGTGACATGAGGAAAGAAGCACAGAATATTACCACCAGGCTTGGTGGGGAAAAAACCCTCACACCTGTTTGTTCTCAGAACAGCTTTTTTGAATCGCAGCTTTGAAGAATCGGGTAATGTCACATTTGACTTTATACTCGTGAGCATGTACGCTTTTCAAAGACACAAAGTGTAGAACATGTCCAAAAATGGAAGTATACCTTAAAAGGAAAAAAATTCTGGAGACAATTTATACTCCAAATTGTGTTGGTATTGAAACTTCCAAGAATCAGGTGACATCACTTTTACTCTCATGACAGATGGAACATAAAACGAGATTACCTCTCATTTCTGGACATTTTGGAAATTAGTTTTTCAGTAGGCTTATATTTCTTTCAGTTTTGCTTTTCCAATGGTTTTTGCCTTCCAAGCAGTGTTTGTAGTGTTGCATCATTCCTTTTTAGTATTTGGCCACTTAAAGTGGTTTTGTTTGCTTTCAGTTTTCAAAAGCAAATTACAAAATAATCATTGCGACCTTCTGTGAAATGTCCTAAATTGAAGCTTTTGTTTTTAGTCATAACCAAAACTCCATGGCCGATTTCAGCATGGAAATAGTCATATGATATGAAAGACAAAGAAGTGGCCCCCAAATATCTGGGAGATTCATCTGCTCAAGTATATTTTTTTCCACTGTTGAATTTCATGTTAGTATTGCAAATACATGTGTACATGTACATTGTACATGTATGATGAAATTTTTGAATATTTAATAATAAACTCCTTAATAAGTTTTGAAGCATTTTGTGCATGTCTTGGATTCACAAATGGAAACGTTGAAAAATTCTCTCTTTCAAACCCTTTTTTTTTTTACAGAAATGGCACTGAGCAAATAGGTAACAAAACCTTTTTTCCTTGTTGTGGTTTCCGTGATTCTCACCCTTTGGTTTCAAGTAAAAAAAGTGCTTTTGATTTGAGTGGAAAGTTTCGCAAGCACACAGTTGTTGTGAGTAGGGTAAAAAAAGGCGGGAAAGTTGTTAACTGCCATAATCGGATTTTGCTCCTTTATCTTTTTTTATCTTGAGAGTACTTTGTATCATATTCAATGATGAAATAGCTCCACAGTGTATTTGTACTAAGGGTGAGTCATAGCGTTAATGACTGTACTTGTGCAGGCTGCAAACTTTACATCAATGTAGATACAGGTGTGATATATTTCTTCTGTTTGTATTAGATGTACAGAGTGGAATGTTTTATGTCTTCATGTTACAGTGTATGTTATATACTTGTGGTTTTTTCTGTTTCCGAAAATGGGTCACTTGGGAAACATTCCCATAGGAACGTGCACAAAATTTTTCAAACTTTACCGTCCCATAATTCAATGTTCCCTAATCCGATCTTAACAAATCTTTGCATGTTTTCCTTTCGGACCCTAATTTATCATCTCTCAAAATGTGGACAAAAAAAATTTTCCTCCTTTTGGTAGTTGGAGCATTAGGGAGACATTGAAATATCTCCCTAATGACCGATGTCTCCCTAATGTTGAAAAATTGACCACAAAATGTCTCCCAAGTGAAGTATTTGGAAATATTAACTTTATGTTAATAGAAGTGATTAGTAGGTCAAGTAACATACTTTGTTTAAAATAGAGAGGATGGAGGATGTACTGCACTGGGAGGTACCAAACTAGAGGTCTGTTTAGTTTGATGAAGGAAATAAAACAGTCTTGAGAGTTCATCCAAGGGAGACAGACGTTTTGTTTTTTTGCTCTGCGACTTTACTGTTTGATTTTAAAAAGGTCGGCCATGCCCCCCTTGGACCTCAAGTATTCCGCAGTGAAGAGACACGTGCTTACGTTCCCAGAGTAGACTTAAATCTATAAATGAGACTTTCCCTAGAATCGTATGTTGGAACATGGAGGAAGGAATTCCTTCCTCCATGGTTGGATCACACAAATTCAGAATTTCTGGGCCTCTTTGGCTGGATTGGTTCTCTGCTCATGCCTGAGGTGGTCTCAGCAAACAAAGATTAGGTCACAGTTGTTGACTTAGCCATGCAGTTAACTGTCTGTCTGGCCTGTGTGTTTGGTTGCTGTGTGCTGTGGTCAGAGCATGGTCCAAGCATGATTCACATGTTAATTGTTGGGGAGACAAAAGACATCTGAGGGCCTACTCTTCTGTGTATATGCCAATAACTTGCCTTGTTGTACACGCTGTACCTGAGCATTTTCCTGTCAAAGAAGGAGACAGAGTCAGCTTTACGTTATTATTATTATAATTATTGTTCATTAGGCATTCGTCAGAAATACACAATACAAAGACTGGACATATAAGTAAGCTCTATGGTGAAATCATGCCGTGGTAAAATTAACAAGGACTACAGAAGTAAGCCATCAGCAAATGCCAAGAAGAGAAAAAAAAAATAACTGACTTACAGGCCCTTCCTTTCCAATACTTTTGCCTAATACAAAAATACCTGTGCATCTCTAAGGATTTCTTTCTCTTCCTTCCAATCTTAATATCATATGCATACAACGTACATCTCATCAATTGATTACTGACCATACATATATTGACTGTAGGCTGCTTTGCATTACTGATTAAAGTCGGCCCACTGAATATGTAATGTACAGACCATTAGATGTGCATATAACTGCACAGGTGCTATAGACAAGAGTCCAGACCCTGACTGAGGTTGCTATTTGTCATGTTATGTAACAGTCTTGGCTTGTACATGTACAGGGGTCTGTTGCTATGAATAGAGGTTGGATTACACAGGTGACCTGCTCACACAGTTTTCTATTGATCATTGGGACAGCGGGGTCCAGACTGAAGAACATGGGGTGATTGTGTGCTGACATAAGGTACTTAGGTTATCTGTTGTAGTTGCCATGACTGTGCATAAATTCCCCCCTCTTGTTGCCTCTGTGGGGCCCGCTCGCTGTCTCTCCAACTGTCAAACATTAACTCTAGCATTAATAAAGGACATAGCTGAATGTACATCAAGGAACACTTATTAATCAGCCTGTCATCAACAGTCCATTCAGCAGAGGATCATCGTTAGTTCAACTGGCAGAGGGGGTATTTGCCCGTTAGATTTTGTTTTAATCCCCTTGTCCCTGATTTCACATAAGTGTTTTTTTTGGGTTCCTCTGAGCAAACCGTCTGCTCATGATACACGTACATGGTGTTCTTCTGAAAATGATGACGAGAATACATGGCCAGATTTGAGTGAAAATGAATGTGCAGAACTGTTATTTTGTTGTCGCCGTCACAATACACTGAACTGTCACAGATTATGTCGACTCGGACTATTGAAGTGAAGGGTGAGTTCAAGTGTGTTCTCTGTTTGCTGTGTGTTGTCGCGCACCAGTCTTTGCCCTTCTCAGGCATTCATCAAAGGGTTTATATGAGACAATAGAGGCTTTGTCCGGCAGCCATCTTGCGGGGCAGTTCCTTCACTCCAGTAGGAAACCTTTGTGCATACCAGTTTGAATAAAAGAACAGTTCTGCAAGATGGCTACCGTGCAAAGCCTCTCTACCGACAGAATTGTAATGTTCTTGGCTGGAAGCAACTTTTCTCCTATGGGTTACTTATCATTTACATCGTACCGTACCCGAATATTTGCTCAAAATCCATCCAGATTGCCAAAAAAGCTCCCGTACATGTATCTACACTCTCAACTTAGTAATGAAAGGGTTTCAGGATTGTTGAAACTTGAGCGGTTAGTTATTTCCTGTCAATTGTAGCGACGAATATGGCCTTTTCCCTACTCTTTCTGTCAGTTCTGGGTGCTGTGCTGATTCTGTCAGGGAAATGTATCAGTTGTGTGCCTGGAGCATGCAGCTGTGGCAAAATCCCACAAGAATAGTGAATCTAGGCATTTTCTCCCTCGGGTGTTGGGTTGACCAGTTGTTTTTTCCTCAGGTTAAATGTTCTTCATGCATGTGCCAGACTGCCGGTACATTCTATGTTAATATGTTTTGATTGGTTGATTCAGATGAAAACCCGCACTGCTGGTCTAGAGTAGCAGCAAGAAGAAAGCTGAATTCACTGCCAGTGCCAATACTTTACTAGACACAACAATGAATGCCTAGTTTGGCATGTAGTCCTCTTTTTGGAAAGGAGGGTTGGGGAGGCTTGACCTAAACGTAGGTTTTGATCAAAGAACTCGAACCAGTCAGTTCTAGACGACACGCCCTGTAAGCAGATTTACTCTTCTCACGGCACCAAAGGTTTGGGACATGGGGAGCATTGGGGCATGCTCATAGTTATATGTTGCTTGTTTAAGTGTTAGCTTTTTGGTCTTATCTTTATTCATTGGGATCGATTGATTTTGGTGACAGAGATTTTTAATGAGCGTACTTGTGTCAGTGTTGACAGTCTTAAAACTGAAACATTTTTCTCCAAGATTATGCTTTCTTTTCAATCATTCTTAGATCCTTCAGTCTTGGGCTGAATTCAGACCTCTGTAAACATCTATCTGTAAATTTCCTTTCAGAAAAATGCCTTCATTATGCCATTATCCCCTGTCCAATTCCAGACTCCAATTATGACATTGTCACTTACTAGTTTTGAATTATACAGGTCACTGCAGAGTGTGATTCAATTCATTGGCTTGCTGGCACTCAAATGAGTTACCTGATGGGACTTGAGTTTATGGTAGATGAGTTACCTGATGGGACTTGAGAGTTTCGTAGATGAGTTACCTGATGGGACTTGAGATTTTGGTAGATGAGTTACCTGATGGGACTTGAGATTTTGGTAGATGAGTTACCTGACCGGGGACTTGAGTTTTTGGTAGATGAGTTACCTGCAGGTGTGAGATTTCTCAGCTTTTAGCTGATTTCAGCTTTTTTTGTTTAGGATTTTAGCTTTATTTCTTCACTGGCTATGTACAAAAGTATAGGAGATTTTCACAGTTCAGCTTCTTTATGCCTTTTTTTTCCAGCTGTTTTCAGCTATTGTTATCATTGGTCAATCTCATCCCTGACTTTGTGTAGAAGGTTAAGAAATTGTTTGATTGAGATCTGCTGACCATGGTTAGGCCGACCCTACTGCAGGACTCTACTAAATAAAGCCTTTTGCAAGTCAAATTTGACTAAAATTTGGTACACTGAGTTCTTCAAATTTACCTGAACGTAAGTTTAATTCTTCATACTAAAGACACTGTTGCTACATGTACATGTACTTTTCTTAGTTACATAAGAGATGCCTTGCACCTATACATTGTTTCAGTGGATCAGAACTGTGCAAAGGAACAGAGATGGCAGTCACTATGCAAAAGCCCAGAATCACAAAGTGTAGCAACAGTGTCTTCAGTCTGGGGAATTCTAATTGTTATGTTTATGTGTAATCAGATAACCCAGCGTACCAGATTTTATTCCAATTTGACCCACAGCATTGTTGTGCCTCGCCCCCGGTCATTCAGAAGCATTCACAGGCTGAAAAAAAAAAAACATCGAGGCCCCCCCACATTTTTCATCTCTCTGTCAAACTCTCTTTTGCCCACTCTGGTCCCTATTTGAGCAAAGCTTTGTCCGAGGATGACATCTATTTTTGTCCAGAGTCCGGCCTGATCCTGTTATCAATATTAGTGCTGTTAGTTATTACTGATCTCCATGGTGAAACTGCCAGTGAGGTACTTAGTTATCCATTATTTGCCAATCCTTCAAATTCAGAGGGGATTTCACATTAAAGTTATATGTGTTGTTAGTTCCTTCAGAATAAAAAAAAAAAACACTACGAAACAAAGTACAGTAGTGCTAACCTTTGTTTGTTTTCCAGCTTTCTACAATAATTAACCATAACTGCTTGATATGGTTGTATAATAACTTACAATACCAACCCGTGTAAATTTAGATATTATAGCCATAGGGAAGAGATATTAATTAGTGTTGTAAGTGTATCCTTGTTGAAGAATTAAATAGGGACTAGACATGGAATACGTGTTTTAAGTTAGTGTTGCCATGAACATAGACCAAGGACCATTTGGCCCAATGCACATCATATTATTATGCAAAGTACCTGAGCCCATTTTGAATAGCCATGCTGGAACACAGCGTACTTGCCCTGGATATTTGCTATGCCTGGCATGATGGCAGCATGGCAGCGTGCACAGTGATTATAAAAGTGAGCCACTGATATTTGCATATTTAAATATTCAGGAGCTGTTCTAAGAAACTGACCCTTTGGCCAGCACAGGATGGACATACATGTACATGTACATGGACCAGACAGATACATTAGTACAGGCAGCTGGGTGGGCTGCTGAGGGTGGGGCAGAGTGTTGAAACAGGATAAAAAGTGGAAATTGCTTATCACTAGGGGTCTCTGAGTGACCATGGTGTGACCTATGTGTAGAGGTATTGCTCATCGTTGTGCAATGTCTTATCCCTCCACGGCGCCACCAACTGAAGGCTGGGGGGGGGCTGAATGAAAATAAATAACTAGAGGTCAATGTGCATGCATGAATATTTACTGATTCTCTTTTGTGCTGTTGCCAATTGTTGGTAGTCACGCTATATCATTTGTGAAGTCGACGGCGGACAGTTTATTGATTTTTACATCAGCTCCACCGTTGGGGGATATTATTTGCGCTGAAATTTGAAGCTCTCTGGAATTATTTTGACTCTTTGAAATGGACAAGGAAGATGGTGAATCAGGTGAGCTTTTAACATGTTTAAGTATGTGCTCAAATGTGTTACCAATGTGACAGGTTGTGCATCTTTCAATGGTCACATGGCACTCACATGTGTAGGCCTACAGGTATAGCTTGGGGATGTTTGGTGGTTACACAGTCCAGCCTCATAAAATGGTTGTGATCTTTCTATTTCTTCAATTTTGTTTGCAAACTAGTGACAGTTTTTGAAATATTTTTGAACAGATTTAGAAATCCTTTTTTTTTTAATAATCAGGTCCTGATGTTCATATCTCCTCCCACCAAAAGATTCTGACCCTGCTAATCGAGGAGAGGGAACAAATACGAATTATTGACACCATGACTACGTGTACACACGTAAGCAATCCCTAGGACTGCAATACAGAGGCATTGAATTGAAAATGGATTACCTGTCCATTAGACATGATTAGATTATTTTGAGAATGGTTGAAAATGAAAATCTGGTCACAAATTACCCTACTGAGAAAGTTTGTTTAGGGTTGAAATCATGGAGGTTGAACACATGGCTAAACAAGATTGATAGACATACGTGCATAATAAATGGCCGACATGCTCTTGTACAGGCTACATGTACCGTACCCCTTGACTAATGACTGTTTGCACTCAGGAAAGCTAGCTCTTAAACATCATTTGTCTTTGCCGCAAGCACGACACACACACACACAGAGTGGAACATACCGTTGTGACAGACAATGCTATAAAATTGTACCTGTCATGTCAATTTGGCCCTCAATTTCCAAAGCATCTTATTTCCACTCAAAGACGCTTATATTCACCATACAGGCAATATCCCTGGCACTGTGCTTTCAAAAACCTTATTTTGCCTCACAATTTGTGGAGGATGCCCTTGGGTGGCGTTTAAGTTACCATACAGCTCTGCCCAAAATTATTTATACCCTTTGAAAATGTGGCAGTTTGCTGCTTTGTAAAAAAAAAAATTTGACTGGACTGATGGTCAACCCAGGCACACACAACTAGAATTTCCTTTGCCAAAGCTCATCTGGGCAAAGATCTAAGCCTACGGTTGTCTTTTGGCTGTAAATCCTAGGTTACCCAAAGTTGGAGTAGGCCTCTATGAATAATTTTGGGCTTAACTGGACATGTGCGATGCATACCTGTAATTCTCTGTCATCATAAAATTTAAGTACTGCTTGGATTTTTGCATATTTTATATGGATACGATCGTGAGGGTTCCATGCCAAACTGACGAGAGGTCTTGTGATGCATCGGTACGCACATGTCATCATGGTTATCGCATAAATTTTCCGTCCCCACCTTGCGTGATTTTTCCCATTTAGTGAAATTAGCACAGCGTGGGAAAGATGAATCGTATTCTCATACGCCAGGGCATAATTTATCTTTGGACTACATGTAGCCAGGTGAAAACAGATTTTAGACAGGCTACAGTAAATAGCCTTGTGTACAGATGTTGAACTCGGCTTTAGTTCCCGTTGATATTAAAAGACCGAACCATGTGTTCAACTTTAAAAGTGTCATCGAAAGTTACCAGACATTTGTTAAAAAACAAATAATTGCAGAGGAGTGGCTAAGGCAACTCCAGAGGTGTTTTCTTGGACAGAGTGACAAATCCGATCTGTAAAGTTCCGTGCAGGGAGGAAGTGTGTCTCCGGTATCTGTTTGTTTGGGACGCCAGCTTCCCAAGACCACTCTTCCCATGGTGCCAGCGCCGCATTTTTTTCCCACCTCTTTTTTGGGCCCTTTCTACTTTGTCTTTTTAACTAAAAACACCCGTTCTCTCATCTTAGCCCACATACCTGCATTCGCATGTGACTGAATTCCTAGTGTTGAAAATGCGAGGATTGTGGGTGTTTGGATTTGGAGGGAACAGGCTGGAATTGTAGAAAGACAAGGCTATTACAAGTTCGCTGTACATTTTGGGAAGAATGGAGCATACCGTCTGCCATATATCTCAAACTTGCTCCTTTCACTCCACTTTAAACATTCATTCTTTATGTAAACCATATTTATCTATTTTCAAGAATGTGAGAATCCATTTTTTTTCCAGCTGATTTCAGCCTTTTTGTTTAATTGTTTAGTTATCGACCCTGAATTTCAGCTTTTTTGTACACCTGGTCCGTACAGAAGTATGGGAACCTTTTACATTTCAGCTTTTTGCTAGCTGTTTTCGGCTGCAGTTTTAAGTGGCCACTCACACCCCTGTATTTTGCACTTAATAGATTAATAGACTGAAATGGTTGTCATTCATGAGGAAGTATCGTTAAATACCTAAACTCAAGGTCACTTGTTTGAAATCCCAAAGGTGAAATGTAATAGATTGAATGGAGAAATTATCTTCCATTACAATCAAAGATAGGGATTCTGGTTATAAAAACGGTACCTTTTGATTTCAGTCATTCTGTAGGGCTTTTTTGAGGGTGCTGTAAAAAAGTGTAATCACACGGCTGCCCAGTTTTACCTAACGAGATTTTGCCAGCCAAAGTGCTGTTTTGTTTTTGTTTTTTTATTGAAAAATTCGATGTGTTGTTTCTGCGTGATGTTTCAATGGAGACACTGCTAGCTCTTTCTGTACCAAAGAATATCTGGAGCTGATATGCCTGAATGAATCTCATCGAACAAAGGCAGTATACCACACCAGGTTTCTGAGCCAAAGGCAATGGCCCTTCAACTGTGAATAAGGGCAGATTTTGCACTACAGTGAGAACCCTCAAAAAAGGTGGAACCGCGCACAAAAAGTTGAAACTCGGGCTGGCGCATTATACCAATGCACTGCAGTGAACTACTACAAGTGTATGCAGGTCACATAATGAGGCTCAATTGGTACACTGTCGCATTGCACAGATAGACAATTGATCTGGAGGTGTTTATGGTGATGTTGCCATAGGTTTCACAAAAATCTTGTGGTCCTAAAAATTGAACTGGAAAAAAGTGGTGGATTTTGTATGCAGGGACATGTTTTTATACTTCCTAAAACCCAACTTTTTCTGCTGTTTTTTTTTTTCTTGCTGTAAGCTAATGGTGCATTCCTCTTTTTTTTAAAACCAAAATATTGTTTTCGTATGCAGTTAAAACTTGAACGAATACTGTATGTTGGATTTGGTGGCTTTCTGTTTCGGCTGTTTATTTTGTGCAGTCAGATTTTGTTACTGGAGAAAAAAAGGGTACAATATCTTGGTGATTCACCTGTAGTTTTGGGAAACAGAAAAAAGTAATTTACTTCTTGACTCTACATGGATTCATCCCTGCTAAGTCTCCCTTTCCGCGTGGGTCCCTCAGAAATTCTCCTGGAGGTTTCTTTAGCAGATTTTATGTGTTGAGATAGGCAGAGCTTGGTGACGGTTATTCAGGTCTTGATGCCCCTTGAAAGTTGAAGGACTTACAAAGAATCTGCAATTGGTTTCCTGCACTGCAGAGAATTAGAGAGATTAATGGAAGAATCTCATCAAGAATGCCAGAGCAGAAAGGGTTTGTAGTGGGGAATTTTCTGAATAGGAGTACAGCTTTGTCCTTCTGTTCCACAGCCGCTGACCCACAAGATATGACAGCCGAAGAGCCCCAGACTTGGGCTGCCAACAATGCTGCCCCTCCCAGCGAGCCTCCCCCTCCGTACAACAGTGTAGAGGTTGACTTTGCCACAGCCAGCAATGGGAAGACCGCGGCTGCACCACTGAAGATGGGGAAGGTCGCAGAGAACGGCAATTCGCCGAAGAGGAAGGGCAGCCAGGAGGGGGAAGGCAAGGAGAAAAAAGAGAAGAAGGAGGAGATTAAGCCGGTCAGCATCATCCGACTGGTGAGTCCTCAATAGAATCTCTTAGGATTGGAAGGGTTGCGTGCTGGACGTACCAGGTAGTAACAAGATGAAAGTTTTGGGGGAGCATTTGCCTGATGGTGGACAGAGCCGACCATCAGAAACATTTGAGTTCAAGAGTTCATTTCAGAACCTCACTGACGAAGCACATCCATGTGATGTTGCTGCTCAACTCTCTCATCATAACAAGCTCTTGCTCTGTGACTTTTCATTGCAATTTGCAGTTGAATATATCGCCTCTCCCAATTTACCAGGATTATTTGACACGTGGAATGGATGTGTGTACATGTACATAAAAAAGAATGTTTTGTGGACCGGTCCAAAATTAAAAACAGTCAGGGGCATACTGCTGTTTTGATGATGAGTCGTTGTCCCTGTTTGTCCCATTTGATGTCGTATGTATTAGCCCCACTTTGGTTCATCTTTGCTGTCTTGTCCCCTTTTCAGTATCGTTTTGCCAGTGCATTGGATATTCTCATCACGCTGTGCGCCGTGGGATTCTCCATCGCTCAAGGCGTGTCCTTCCCCCTTCTCTTGCTGTACTTTGGCGACATCACCGACGCCTTTATTGGTTCGGGTAATTTGGGCGGGTCCCTGCCTGCAAATACAACCGTGCCTCCTGGGTTCTACGAGGACCAGTAAGTACAGATCATCTTGGCCCGGTAGTCTGGTCCCTCAAACTCATAACTCACAAACTCACCTTTGTCTTTTGTTGCCACATTATAGCCGAAATATTCGGCTGGATGATGGACTCATTCATGAAGAAGGAACGGAAAATTACCATAAGATTCTGAGTGGTTTTTATTTAGTCACGGAGGACCCATATGCAAATCACTGTGGAGTTTGCCCTGTGGGTACTCTATTACAAATGAGCGCAGTGACCATTTCCGACATGCACTTTTTTTTGACTCGGCCCGTGTAGATTCCTGAACGAAATTGTCAGATTCTGTGCCATCTACGCTATTCTGGGCGGGGCCATGATGGTGGTGGCCTACTTCTCCCACTCGCTGTGGAACACGACGGCCTCCCGGCAGATGTTCAAGATCCGCCAGCGATTCTTTGCTGCCATCCTCCGGCAGGAGATCGGCTGGTTCGACACCCACGAGAGCGGGGAGCTCAACACGCGACTGTCCGAGTAAGCACATCAGTAACCACATAACTGAGTATTTGATGACCTTTAAGAGAAGCTTGCACCCCACACATCAGACGTGATCCTCCAACATCTTTCACCCACACGATATCCATTTTCATGAGGATGATGAACTGAAAAACTGTGCAGAACTCTACCCCAACTGTACGCCCTCTCGCTAAAACAGTCAAGTTACGCCCTTGTAACCTTTCCAGACCATTTAAAATGGGAGAGGAGGTCTTGTAGGACTTTTTAGGATTGAAGACACTTTAAGCCCATCCATACTTCTGTGTGCGGAGTAAGGTCTGTGAAAAGTTAAAAATGCAGATAATGAACCATTGAAGGTTCCCAGCCCCAAAATGCTTAATAAGGTCAGTTGATTTCGTTTCGCTGCAGAAAAACATTTAGGGCCCTGCATTTTCAATCTTAGGAGAATCTTTCTTCAAATCGATTACGACCCAGTCTAACAAAAGGGGTCACAGAAGACACCCTTAAGTTTAAGGCTGTTGGAAGAATCTTACACAGAGCAAATGAGATGGAACCCACATCATCTTGAACCCACTTAAGGACCATTTCCCTGAGGGTGCCAAACTGAGTGATACATTACAGCAAAGAGTTCAATTTGCTTGTTCTAAAACTACAAGAAGACTTGACTTTTTAAAAAATGGCCAAAGACCCACACATTCTAATGACAGTTTTTTTAATGTTCAGTTTGTGTGCGGTTTGCATCTACACGCATTCTTGCCTGAAAATGTAAAGTTGAGACAACAGTGGAAGTAGTGATAGCCTTGCCACCAAATGAGACAGGAACCTTGTTAAGAATGAGAGTTTTTGATGTCAAAAGTTGAAATGTACAGAATCCACCGTGGATTCAGGAAATGCTCAGAGAGTTGAAGTTGATTGATGTCATTTTCCTGCTTGAACCTTGCAGCGATGTGCAGAAGATCAAAGACGGCATCGGTGACAAGGTGGGCCAGACTCTGTACCTGCTAACCGTCTTCGTAGCGGGCCTGGTCCTGGGCTTTGTCAAGAGTTGGAAGCTGACGCTGGTCATCCTGGCTATCTCCCCGTTGGTCATCCTCAGCGCCGGCATCATGACCAAAGTAAGACCCTGACCCCGCACCGAGCTGCTTAACAAATTCCTGTGCTTACCAGATATGAGCTGGGAACCAGTCTATTCTGTCCCCTCAATAAGTAAAGCATGGGCCATTTTGATCAGTAACCCACTTCTTCAAAGCAAAAGGTTCCCTTAATTAGCATAAATTTATGTGTTGCAGCTCTGTGAAATGGGTCAAAAGTTGAAGATGAGTTACCTGGACACATTTCTGTGGCCTTTGTCTCTTTTCTAAATCCATTTGTGGGCCTTCACGGGGGTTTTATATCAAATTGAATGATTGGAATTCTCCAAAACCGCAAAGTGGCCCATATTAAGGCAGAATCTCTAAAATTAGGGCCAAGCATTTTCAAGCCATGTTTTTATCCCAACTCCAAAGTTGGAAATATGACCAAGGTTTGAGGCTTTTGTAGCTTGGTTATTACCTTTAGTTGACGTGGATAGACAGGGAACTGAAGTCTAAAAATCAAGTGTGAGCAGTGATTGAAAAAAATTGGCTGCCGGGTTTATTGACTTTTCTGACAATTAGAATTTGATGGTGTCTTCAGTCTAGATGGCATTGTGATTTGTCAGAACGCTCACACATTTGAAGTTTAAGATGGCATTTCAAATGCAGCACTAGCGTAGCACCAAGGCGGTAACGGTGCTTTGTCGGATCAGGCTGTAGTCGGGGGTCCATACCACAGCACATTTTACTCTATGCAGTTACCGTCTTCAGTTCAAATTTTGGTTGTCTTCTCCATCGTTACTGTTCCCACGCAGGTTCTTCAGAGCTTCTCCCAAAAGGAACTGGATTCCTACGCCAAGGCGGGGGCCATCGCCGAAGAAGTCCTCTCCTCCATCAGAACGGTGGTGGCGTTTGGTGGACAAGAAAAAGAAGTTGACAGGTTAGCTCTCATTCCTGACACATTAGGGCTGCGATTCAGTGACATTGTTGGATGGACCGGTAAAATTGCTTTTTTGACTTGTTGAGGTACAGTGCTTGGTTTGTGCACAGGTGACCTGTTGAAGAACTGTCTCAAATGGTCAGTTCCATTTTTTGTTCTTGTAGATATTCTGTCAGGCTTTCTGAAGCGAAAAACCAAGGAATCAAGAGAAATACAGCCCAGGCTGCCGGTATCGGCATCGTGTACCTGGTTATGTTTGGTGCCTATGGCTTGGCTTTCTGGTAAGCACCGGTATTATAAATATGTTACGTTACCTTTGAGTTATTCGACCATTGTCGAATTGACATGCTTGTATTGCTGTAGCATTACACCTGTAGAATCTTTTTGTTGTCCAAGTGTCTTCATTGTTATATTCTGCCATCATCTTGGCAGTGAAATCAAGTTTTGTTGACACAGAGTATGTATTGTGGTTAATTTTCATAGGTATGGTACAACGCTGTTCTTGAGCGCTGAACTGGAGCCAGGAGACATCCTTGTGGTAAGTTTGACACCAGTCTTTCCTCTTGATGAAGTTTGATAATTGTATCTCAAAAGTATCTCAGAGCGTTAGGATCAGTAAAAGGGAAAGACAGCATTCCTGAAGATGTCATGTCGTGGAATTTTATTTCTTTTGATGTGAAATGTTTTTCTTCTTTATTCGTTTGGCTATCAGGTGTTTTTTTCGGTGTTGTTTGGCGCTTTCTCCTTGGGTCAGGCTGGACCGAACATCGGCAATATCTCCCAGGCCAGGGGGGCGGCAGCTGCTGTCTGGAAAATCATCGACCAAGTGAGGCCAGAAATCATTTTTTCTCGATGGTGTCATAATTCAAACTTGCTCTTCATCGCTTCCTATCGAGTTTGATGCTAGCTTCTCAAAGTCTTGGTTTCACTGGCTGACGTCTCTACTCATACCATTAGTGCTGGTTAGGCCACTGTTTAGCAGACATATGCTGCTTAGTGAAATTTTTGCATTGAGCAAAACTGTGTGCTGGTAAATTTTTGAAGTCAGGGTACCATCAACCCAGCAACTTCTTTTTAGCAAAATTTATCTTCTGTGAGATTCTTGGACCCAGCTGTGTGTGCTTTTGTAATAGCAACTCTGCAGACTTTGGCTTTTGTGTGTGTTTGTCCCTAAGCAAGGCGCTTTGACTTGATAACGTATTCTCACCATGCTGTCTGATTCCCAACTCATGCAGGTGCCCAGTATAGACAGTAGTTCAGAGAAGGGTCTGAAACCAGACTCCCTGACTGGTGACATCAGCTTTGAAAGTGTTCATTTCTTCTATCCCTCCAGGCCCGAAGTCAAGGTACCAAGTTCTTTCAGGGTTTCTTTTAATTTACCGGTTTTACCACATGATTATGAAATGTAATTTGTAGCAATCTGCCAATGATTTTGAACTAGGTTTCAATCTAGGACCAACAAATCCCCAGATGGAGAAAAGGTGTATAACAGTTATTACCTTTAACGTGCATTTGTGTAATTGTTGCCCATGATTTGTGTTCAGCTGAGGTACAGCAAACATTCCAAGTCCTGGGAGAAGTCATCTCTGCTGTTGGAAGTTGGAGAACTGCTATTATGAAACAACATCAGAAATTCAGAGATGCACATATTTTTGTGGCCCAATAGGTCTTGAATGGTTTAGACCTGGAGGTCAAGCGGGGTCAGACGGTTGCGCTGGTGGGTAGCAGCGGTTGTGGGAAGAGCACCACCATTCAACTCATCCAGCGATTCTACGACGCCGCACAGGGAACGGTAAGTCAGCGTGCTAGGTTCACAGTGTATGCTAATTCAAGTTTTGTTGGAAAACACTGTGTTTGAAATGTGAAATCCTTCACTCTTTGAAGGTGAGAATTGACGGCAACGACATCAAAGACCTGAATGTGAAATGGCTGCGTCAACACACGGGCGTGGTCAGCCAGGAACCCATCCTCTTTGGCTGCTCCATCGAGGAGAACATCCGTTACGGTCGCATGGACGTGACCATGGAGGAAATCATGACTGCGGCCAAAGAGGCCAATGCCCACGACTTCATCTCGGCACTTCCACAGGTGAGAAAATAGTTTGGGATGCAACACATAAGGCCATTTCTAAATAATTTGGCTGTAGCTAGAAATTATGCACAAGTCTATGGCAGTGGCTGCAGCCGGTTCCCATAGAGCCGTGTGTAATTGTAAGCCACAGCCAAGTCATTCAGCCACAGAATAATTGCAAAGGAGGCCAGTGGGCCATAGCGTCACATTGGTACTTCTGCCGATAGTGAAATAGTTTTTGAGGAAATCAGCGAAAAACAATAGAAAACATAACCAGCCATAACTCCGTCTCTGCATTGTCAACTAGATTCAGTTTTGGAGAAGAATTAAAAAAATTGAAAAGTAGAAGTAAGAATGCGTGAGTAAGAAAGTGAAATAAAGTTCTGTGTTCTTCTGAAGCAGACAAGAAGTGATGGATTTTATGTACCATGGTTCTAATAGGGTTACGAGACTTTGGTTGGTGAGAGAGGAGCCCAGCTGTCTGGAGGCCAGAAGCAGCGCGTGGCCATCGCGAGGGCGCTGGTCCGCAATCCCAAGATCCTCCTGCTGGACGAGGCCACCTCAGCCTTGGACACGGAGAGTGAGGGCACCGTCCAAGCAGCGCTGGACAAGGCCCAGAGCGGCCGGACCACTGTGGTCATTGCTCACCGCCTGTCCACCATCCGCAATGCCGACGTCATCTGTGCCTTCAAGGACGGTTTGGTGGTGGAACGGGGCACCCACGCCGAGCTGATGGCGCTAGAGGGCGGTGTTTACCAGCAGCTGGTCTACATGCAGTCGCGCAAAGAGGAGAAACCAGAGGAAGGAGAGAAGTCGGAAGATGATCTTGACGATGACGACAAAGAAGAGGAAGAAGAAATCAAGAAAGAAAGTAAGCATCTTGAGAAACTTCTTCATGATTCCTGGAAAAACAAGAGAACAAAACAGGGTTTTTAGAATTCAAAATTTTGCCTGTGAATAATCAGAAAGTATACCACAAAACATGCTTAAGACAAAAATAGCTAAGCAATGACCAGTGGTAGAATAAGTATATGGAAGTTGGTGGATGTATTCATGGCACATAACTATGAGTTACTTTTGACATAGGGTTTTCCGCCTTACAGCTAGTCTTGCAAAACTGTCACACACATGCCGCCATCTTAGCCAAATTTCATGGTAGTGAATATTGTGGGCTGTTTGGGAATATTAAACAAAGGTCCATATGCTTCAGTGCACCATGTGACATTGTAGCGTTGCTTTGCGCTTGTCCATGTTGATATGCAGATCCAAACTTCCATGATATAAATTTATTGCTCAACTTTCAAAACCGGTGTTGTTTTTTTGCTCTTTGCTAACCAACTTCTAAGCTCCTAAAAAAAGTGGAGTGGTGATAAACGACAGTAAGTGGATACGTTTGAGAGATTTTTTGATGTAGTCCTGTGCATAAGTGTCATCTTTAGAAATAGTGGACGGGACTTTGTGTTTTGTGCTGGTTGACAAAAGTCGCTGCCCAACCATTTTGCTTGTCTTTTGACTTTGTTCCAATTTCTTTAATGTGTCTGTTTGCTGGATTTTATTTTCTCACTGAGGCTTTCTTGCTTGTTATTTTTGATAATGGTATCAATTACTCTTTTGTTGTGGAAAACTTTCATGTTCATGGGATGTTTGGGGTTTTCAGCTGTTCTCTTGTGCTTTTTGTTTTCACAAAGTGGTTTTTGAGAAATGTATTTGAGAACTGAATGATACTTGCATGTGTAACAGAGCTTTATAATGGGGCAGCCATCTTGTTTATCCACTGTTGGAAGTGATGCAACCAAACTGAGGCTGGAAGAAAAATAGTCTGTTTCCTTTTATCGATATGAACATTTGTATTACTTTTGTCAGTTGGTATACTGTTGCAAGACTAAAATGGCTGCATCATGATAAAAGTCCATTCCTGCCGACCTTTCACAAAAAGACCTCAAATGTGCAGCTGTCGGGACAGCGTTCGTATGCAAAAAAGAGGAAACAAACAGTTTTGAAAAAAAAGGTCCCTTTCCGGCCCTTTGTTGAATTAGAATGCAAAGTAAAAGCGAGCTTCTTGACTGTCTCACTTGAACTTTACACCTGTTTACTTTTGTCGGATTTATCGGTATGCTTGCTGGTTTGAGAGGGTTATGAAATCAGTCGTATTTTTGGTACTGCCCACTCCGTGTATCTGTTTACCTCTTTTTGGTTGGAGCGATAAAAAGATATGGGTCCAAAGTTCAGTAACTTCAGTTCTCGTTATTTTTATCCAGATGGTCTGATTTCCTGTTTTGGTCATGAAAAGTAGATCCAAAACCTGTGTGGAGACCTCTCCATGTGAGGAAGTTGTTTTTCTTCACGTCCTTTGAAGGTCAACAAGTTGACATAGAAATTGCTTGTTTAGACTGATTGTTCTCTGGAAAAGTCTGAGCATTTAGAGTAGTTTTTCTGTTTGCTTACCTTCCAAAGTTGCTTTTAAAAATATTCTGTCTGGCTTCCAGTGCAGTCACCTATATGTACCAATTCTTTCATGAGGGAGTCATGCTTTTTTGCCTTTCTATTTGCTTGCTTTTGCCCCTTAAACATTCACATCTGACTGTCCTTTTATTTCCAAACCTGAACCATAAACAGAACGTGAAAAAGATGTGGGTAAGTTATAAAAGTCTCCAAAGCTATCATCAAAATTGTCATGTATTCATCCATGCTATTATCACACACCACCTCAAAACATACATTTATGTGAATGATTTGTTTATATTTTTTTACCAAAGAGTAAAGCAGAAAGTGTGCTCTTTTTTTGATCATGAGAAAAGCCCTGTGGGAAAATCATCTGCTCTTTATTGTAATTTTCTGTTTCCAGTGGTATACGATATTTTGCATCCTGTATCTTGAGTAGATATTTAAACAAATTTTTGGTCAAGCTTGAATCCCCAAATTGACATGAAGGGAATCTGAAGCGTTCTATAAACTGAGCCACATGGGCGTGTGACAATCTCATCGGCAAAATGCTCTTGAAAAGTTGTTCCCAAAACCACATCGTCAACAGTTGTTTCTGAAACATTTGAAAAGTCAGAGCAATTTTTATCAGAGTTGATGTTTAAAGACAGGGCTGACTTTTCCCCCCTTTCTCCTGAAAGAATTCACTGACCAAAGATGGGAGAGGAGTAGATCTGAAGCTAAAATAGGCTCAACTTTCATGCACATGCATTTCTTTCACTGTCATCCCTACTCGTTTCACACTGGTATCTGCCACCCTTTCCAAATGATTTGTGATCAGTACAGAAACAGTCTCATCAAAAGTGCTTGAAAACATCGGGGGAAAAAAGCTGAAAGTTACGTTTTGAAATGTACATTATAGCCAATTTTGGTAAATTTTGAAGCATTTAGAGTTCTTTTTGTTTTGATGTCACAACATTGTCATAGTTGGACTAGTGGAGCATTTTTGCACGGAGTCAACAAATCCTCATCAAATCATGCGCAATGCATTGTAGTCTCAAAGAGCTGCTAGCTACACAAAATTGGCTTTACGAACAGCAGCTGACAAATGAAAATACATGACCAAAACTTACATGTTAATGTCTAGCAGTGCTGTTTCCCTGTCAAAATAAGCCTTTAACATTAATGTCATCAAGTGGTCAAACGCAAATGTCTTTCAAGAGAAAGCAGGTAAACCAACCAAATTCTCATGGTAATATATAGTGCACCTCACCGGTTCACTGCTGACGCTGTAATTTTTCCCAAGGGACGTACCGGGTAAAATTCTTGATTTTGGCTTAGTATAGCACATACATCTATGGAAAGTGCTGGCTAATGGCTGGGGCTTTTTCCCAAAGATGTCAGTGAGCTTGCTAGCCACAGCCAAGTAACGTAGACATGGCCATGCTAACCGCTTAGCAGCTCTGTGAAGTTAACCTCCTCTCATGCCCATACATCCTGGTTTTGAAATTCATCATCTTTCCTGTCTCTTTTCTTTAAAATTCAAAGTGGAAGGAATTTGGGGAACTCATCCACACCTGTTTAATAGATTTGATATCTCGTTTAACACTTATCACTTCTTGGTATTTTGTTGTGGCCATTTTAAATTCTTGCCATAAATATTTGTGACGTCCTTTGACATGTGAATCATTGTGGTGACAGGTGTGCTTGGTAATCAATTAAACAAATCAGAAGTGAACTTGATGTTATAACCAAAATGGTTTTCATGGGTTTAATCTACAATGTCAATAAAGAGCAGGTAATCAACAGGAATTACTTGAGAGGTTTTCTTTGGACTTGAAAAACAAAAATAATTGCTTGTTTAGTAGATAAGGTTCAGTAGGGGTGAAGGGCAAAACCCCGGCTGAGTAAAACATATTTAAAAGATCACAGCAAGGAAGCATCATCTCAAACATGCTGTCGAAAAATTTCTTTTCAAAATGTACAAATATGGAAAGCTGTCGATAATGGGAGACTTTGAGATGCTTGTAGCAGCAGACCCACCGGTCCTTTTTTAATACAGTATTGAACATGTTCAGAACAATGCTCACATGCTCAGAACTGGTAAAACAGACCGGTGTGTTTCCTGCCACCAAGAGTCTCAAAGTCTTCCATTGAAGTACAATCCATGGTTCCTGATTATGGCAGCGTCTACAGGCAGGCCCCTCTCTGGGTGTCTCTTTGTCCTCTGAGACCGTCATTGTCTCTGCTTTGTCTCCGTTGGGCCTCGCGCTTCAGTTTTATGGGTTTAGTCCCCTGATTTCATGATCCCCCGGTGCAGTACAGTGCAGCTACATTTTTGCTGCAAGAACACTAACTTGTCCAGTGTGCGATGCCCAAGTTAGAAGTCTTTCATTTTGGTTCCGATGGCGAATATTTGGAAATGATTCAGACGAAGCCAAACTTGATACAAAGCTCTGATTTGGGAAATGGCCCCAGACACTTCGGCGGTTTCATAGACGGAAAATGCGATCTATTGAACTGTTGGTTCTTTGTCTACAGAGGGCGCTGCATTGATGGACAGTGCTCGGGCTGACACCCCAGGCACACCCCATGCTCGTACATCCAGCTTCAAGGGACTAAAGCGCATGGCCTCTACGGTGTCTACTCACTCCAAAGAAGGGGAAGAAGAGGTATGGAGTGCAGAAGCTAACAAAGAAAATCCCGATTATTTCAAGTGGCCAATCCTTCTCCAAGATTCTCCAAGATCTTGGGTAGATTTTGAAGGACCACGGAGGGTTCCAAATTTGAACCCAAAAAGTTTTTTCTGGTAGCAGTTGATGATTTATTTTTTAAATCCTTTTAATTTCATTTCAATTTTCAGGAAGATGAGAAGGAGGTCCTTAAAGCTTTCAGTGCTGGTCGTATCATGAAACTCAATGCTCCTGAGTGGTTTTACATTCTCGTGGGCAGCATTGCAGCCGGTATCAACGGCGCTGTGCAGCCCGCCTTTGCCGTGGTCTTCAGTCGGATCTTGGAGGTAAAAGCCTTTTTTTTAACCGTTGAACTCTGCGAGATACACAGATGATGGGCTAAACAAAAAGTCCCATATTGACACCTACTAAGCCCCTTCTCATAGGCCTCTTACACAAGCGAATAGAGGAAATGTACCCTTCCCTAGACAATTCAGTTTAGCACCTAATGACACCTTTGCACCCCAGGAATCCTATTTGGCACCCTCTGAGAATTCTCCTGTCTGGTTTTGTCTCCTAGGTCTACAGCTTGGACAAAGTTACCCAATTGGACGAGATTAACCGTCGAACCACCCTGTATTGTCTGCTCTTTGCTGGACTTGGTATTGTCACCATGGCAGCAAGTCTTGTGCAGGTGAGTTGGTAGCTCGCCGTTGAGAATCATACCCACCCTTTTTAAGGTTCTTGTTCCTTATGGAACCACATTGGTCTTTGTTAATGTTCTGCGTTCTTCTCAGAATGCACATATTTCTTTCGGATGTAATCACAGGAGGTCCATGGTAGTGAGCCCTTTTTCAGAATTTCTTTGTGCTAATTCTCAGGGTGCAGCGCTTGGAAAATCAGGGGAAGAACTGACGATCCGACTGCGACACATGGCATTCAAAGCGATGCTTCGACAGGTAATAACCCCCGTTATACCTCCCAGGCAAAAGTAGGAGTTTGTCTGAATCAACTGGCTGTGGCTGACTGCAACACAGGAATCTATGGGAATGGACTATAGCTGCTAGCTAGTGGCTTCCATTGGCACGTGGTGGGTCTAGCCGTAGCCATATCATTCATGATAGCCAGTGTTCTCCATTGGTGCATGTGTTAGATCTAGCCATAGCCATAGCCGTAACACTCTTGCTAGCCAGTGGTCTCCATTGGTGCAGGTCTCAGGTCTAGCCAAAGCCATAACATTCATGGACAGCCGTCTAGTCCAAGTTCAATATCTTTAAAATCCATGCCAAAATCCACATCCATCGTGACATTAAAAAACGTTAAAGAATACAGAGACAAGTCCAACCTCACCCACCACTTTGTCTTGGGCTCCAGCGGAGTTTTACCATTTTTGTACTTGTACGTTTTTGGGTTGCAGGAGATTGGATGGTTTGATGACAAAAAGAACAGCACCGGTGCCCTGACAACAAGACTAGCCACAGAAGCTTCTCAAGTCCAGGGGGTAAATTCTGTCCTAAATGTTTTCACAGTGCTAAGAAACATCACCCATGATCAGCATGCCAGTATTTAAATGTTAATTCTATCTTTAATATATGTAAGTTCCCCCTCACTGACTCCCCAAGGATTGTGTTTAAACACCTTGTTCCATTGATCTGTTTCAGTGTTAAAAGAACTAGAATTCCACCTTGATTTCATTATTTATATCTTGTCGGGTACCCACCAGGCCACCGGTGCCCGTATCGGTGTCATGATGCAGTCCATCTGCAACATTGGCGTGGCCATCATCATCGCTTTCATCTATGGTTGGCAACTGACGCTGCTGGTACTGGCCTTCCTCCCTTTCATCGCCATCGCCGGCGCCATCGAGTGGCAACTGGTGCAGTCCTCGTCACAACAGGACAAGGACGCCCTGGAGATCTCGGGAAAGGTACGGAGAGGGTCACTGAGTTGCAGGCAGCAATATTGAACCTGGGCCTCTGAGAAAATGTCATATTTTGCATTGACACTGCCATTGTGTGCATGTCCTGTGCATTTATTGTAACTTGAAGAGTGCATGCGATTTGGCAAGTCACCACACCCTCATTAGTCAGAACAACACTTAGGCAGTGTTTGAATTACTTAGCTGTGGCTTGAAATTACACACAACTTTAATTATGGGGGAATTGTTTGTAGTCACAACTGTAGACTCATGCAAAGTTTCAAGCAGCAACCAAGTACTTTGGACATGTCCTTTAATGTGAGTGAACAACTTCTGTGTGAACCTGGTGCCACTGTAGTAATGGCTTGCTAATTTGTGATTAAATATTCATGAGCCTGACTTCTGAACTGAAACAGTAAAACCTCCTGATCTGTAAAGCGCAAGCCTGATGTTTGCCTGAATTTCAACCTTCTCCTGGTACTGAGGGAGAAGGGACTTTAAATAACGGTGGCAGTGGTGGGATTTGTAGGTCAGAAACCCCCAACTTGGGCTATTTTCAGCAATGTATTAGCTGCTTCCAATGTGGCTTTGAGGTTGCATTTTTGTAAATGATTTTCAGGCATAAGCTACCTACTTTTATACTGACATTTGTATTTGCTCCAAGTTGTCAAGGTTTTTATCTTTGATATTAGATTGCAACTGAAGCCATTGAGAACATCCGAACCGTGGCTTCGCTGACTCGGGAGGAGACGTTCTACAAGAACTACGTCAGTCTTCTGGTTGGACCCCACAAGTAAGTCTTCATAAGGAGAGAAGCCAAATTAGTTCCAAGGCTTTGTGATCCTGGGGAGTCCCTTGGGGTTTCCCTGATACTTTTATCAGTCCGGGATCAGAACTTTGTCAAACTACCTGTTTTAATGAATCATCCTGAGCTTTCTGGACCAAATCACTGCAGAGGATTTCTCGTTTTCGTGCTTGTTTGCCAGGACCAACATGAAGCGGGCCCAGGCCAGCGGCCTGGCTTATGGCCTCTCCCAGGGGATCATTTTCTTTGCCTATGCTGCAGCCTTCAGGCTCGGGGGTCACCTGGTGTTGATTGGAGAAATGGAGTTCCAGAACGTGTTCCTGTAAGTGCAAAGTGCCTGAAGGAGAGTGTTTTCATTTAATGTAAGCGGTCAAGCAGTGATGTTGTACTCTGTCTCATATTCAAGAACTTTTTTCATGCTCATACTCAAACTGTGGGAAATGGACTCATCAAAATTACAGTGTTGCTGGACTTGTACTCATACTTTTTCCTTGCTCGCACTCACACTCAAGCTCAGGGATACGTACTCAACTGAAATTACAGTCTTGCAGGATTCATACATTGTCCACGCTCACGCTCAAACTTGATTACAGTTCCGTCACTTTGGCACTTTGTTTCCTCTGAGTGTGCCCTGCTGTAAAGAAATGCATGCGCCTGTTGATGCATGTTGGAAAAACTGCTATGCAGGCTGTAGTTATGGGTGTGCGCTTCATTGCCCTTACTTTTGCTCTATTCTCACGTCGTTAGGGTGTTTTCTGCGATCATCTTTGGTGGCTTTGCTTTGGGTGGAGCGACCGCCCTGGCACCAGACTATTCCAAGGCCAAGTTTGCCTGTGCCAACATGTTCCGGCTCATGGATCGTGAGCCCCTCATTGATGCGTACAGCACCGAAGGAGACACTTTGGTAAGTCCAATTGATTTGAATTTGGGAGCAAAAGCGGAAAATAACAACAAAAATAAAAAATGACTTACGATCAGCCATATTGCAAAGTTGGAGTATTGAAGGAATTTTCTGACAGTATTCATTCCCGAGGAGAGTTTGTATGCTTGTGTGTGAGATTACATCACTGATCAACCACCAAATCATGCTCAAACTCCGGACCTTTGGGAATTCCCCAGGTATTGTCTCATTTCTGTCCTTTTTGGGGATTCAAACCGCCAGGACCACTACAACCCAGAGGTCGCGTTTGAGGACGTCCGCTTCCGATACCCAACCCGCCTAGATGTGCCCGTCCTACGCGGCCTGACCGTCTCGGTCAAGCCGGGAGAGACCCTGGCCCTGGTGGGCAGCAGCGGCTGCGGGAAGAGCACATCCATCCAGCTACTAGAGAAGTTCTACAACCCTAGGAGCGGCACAGTGGTGAGTTGAAACAAAAATTGACCAGAACCCTCCGAGATCTCTCTAAATCCATCAAGATGGTTTTATGGAGGAATCTTCGATGATTGAGGATGACAAAGCCCAAGCTGCTCTCAATTTCCATGGGGCTTGATGCTCCTGCAAAGTTTGAGCTCAGAGAAATGTTAGAAAAGTTTCCTCCGCAGTAGAGGACTTTGGGAAATTCTGGAAGAATTCCTCACAAGAATAAACTAAAAAAAACTTTTTGCAAACTAACTCTTTTGCTTTCAAAGTGTAAAAAAACTTTCTGCATTGCAACATTTCAGACACCGAGAAAATTTCTGAAACTCTTTTTGTATGCTTGATCCCAGCTGTTGGATGGTCATGGTCTTGACACCCTGAACCTCCAGTGGCTGCGGGCTCAGATCGGCCTGGTATCCCAGGAGCCCGTCCTCTTTGACCGGACCATCGCTGATAACATTGCCTACGGCGATAACTCCCGAGAGGTTCCCATGACGGAGGTCATCGAGGCAGCCAAGAAATCCAACATCCATGAGTTCATTGCCTCTCTGCCTGCTGTGAGTAGTCCTGGGAAAACAAATGTTTCTTCCAACTCTTAACTTCAGCTTTGTTGATCTAGGTTTCACCAGTTTCTGGTGAGAAGGTTTCATGTTCCCAATCGGGCCCCGTTCTCAGTTGGGATAGGTCTTTTGCCACTTAGGAAAGCCAGGCACTCCTGCACTGTTCTCACTGAGGTCAGCACACCATCCCATCCATTCAAATTGGAACAATATTCCTTGACCATATTCCTTTTACGTCCCATCTTCCATTCTTGTTTGTCAGATGTGTCCAGCCCTCTTTGTTTCCATACACAACAAACTCCGTTTCCTATTCTTGCAGGGTTATGAGACTAAAGTTGGAGAGAAAGGTACCCAGCTGTCCGGGGGCCAGAAGCAGCGTGTGGCCATTGCGAGGGCGCTGGTCCGTAATCCCAAGATCCTCCTGCTGGACGAGGCCACGTCAGCCTTGGACACTGAAAGCGAGAAGGTTCGAAAAGAAAAATTATAATCCAAAAGAATTGGCTCCAAAGAGAAAGGCAATTCAAGCTCGGAGAAGAGACCAATAATTGTAATTTTTTTTAATTAGTCAGCAGTGGCTCATGTGTTTCTAGTGTTCCATCAAAACGAATGGGTAGCTGTGCTGAAATAGCAGTTAAACTTAAATGTTAAGAATGTAATCTCAGTGAGTTATCAAGAACTTTTTCTTTTCGCTCCAGGTGGTGCAAGCCGCCTTGGACGAGGCCAAGAAGGGGCGGACCTGCATCACCATCGCCCACCGGCTCTCCACCATCCACGACGCCGAGAAGATCGTCGTCATCCGTCACGGCAAAGTGGCTGAGATGGGTCGCCACGAGGATCTGATGCAGCTGCAGGGCCAATACCACAGCCTCTACACCAAGCAGGACCTTCAGCATTAAAAACTCCCGGACATCCGATGAGTGACTGCTTCAGCCTTACTTGCTCCGGCCTTCGCAGCATTTCTGGGCGGTAGATGCCTTCCATCAACTTCCTGACACTGCCAACACAAGCTTTTCCGTAAATGGAAATTTTGCCTCTTCCATAGAATTGAAGCATGTTAAAGCCCCCCAAAAAGTGTGATATTAAAATACAGAACACATGCACCATGCTCAGTTTGCTGTAAGTGATATAAAGGGAAATATTTCATGTTATGAAGTGCTCAGGTTTCAAACTTTTCCTACTGGTGCTGTAAAAATTTTCAGTTAAGGATCTTTAGGAAAGGATTTTTGAAGCAAGATTTTTTTTTCTTTGACGAATACTGTGTCAAATCATTGAGCAGGTTTTACTCCCAGAATTAGTGTGTTTGGAATAATACATTTTCTTTGTCTCCACTTCATCCTGAAAGTTTTAATCTGCTTTGAACATTTTTAACTGTGAAGTACCTTGTGCCGGCTTGTTGAGTGAGTTTTTTTTTTAAATCCATGAGATTTTTGAAGGATTTTGCAGAAGGACAGTAGAGCCCTGCCAATAGCCCAACACTATTCCACATGGGATTGGTAGCCCCTTTAAATTGTTGAAGTACGAAATCTGTGCCGTCAGTTTGTTGCATAAGTTGTGACGTAAACACTAAAGAACTGAGGGTTAAACTTACCATCAAAGTTTGAAAGTCACACATGAGGAATCTGACTAAAGTGTGTGTGTGATTGGTGTATACAGATATATTTCATGATGCATTTGCGCTTGTTCAAGTTTTGCTTTTAGTGCAGCTAGACTGAAAAGAGACATTGAGATAACCAGACCTCACCACAACTTAAAAACAAAATGTCTTGGCCTCGTTTCCACCATGCACCACCAAGGCACCGCACAACTGGCAACCTGGGTTTGTGATGTGCGTTTGAATTTCACCGGTGCCCAGCATGGAGCAGATTTTTATTTGCAGAAAACAGAGGCATACTTGGTAAGAAACATATGGAGCACTTATTTTTCTAAATCTGGACAGATGGACATCGCTTGTAGCACAAACGTCATACAGCAGTGTCCTCATGATATCTGGCAGCCACGGGTACTTTTTATATGTACAGATATTGCTTGTAATTCATGCAGACCTCCACAATAGCATTTGTAATATACGAGATATAGTTTTACTGCTCGTGTAAATAGCAAATGACCAAGAGATATGGCATTGCACTGTAGTGATAGTTGTATTGTGAAGTAATTTTTGCATATTGAAGAGAATGTATTTGTTAGAATTATCAAAATCACTTTAAAGTATTGCAAATCTATTTTCTTAACTTGTAATTTGGGTAAACAAAATTTTTCTGAGGTGTAAGAATGTCCGTGTGATGGAATGATTTCAACATCCATGATTTTTGAGTGCATTTCTGATGTTTCATTATCAAGAACTGTCAACAGAACAAAAGATTTTTTTTCCAAGAAGGTTGAAAATTTTGTACCATTCTATTTCTTCAAACTGGAAGAAACACAGTCGAAGTTCGGCTGTGTAGAGATCAGCCCACTGCATAATGAGAACTCTTTTTGTTTCACTATTTTTTATTGTTATTTTTTCACTTGATAACTATTCCTGGAGGAAAACAGGCACTTGGTTGATAAAAAGAAAGTACATGTATTTATTGCAAATTATGATTGGTGTTCATTCAGTTAGACCAGACGTGAGACATATATCATATTTTACCTTTATTTAGAGACATTTTAGTGGTGTAATACATGTGTCATATAACAACCAAAGAATTTAACGTAAATGAAAATAGAAACTCAAATCTTTTGGCAAAAGATTAAGTGAAGTCTTTCGATCCAGTAAAAACACTTATTGAGATTTTGTTTTTAATATGAAAAATGATTTTCTTTTGTTTTCACCCCCTCCCATAATTTTCTTGTCAGTTTCTTATGGTTTACATAAACTAAGGCCAGAAGCCACCCCACCCATGTGGGCTGTTAATGTAGACTTGTAGAGTAATGTAGCAATGTAAATTGCATATTGGAACCACACATATTTATTGTTTTAAATTGCAAGAGAGAATATTTTGTAAGCTTTTGATTTCTGCCGTTGATTCAATAAAAGTCTTTCGTTTTAGTTTTCTGCTTGAAAGATTTCTTTAACGTGTCGTATTCCAGTTAAGACCTGTTATTAAAAACAGACCACCGTTTTGTGCATCTTCGAGTTTTTTGCCAGGAATTTTGTTGGAAAAGAAAGAGGGCAGATTCGTCATTGTGCACCACTGAAATTGCTATCAAACATTTCGCATGACGAATTAAACTTGTCTAGCATAGGTGACCCGTCTTTTTTGAGTAAGAAAGAAAGAGAAAGAAGCGAGCTCAACTGTTGGGCTAGACATTTTCAACTTGGAATTTCACTGCCCAATCAAAGCTAGGGAAGTGCGAGTAACTATGCAAATCGGTGACTTCAAGATACTTTCAGCCAATTGGTTTTACCTCACCAAGCATGCGTAGTGGAAAGAAGCCGTAGCACGTAGACTGGTCTGATAACTGGACGTTATGATGGACATGTACATGTAAATTACAGTATCGATGAACGGCGTGAAACTAGGGGATATTGCATGCTCTGCGAATCTAGTTGCAAAACGCGAAAGCGAGCACTAGAAAAGGGGGTACATTTTCTACACGGGGTATCCAACTGATTAAGAAATTCGTAAAAACAAACTCGTATGATCAACTCGCCGCATTGCTATCAGACAACAACTGCTGCTTCCCTGAAGGCTGAAGAAAAGCGTAGGTAGACTAGGCCCCAAAACTTGACGAGCCACTTCAAACCAGACTGAATTAGGGGAACTGACTAGGCCAAGGAGCATGCAGGAAGTACAGAGCATCTACTACATGTACTAGTACATTTAGTACTCAGAACTTACGGCTCCTTATGCTGGAGTTGGAACACGGAGCTATAAAAAACGGCCTTCTGGCATGTGAAGTGCAAATTTAAAGTTATTCTCTGAAGACATATTATTTACTGATACATTTAGTTTATGTGACGTGTTCCAGTTGGACGCAATTTACTTTTACTGACCACCGAAGCAAATGCCAGCAAGTACTTGCAGTTCGCAGCGCTAGCGAATGGCGGAAGAGTAGAGTTGCCCGGCCGCAACGCTAGACAGCCTGGCCGGGTTGGCTGCCGCAACGCGGCGCGTGGCTTTAGGATGGGACCGCTCGCTAGGCTGGTTACACAATGCATTACTTTTGTTAGCCCCGCTAGCATGGCTATTGTGCTTACGATATTGCTTGGTTTTCCACAGCATTATCCAAGCATGCCTAGCCTGGCAATCACTTGTGGGGCCAAGGCCTATTTTGTCATGTTTGTGGGAAAAGTCATGAAATTAATACACATAACAGAATAGGCCCTAGCTAGGCCTACGGTATCTGCCAGTAGCTGTATCCCCAGTGTGATCAAGGGACAGACATTGACAGTCTGGGATTTGGGAGGAGAGTGGTGAGGGAAGTAATTGACATGTTCATAACGTAACTTACGTCTTAATTGCAATTAATTTTGACCCTCAGTTTGAAAATTACGGCTTGAATTAAGATTTCATTTTATAAAGTACATTATTCCTGTTCCGTTTTCAGCCTGGACCACGATGAGGATAATAATCTTAGCTGGCGGTTATGGAACTCGTCTTCAGAGGGATTTGCGGAACCATGATCCACAGGGGGTGTACAGACACCTTCAGGGCATGCCCAAAGCACTGCTTCCTATTGGCCATCGGCCGCTAATATCTCATTGGATGGAGACGCTTTGGAAATGCAGAAGTCAAATAGATGAGATATATGTTGTGGTGAATTCCCTGTAATTTATGTAGGTTTTTCCTGTCGTAAATATAAAAAGAGAAATTCATTGTCTTTCTTGCTCTTTATTTTTTTCAAAACTGGAGAAAAATTCCATTTCACAAGAGATGAAAATTAGCAGTTGGAGTCAGGTTATTGGACAGCTTTCCTTTGATGCTGTGATAAAGATGTTGCGCAGAGATAAATGATTTGTTTTTGTTTATTGCGATGCCATTTTCAGTGTAACGACTTTTACTTCAAAATGTTTGAGGATTGGGCCAAAGATTGGGAAGAGGCTGTCTTGTTCAACGATGGCACCGGCACAAACGAGGTAATGTAATGAAAACTGATCAATAACATGAACTCTATACAAACAGACTTGCTAGATAACGTCCGTAGTCCATGATGTTTTAAAGACAAATTCATTGCACTCTGCACTTCCGCGTTGTGATCTTTAATCTCCAGACCAGGCTGGGAGCTGTCGCCTGCATCTATTTGCCGGTTGACAGAATCGGTTTTGAAGACGACGTGACGGTCATTGGAGGGTATGATTTTCTTATTCTGTAAAGGAGGCTTTTTGTAACATTTCGGATTTGGTGAAGCTTTATCTAGCCACTATATTTTTCAAATCGGCGAGTGAACAACCTGTGCTAGCGCGTTTGTCTAGCAGCTGGCGCAATGATCGTGAAGGTTTTTGTTTGTTAAAGTTAGGCTGAGCGAATTCTGTCAGATGCGTGGAAATGATCCGTGTGCTTTAATATGAAACCACTGTCTAAGCTGTATTCCACATGGCACATTTCCCACAATCATGTATTATTGCCTAGCTGCAGCCGAGCAATTTCAACACGGCCTGAATATATGCTGGTACCCACGGCTGTCAAATGGTTGTAGTAATGGCTAGTTTCTGTGAATTGTTATTAGATGGAAATATGTTCGACCTTTGATCCAAGGTCACCACTACCAGTCATGCATTGAATGTCTGTGCATAGATGACAAAGGGAGGTAGGGCACCGGCCCATGATTTGTCATTTCATCTCGGACATTTTGCTAGTGAGATCAGTCGTTACCTGTTCTTTTGCACTGTGCACGTAGCAACATTCTGTGGGACTTAATCAGCGGCCAATTCCATCTTCATTTGCAGGGACACGCTCTTCAAGGACGACTTTGACTTGGCGTCTGTCTGGCAGGAATTTAGACGGCGTCAGCAGCAGACCCCAGATGCTAGTCTGGTGCTGGCCTGTCCCTGCACAGATGAAGGTAGGCATGCAGTATGGATACCAGTCTGGAGAGAAGAGCCAAACAGCAAAGAGGCCATGTCTCAAATGTTGGTTTCTGTCCGTCTCTGGCTTAGATCCCTGAGTTTTGAGGCATCCAAGGCTTACAAAGCCAAGCTCAGAGAAAAATGTTCCAACTGAGAAAATGTAGGCGTCTCTGTATTCAAACCCATGTGTTGACTGTATGTATTATACTTTTTCTGTTCAGACACGGTGAAAGTGGGCATCTTGGAGACAGACGACAAAAGAGTGACCGCCTTCTTGGAGAAACCAGGACCCAGCCAAACTACTTCCAGAAAATCGGTAAGCCATTATGTGTCTAAATCATCTGGCTGTGGCTGGGAATATAGCACATGCTTTTATGGGAAGTAGCCAGAGCCGCTAGACATGTCATGTCCAGTTTGGGCCATAACATTCAGAAAGCGGCCCCAGTTCTGATTTCAAGGAGGAGATGAGACCCACAGCGCCCTCTGCCGGGGATGCACAAGGCTAATACCTCTCCGGTATACCCACTGCTATCTCATTGTCTCCATATGCACGTACATTTACATCTATTTGCATAAAACTGTCTCAGTGCAATCATTTCTCACAATTTCCCGACAGTGCCCTTGCTTCTACGTCCTGTCCAAAGCCAGTCTGCCGCTCATCGAGCAATACTTGGAAGAAAGGAAGGTAAATTTGTTGACATATCAAGGGTGAATTTGCAGAACTGACAAAAATTTCATATGCCAGTCAAATACTAAACTGTTGATCCCTTTTGATTTATATATATAAAATGCAATACTATTAGCTATCACACAGGTGCAAGTGGAAGGCAGAATAATGTATTGCGTCTCAGTCCCATAGACCACAATGGCCTTCGGCATCTGTGGCCCGTATAAGGCCTCGCAGTCTACAGGACTCAGACACTAGGTTCTACGAGCACGAGCGCAATAACGAATTTATCTTCAAGCAAACTTAACGCGCAGTAAAGATTTTATAGATAAATCCGAAGAGACGCCATTCCGAGAGGCCATATACACTTACGTAGCTGTCTCAAGCTGATTGCGCACACTTCGGCAATCGACTGCTGCCTTCTGGTCAAGGAGGAATTTCACGCGCGTGCACAGCCTGCGTGCAAACAGGATGGACCCGTAATAACGATTTCTACTTTTGGTGGTCAGATTTGTCTACAGGGGCCAATCTATGCGAGCAAACATACTACCCATTTTGTCAACGGTTGGTTTGAGCTTATTGACCTTTTTATAAAAAATTATTTTTTTTGTCTTTTGACTATCGTTTATTCACAAATGTAAACGTATATTGAATAATCTACTCTTTTCCCTCAAGGAGGGACCAGTCGAAGGGAGGGACGCTACCGGCAACTTTATACAGTATCTTTATCCAAGGTAAATTAATTCACTCTTGTTGAGTAAACCACCGGAGATAAAAAAAAAATCACTTTGGGTTAATTCTGGCTGGTACATTCTTCACAAGAGGGGTGAATTTTTTGTGACAGATCCCCGAGGATGTCATAGTGAAACAAAATTCTCATATTAACCACAGACGAAAACAGACCAATGAAACAAGAAAAAAAAGAAAAAGGTTTAAATCAACCCCTCCAGAAAAAGAGCAAGATTAGAACCCATGGCATATGTCACCTCAGCTTATTAATTTTAAAAATTTCCTTGCCAAACATGGCTTAACTTTGTAAATGGCTTAAATTTCCATGGGGGGGGTTAGAAATTGACAGAGTTAAGAATGACACGTGTTATGTTACACTCGTGACTGCCTGGTTCAACAGTATACTGCAGTTTTCAGGGGGGAAATCAATTATATCATGCTCTGTTACTTCTGAATTTCCAGGTGCGCTCGACCGTGGCAGTTTGCCCTCCGAATAAAGCATGTTGTGCTAAACGTTATGCTTGAAAGCACAGTGCTAGCCCGACCTTTCTCTCAACCTTCCTGCTGTTGCAAATGTGCGTACCAGTCATGCAGAGGTTGAATTACTGCAAAAACAGCCATTTACCCGTTGGGATGGTGGTTTAGAAGCAGTGTTGGTTGAAAGCACCTACAGCTCAGGATTGAAGTAACAGTTGTCTCCGTTTGTCTGGACAGCCGCACAATGGTAAACTTTGTAGCTGAAACAGATGAGTGGACAATGGATAGATAGTTCGGATCATCTCAGGTTTGTAACTGAGAATTTGTTTCATTTGCAGTGGCCAACATCGTATGTACTTTCCTTGCAGGTTGCCCGTTTACACGTATGATATAACTGCAAGGTTTGACGTCGGCGCTCTGTCTTCCTATATATCGTGTCACCAGTACTTTCTTCGCCAGGGCAGTCTCCAGAGCAGAGACGGTAAGAGGCCATCAGAGTTTTCACTGCAATTGTGGAATTCATTCTTGTGCGAAAAAATTGTGGGATCTCTATTTTTGACGTAGCCCAGGCACAATCAGTTTTCATTGTGATTGCCAAATTGTTCAATCTTGCAGCAAAAATTGTTTTCTTCTTTGTGACACAAGCAAAAAACCCCCAAACGAACCAAGAAGGCCCTAAAACATTTGAAGTCGCACACAGTCTTTTTACAATATTTACCAGGTCCAACTTTGGAACACAGTATCAGCTGTCGCAATGTCGTCTCTTTGAGTCGGTGACAGATGTAAGCAATGCTTCCCCCCCTCCCCACTTTGACATTCCCATGCTAGATAACCCATTTCAGCATCCAGCTGGCTTTCGTTTCTTTCAAGGAACATTGATCGGTGAGTCTAATGTCATCTGTGAGTGTGATGTATGACATTCAAGTTTGTGTATGTTCGTTTTTCTTCACTTCAGAAATCAAAATGTCGAAGCAACATCCAAAGGGAGAAGGGCATATGATGCAAAAGTCCAAATCTAAAAGGTAATGCTGTAAAATCAATTATTATCTTTAATTTTGTTGAATACATTTTACTATCGGTGTTTCAGTTTCCTTTGAATTTTTTGAGTTGTTTCCATGCGGAACTGATTTTAATTTCAGAGAACAACTTTGTTTTTAAATTTGGTTTGGTCAGTGGTTTAAATTGTTTTTCGGTTCTTCATTACCTTAACTTGGAAATAAGAGTGTTCCTTATAATAACATTCCACCACACTGGAAATTACCCCATCAAAAATTCCTGGTTGAGTCGTTGTTGGCGTTTGATTGTGCAGGTTACCAGCGACTTTTCTCCCTGGTTTCCATGACAAGGGGGCAGTGGAATGCATGCGGTACAACACACTTGGGAAAACAGGCCTGGAGGTTTCACTGATAGGGCTAGGTAAGTCGGCAAAGGGTCACTTGCGCCGTCCAATTTTTTGGCCAAGTGTTGCTGGTTTTTCATCAGATTCAAAGGAACAGTTTGTTTTTCTCAGTGGGCTCTTCGGGTGTAAAAGCAAGGGACCCTACCTTCACCTTGACGTGTGGTTATTCAGCATACACTGAGGAATGCTCCGAGTTCTGAGATTTTCCCTTGTCAGTGCACCGCCATCTATGATCAGTGCATAGGGCATTTACAAAACGAGTGGTTCAGGCTTGGTCTTCACAGGCTTCAGCCATTTGAGGAGACTGCAGGCTGGAACCAGTGAAGCCAAAGACTAAGCTGAAGTTCGTAAACGCCCACAGAGTCTTTAAACCGGCATCTCTTTTTTTCCTCTATGACAGGTGGATCTCCCTTTGGTAGTGTGTTCCATCCCATGTCGCTAGAGATGGGTTCCAAGGTCGTCCGTAAGGCGCTGCAGAGCGGCATCAACTACATTGACACGTCGCCGTATTACGGCAATCGCAAATCAGAGACCATGTTGGGCAAGGTACAGAAAGGGGATGAGATCGCAGTGCTAGTAAAACAAGAGAAAAAGTGTACCGGAAAAGCAATCTGAGTACAAGGTTTATAAATGGATAAATGGCCTGTGAACATGCCCTCTCCTTGACCCGATGATTGATTTTGAGCAGATCATGTGACCTCCTGTCTCGTTGGTGTAGAACTGCTTCTTTCGCATTGTCGTCTTCACTTCATCTTTTTGATTCCCTCCCTAGATTCTGAAAGACATACCCAGGGAGGCGTACTACATCGCCACCAAGGTCGGACGGTACAAGCCCAACGTGGAGGAGATGTTTGACTTCTCGGCCGAGAAGACGCTGAGCAGCGTGGACGAAAGCCTCCGATTGCTGGGCCTGGACTATGCAGACATCATACAGGTAAAAACTCACCGCAGAATTCCTGGGGGGGAAAAGCTGTAATTTAAAATGCACAAGAAAAAAAAAAAAGCAGAGGTAACGCTTTTGTAGAAAGCTGGTTTAGATGTGTAGTATAATTTTGCTGAGCATAGCAAAGTCTCATGAAGCAAAAATCAGGTTTACTAGGCAGAATGCCCAGTGGTCGTGACTATTTCCCAGTAATACACAAAAATTGAAACCCGTGACTGAATTTTTTGGTTTGTTTTGGGTAGGTACATGATATCGAGTTTGCTCCAAACCTGGATGTTGTCCTTAAGGAGTGCTTACCCGCTCTGGAATGCGTCAAGAAAGCAGGAAAGGCCAGGTTCATCGGAATCACCGGCTTCCCGTTGGACATGTACAGGTCAGGCACTGTCCACAGACTGGTTCCCTGCTGAAATGGCAAATAGAGTGTTATCTCTTGTGATGGTTTCCAGCTCATCAGCTCTGTGAAATGTTGCACGATAGCTTACAAAAAAGATCGTGAACATTTCTCGTCATTCCAGTTGGCGAGCAGTTGTGAGCTGGTACCATTTGAAGAGCAACGAGCAGTTGAGATAATTATTCTTCTTAAAAAGAGCCGTTCTTCACAGCACTGTTGCCTACTTTTTCTTTCCTTTTTTTACGTTCTCACTTTAGAAATATCCTGGAACGTAGCACTGTGCCGATTGATGTAGCTCTTAGTTACTGCCATCTTACTTTGCATGATACGTCTCTACTGGATCTCATCCCGTATTTGAAGGTAACGTCTCCCCCCCGTAAAAAAGACAAGAAATGAATGTGAATGTTCAGCAAAAAAGCATTTGCACTTCCATGCACCCACTTGGTGTGTTGCCTGGTTTGGTTGGTGTGTACAGCGTGATGGGTCGTCAAGGAAAGTTCAGTGGCCTGGGTTCCCTTTTTAGATCCATGATGAAAAGGGCATTTTGGCTAATAAATATCCATGAGATGTAGGTGTCATCCTTTGTTTTCTTTGGGGGGGGCAGGAGAAAGGTCTAGGTATCATCAACGCATCACCCATCAGCATGGGGCTACTCACCCACCGCGGTCCCCCCGACTGGCACCCGGCTCCCGCGGCTATCAAGGAGGCCTGCCGCGAGGCCGCCCTCTACTGCCAGTCACTGGGTGTCGACATCTCTAAGCTGGCCATGCATTACACCCTGTCCCAGAATGCCACCGACCTCACCTTGGTCGGCATGGATACGGAAGAGATCGTGCGGAGCAACCTGGAAATTGCACTGGGGACGCTGACGGAACTGGAGAAGGAAACGTTAGATCATATCCTTAAAAGGTAACTCGTTCCTTGCAGCCTTGAAGAGCCAGAAATTTAACCCCTTCGCGCCATTAATTCCTTTGACCGTGACTGCTGGGCTATGTTGTGCCTGAATAGATGGCTTTGTCCATCAGCAGGTCCCATTGAACCAGCAGCTGCATGGTGAATAGACTGTATGTGTGGTATGCACAAATCCTCACACAAAACCGTGGCTCTTGCCGTCTCCCGGAGCGAAGGGGTTAAGTTAGATTAAGCTTGACAAGCCCAAATACATGTCCACAGAAAAATGGTAACTTTGTGTTTAATAGATGCTGGACTCTGGTGGAATATAATTATTCATTTTCGTGAAGTATTTCTCTGCGGTTTACAGAACTGTTGGTGTTAGATTAACAATTCGATCATCTTCCAAATGCTAATCTCCTTAACTTTCTGTAGCTGTCATAAAAAATACATTCAATTGGTAAATATGGTTCTGCCGGTTTTTCTAGGTTCTTTGAACCCCTGAAAAACAAGAGTTGGGAAGGAATTGAAGTGAAAAACTACCGTGCCAAGTTGAAAGATGTGGAGGGAGCGTGCCATTGATGTATTGTGCCCAGACTTCCCGAGGCGTTTTTCCTGAGAAACAAATGGGTGAATCCTCCGGATCACTCCTCCACCATGCAGGAAACCAAGGACACATTCTACTCTTCCAGCTGGGCTCTAAATTCCTCAATCCGACAAAACTCTCCTAATGGGTCTCAAAGGCTCAGAGATGTGTAGGGTCACTTTGAATGCTTCATGTCCTTAAAATTTTGAAATCGAAGTATCAAGTTTTACAACAGTTTCTAACAATTTTACTGAAGGTATCTTTTTTTTCTTAACATTTGGGGAAAAAAATAATTCTAAGACATGTAGTGCTCTTAATTTTTCGTTTCTGTGTCTTTTGTATTGGCTATACAAAGACGAGATGAAGATTTCGGGGTAAATGTGTTCTATACCTTGTTATTGGCTTTAGGATGTTCTTCCATAATGGTTCTAAATTTCTTTATTGGGTTGATTGGGTGATGTTCTGTAGTTATTTTCTCTGATCAAGTGCAAACTCTTTTGTGGTGTGACAGTTTAAAAGAGTGAAATAAAAGGAACTTTTCAAAATAAAAAAGGGATTCTCGTAAAGGGAGCTGATTGAATGAACACCATGGAAGCAGAGTTGCTGACTCGACTTGTGACTTGACTTGGACAAAATGACTTGTTACCAACCCATCAGATGCTACTCGACCGGCCCCATATAGTTTTATAACTCATAACCTTGTAAATTGACGCCTGGTTCTTTTTGCTTATTACTGCTGGACAAAATAATGTGCAGCTTGACTTGTACTTGGATAAAGAGACTTGTGACTGGACCGAATGACTTGTGACTTGACTTGGACTTGCAAAATATGACTTGCTGCCACCTCTGCATGGAAGTGGAAGAGCTGTTATCCTTATTTAGCCAATCAGGATCAAGGTGGTGACGAGACCAGTCACATTCGTCCCTTTGTGTTTGCTCTTCCTGTGCCACTGGTGTTGAAAATAGTTGTCGTTGACAGTGACCATCTTATTTGGTAACTCTTCTTTTAAATTGTGTTTCACCCCCAAAAAACAAGCAAACGCATAACAACCAAGTAAACAAAAGTTGTTTATTCAGCCAATATTTTGTCAACAATAAAGTGCAAATATATACAAAATCTCAATAGTTGGTGGGAATGCACTATTTTGTATAAAAGGTTAAATTATATGATAAAGATTAAATGTAGATCTAATCGCACGTTTGGCTTGTAATTATTCATTTAAAATGAGTAATATGTTTATTCCTACAGCAAACAATACTTTGCCCTTAAAATAAGTAGAAATCAATGTTTTGATTGGAATAATTTAGCATAAAGTGTGAAAAATATCATTCTGATGCCTTGGGGTGGAATTCTGAAATTTTTATCCTGCAGTTTCCCATGTTTAACTCTGGATGTCTTTTTTTATATTAATCTATTCGTTGATTCTTACAATGTATTCTGTTTATTTCCATTAGAAAATAAATTGAAAAAGATGAGGTTTGTCTTGCATGAAAATCCCTGCACTAATGTTTTACGTGGTTTAAGTTAGCTCGGAGAATTTGGTTTTGTGTAAAAGTAAATAAGCCTCTGCATTGCACTTTTAGTACACCTGTGTTTGATTGATAAATCTAGCCCTGAAATGGGAAAGGACAAACCCAACTCAGCACATGTATTTTAATTCAATTATTAAGCCACACAATCAATGTCACTCCCAATTTTGTTAAGCAAGGCAACAGAAATTACAAGCCAGAACCTTCACAAATACAGCTGACTCATGCATAACTCATTCAGAGCTATATTATAAGCTGTGGAGCTGATCATTGTGAAGTTCTAAAAATAGTCTTGGGCATGCTCCTTGAAGCAGAACTGAAGACCTGTTGGTTTGCTCAAGTTTCACTGAAGCCTCTACTGTTTTAAACCCTGTTTTGCTCACACACATTTCAAGCCAGGAGATTTTGCAAGTGAATCCAGCAGTTCTGTGCATCTCTATCAAGAGACATCCATGCTGTGTTCATTGGCTGAGCTTGGGATACTCTGACTGTGAGCACCCACATCTCGGTATCTGTCGGCGTCGCTTCCTCCGTCGCCAAGACTACCCATCCTAGCTGCGCTGCCTCGATGACTTCCCCCACTGCTGGCCAGTTGGCTGTGCCTCTGTCCACTCATCTCTGTGTCCATCCAGCCTCCGGTCTGTCCACCAGCGTCGCCTCCCTCCCAGGGGGAGTGCACTGTGGAGGCTGAGTCCACCTGCAGCCTGGCAGCCAGTTGCCTAGCAACCTCCTCCCTGAATTGCTTCTCCCTCTTATCTCTCTCCATCTCCGTCTGGATGCGTTCCCGTTCCTCCTCCTCCTGCTTCCACCTTGCATCCAAAGTGCCTTCAATCTGGTCGAGGAGGACAGTGTGAGGGGACCTGTTCTTCCTCCGGAAACGCTGTCAGTAAGAAAAAATATTTGTTTTCATCTCCATAGCAACCGAACCAAAGTAGAAGTGAGCATGTACAAAAAACAAAGACAGCTTTTTTCTCTCTTCGTGAGAATTTTCTTTGGGACTCACCGAGAATTCACCAGATGTTGTCGGCCATTTCAGAGGAGGCATGATGAGCTCGGGTTGGTAGCGGGGTTGAGGGGTCATCGCTTGACCCATCTGGCGACCTTGTGACCTCTCCGATCTTGGCTCAGGAAGCCCAAAAACTGAGACAAAGAGACGTTTACGTGGGTTACAACAGTGATCTTTTGAAGAACGTTTCTTTACTGATGTGACATTAAAAGCACGTCACACTCATTGCATTTGGGAATTTTCTCAGAAACAAATAACGTCCCCCTTGCTGTAGAAAAAAAAAAACTTTCTCTCATCTTTTGGTCATTTGTAAATCTCCTCATGTGACTTACTCATGTCTCTGTTTCTTGACTTGAAGTGGATGTTGTATGGATCATGCTCTGAGGCTGTGACAAACTCAGGCAAGCCAAGAGGACCCAATGGTGGATACTAGAAAAAAATGCAGAAACAATTAGGGAGAATCCTGGAATTATCGAGGGAAAGTCAGAAGACTTATGTCAGAGATTTTGTCACTATATTAATTTGATGTCTCTTTGCCGGATAAAATGGGACAAGCATATTTATTTGCAAAATTTTGGAGATTGTTGAATGTACAAGTAACATGGGTCACTTTGTCTTGCAATTTCTGAATTTTGTTATACAAATAATTTGAATCTCTCGGATAAAAAAAATTGTTAAGAGGTCCAGGGTCCACGAACTTTCCCCTCAAATACAGCAGATATTTCTGACAGCCATAGACGGTATTTAGAGTGAGTTATAGCCTGATTTGTCCACTAAAATCGGCCAAAGAAAGAAAACATCCCCTCCCAATAAACGAAGAGGGCGAGAAGTACTGTTTTTAAAAACAGCTCTTGCCACCCAGACTCCACCATCTTACCCCCCTGAAGTCGTGCAGTTTCGGCATCTGATATTTCTCCTTGGGGTACATGCCCTCTTTCACAAATTTGACTCTGGTCTCATGGGGGTCATCAATCCTGAATCGGGTCACCAGCTGGCTGCTGCGCGGCTGGACAGGTTGAAGGATCTTGGGCAACTCTACTGCCTTCTTTCCTTTGGCTTTCCCCACTGCTTTCTTCTGGCCTGTGTGAGAAACGGGGGAACAGAAAAACCAGTGTGTTAGACAGCAATTGGTAAACCCATCCAAAACTGTGATTGCAAGTTGAATAACCTTAAACAAATGTGCCAATTGTACCGAACAATTAAAAAACCTTAAAATAATTATATCTTTCCAGCCATGAGAGTTTGATACAAAATCAGTGGGGTCCAAAAAGTAACAAAAACAATTGGATAATATTTGTAAAGAGTTTTTCTCTGAATTTAACAGTTGCTGGGAAGTGCTGTCAATGAAAAGGAAAAAAGATTATATTGAGTAACAAGGCTTCCATATAAACAGACAACTTGAAATCTCTGTCATAATCGTGTCATCCTGTCTGTTGAGATAAAAATGGTTTGACTGAAGTGATGGTGCGGAACTGAAAACTACCTGGAAAAGTCCCATATTTCCAGGGCTGCATGCTTCTCGGGAGTTCCGCTTGGGTGGCTTGGGAAGATACTGCTGGGGGCGGAAGTCTGGAGGAGGCCGGTCCCAGATGCTGTACTCCTTGGGCGGCTTTGTGAATGACGTAGCTGTCGCTCCGCGTCAGCACCAGGTCCCGGCCTGCGTTGAAGCGGCTCTGGGTGGCAAAGGAGAACTCGCGGATGTTCAGGCTCTGGGCGGCCGAGGGCTGGCGGGTGGGATGAGAGGCGTGATGACCTCTGGCATCATGCGAGGCCACCATGGTTGCCATTGACTTCAAAGTCTAGCAATAAAAAAAAAATTACGAAAACAGCTGCATGAAACACTGCACTTGATAAGCCACCAACATTGTGGATACAAATACATTAGGTGTAACTGCTTCAATCAACAGCAAACAACTATTTTGGGTCAGTCAGAACAAGAACAGCGTCAATACTCAACGTTGGTTGGTATATTCATACTCTGATGGGCACTGAAATTATTCCCTCACCACAGGTAAAAAAAATTGTCCAAAAGCAATAAAGAAAAAATAATCACAAGCAGAGTCTGTGAACGATCCCAGCTCCTTTCCCGCAGCAAGGGATTGGATGGCGTCTGGTATGTGCGACGCTGTGACAAATTACTCCTAAAGCTATTTATGCACCTTTACCCAGTCTGATATCGATTACATGGGCCCCCGGGATTAAGTAACACAGCTGCATGGCTACTGTTTGTGTAGAACTGTGAAAAAAAAGACCCAGGCAGGTGTTTCTGGCATCATAGGTAATCCCAAATCTTCATAAATGCAGAAAAATTATGTTAATGTGACACCCTGGTTTGCCAACTTGGCCTGAGTCCAATAATTCTTTGAAAGTGAGGCCATAGTGGATTGTGATTTATTTCTAAATCCTTTTTCCTACTTTTTTCATACTGTTTTGTACTTGTACATGCATTATCACTTTATTGCTTGTTTTTTTATGTGTGTGTGTGTGTTTTTTTTTTAAGAATAGAAAGTTTCAGAGCCCGTAGAAGTTCAATAATATGCATAAGAAACTCAAACAACTGTGATGCAACAAAAACTCTGCAATTACAAGAAAACAGACACATAGAGAAAAAGTTGACCTTTCGAGCTTGTGAATAACCCTTAACTCAGAACTGAGACTAAAATGGAATCACAACAAACACCTGTACCCAACTTACTTCTTTTAACAGGCCTAGCTTCGTCCAGAAATTACGATCAAAAGAAATCTTTCATCGTTTTTGTCCTCCACACGTCCAGACAGAGTGTACTTCATGAGCAGATTCAACTCCTCCGAATCTAACCCAGAATATTTCGACAATATTTATTTGTTTTTATTGATCGCTGCATTAATACTTCGTAACCTCCATACCGGCCCACATTCACCTGTTGCAGAAGATATGCCGATACCCGTGCACCCGCTTGAGGTGTACACATTTCGGTTGATATAGCAACTGGGACTGATCCAACTGTTAGTAGGGGTGGTCCAATCAATTGATCGGCTTTCCCCTTGTAAAAATAGCTTTTTTATATTTGAATAGAAACTAACCATTCGCCTCATACATATTTTTATCATCACAATAGTAAGTGCACAGAGTCAGCCAAATCTGAACGTCTGTATAAGTTGAAAATAATGAGAAATTTGGAATGAAAACAATATTCCGCCCACGTTAATATATGGACAATCCTATCACGTCTCTTCTAAAAGTTGGAACTGGGACCCTGTTGTTGGGACAAAAACGACGCCCTCTTGTGGAGTAAATAGACATTGAGAAAAGAACGGGGGGGGGCTTGAGGGGTATATTATGTACTAAGCACAAAATTCAACCTGTGCAGTTCATCAAATTTGAGGGAAGGGCAGGCACTCTTTCATGAGGAAGAATTTTGGTTCCAAATTTTTTATGCTTTCAAAAAGACATGAAAAGTTTTGATCCGCTCATGTTTCAAGAATGAAACCTTGTAACCTTGTTCAACTACCGTCAATGCAGCGTTACGGTACATGTATTTTAATTAAAAATATTAAAAGTAAATCATTCCAATCCTGGCCTACTCTTATTCAAAGCTGATTTACTAATATCCTTTATTAACATTAATTTAAAAACAGTTTCTCCACAGAGAAATTAAATCTAACAAAAACCTGCATGTATACAGGTACATGTACAGTACATGTTAATGAAAAGTTGCACCTTACAAGGTGCAGCAGACGACAGTGCCTAGCTGTCCATCACGCGCTACACTGCCGTCGAGGTCGCGCGGTATATTATGCATGTAAGCGAAAGTTACGCATGTAACGCGCAGAGTGGTTGCGCTATACAATTAATCTTATGACACATAGTGATCGAGTACCGGTAAGAATGTACGCACGTTTGGGGAATACCTTGAAATAAAGGACATATTTCATCATTTCGGAGGGCTGTTGTGTAACCAGATCTCATCCGTTAGTTTACGACTGGCCACAGGCATTTGGAAAAGCAATGCTGTCCGGGGAAGCTGCCTTAATTCTCATGCCGACAGCGTGCAAGTACCCGCTGAATGACTAAGCTCTTTATACGGCGACCGGCCAGGGATAGCGTGATTTTAATTCCAGCTCATGCAAATGGTCGGTGCACTGGCCGCCTGAACATCAAAGCGAGATCGACTTTGTAGCTAGCGCTGAGGAAGGCAGCAGTTATCCTCTGTTGATCAAAATATTAAATTGTAAGTTGCTGTTTCTTCTATTCTGTTTCCCCAAAAATTGTTGGCGAATTTATTATTCCACATTTCCCACAAAAAATGGAAAAGATTGTTGTGTTCTGCCACCACATTTTTTCATTGGTTACAATCTCGATGAAGCCGGGTTGGTCATTGCTAAAAAGTGATGGAAGGACACGAATCTACGACTAGAAATGTTCAAGTTTTCGAATCTTAGAAAATACAAATACACATGTACTTTGAAAATGCAGTGAGCTCTCCACCATATGAGTCAGGATGTTGCACATGTAGGCTAATTAACTGACCACCTTGCGGACTTTCCAATTTCCACCATGTCCGTCGTGTCCGTAGGGCTGATACATCTAGGTATAGGGCCTTCCTCGTTTTCCACCTGCAGCTTATCATAGGCCTAATTGGTCTTAAATTATTTCTGATAACACTTGAACAATGTCCAACGATTCCTTAAATTTTAAGTCAAAAGTATCCCAGGCACTAGCTTGCAAGCCTTAAGAGACCTGTCTGTGGAGAAGAGACAATAGATCATGTATGCAGTTTGTGTGAATGTAACTGTTACTCCCTGACTATAGCATCAGTCCCAACTATAGTTGGGCCCATTCCAACTATACTGTAGTTTGATGGCTGTTCTAACATTTGAAGAGAGTATTAGTGTGGTATGGAACTCTTGCCCTATAGTTTTCAAGTTCTAGTTCAGATGAGACTGCAACAGACAGGATTCCATCATGGACGCCATTTGACACCCTTTGCAGAAGCCCTTTCAGACTGGCCTGAAAAAGAATTTTTTTTAAGTGAATACTTTAATATTTACACTGCTAGATAAGACTTCTTGAGGACATGTTCTTGCTTTTAGATGCCTAGTAGGTCACCTCAGGGAAAAATGAGTGATGTTCGTGTGTGGAATTCTTTCCCAGTCAGATCTGCATCACGACCAGAAAAATACAGCAAAGCTAACACAGGAAACTGCATAACAAGTTATTTCCCAATACACTTAACTTAAGAGACTTTTCTAGAAAGTTTCAACGTATGCAACCTATGTTTTTTGTCGTTTCGAAACTGTTTGGTTGATTGATAAATGGGGGGGGTACCTTGAATGGTTATGTGATCATTCTGTGTGGAAAATAAAAATGGCTGCTCATGTATCCAGATGTAAAGTACGATTGGCACATGTCAAAAGGCTTCCCAGAATACACTGCAAGATTGTATAGTAGTTGCATCATATTTGGTCCACAGCAGCCTCATGAAAGAAATTTCTGGAATAGTTCCATACAGGTGTCTGTGCAAGTTGTGTACATTACAAATGAGGTCCTGAAAGCCAGATAATTGAAATGCGCTTGGAAGGACTGAGAATAAAAATGAATATGTAATATCATTCTTCCTTTTACCCAAATACCTGTACATGTATACAATGTATAGCAGGTCGGATGCCCCTCATGCATGCAACGTGGAGCCCAAGGCTGAAGGCCGAATGCAGAAGTGCTATATTTAGGACAAACGTACATGTACATTGTATATATATATGTAAAAGGTGAGGCTTTGTCTCGCTTGTAGGATGTGAGACAAGGAAATTCACCGAGTTTAATGGAGTGTGTTGGGTAATAGGCAGTTCCTGTGGCCTATGATACGTTTATGAAGAATTAATATTGATGAAATATCGACACCCCCCCCCCACTTCACCAACATGTATAAGCAGGGGAGGTTCATTCAACCCTTCTGAACCCCGCTGCTTTGTCTAAAAGGTCACAGTACAACCCCCTCCTCAATGCAAGTTCATGACGTCCTTATGCAAGGCAGGATTTTTCAATAGCAACATCTGTTTTGCGTGCGAAAATGACAGATATAGGCAAAAGTTCACTGGGGCAAGGTTTTTCACCATTTGTCATCCTGCAAACAAACTGCATTTTAAACTTGCTTCCAAAAGTGTTCTGCTCCAGTGCACGGGTATAGACCTGGCTGTCTTTAGATAAAATTTGGGTCATAGAACGAGTGTCCTTGGGCCAACTTGCTGGCTAATCTCTCCGTGTACCAACTCTAGACGAGCCTACAATTCCTCTGGGCAAGTTTGCATTTGACGGCATTTGAGGGGCAAGGATTGTACTGAATGACATAATGGCAGTAAATGCAATGAAGGGGACCGGTCATTTTCAGAAGTGTTTTCCCTGCATGTATCACTTTCTTCAAGTAGTTCATTTATAATGCTTATGATTGAGTTAGCATGTACATGCAGGCTGTTGTTTGCATGAAATGGTCAAGGCGTTCCTTTTGCAGTCAAAAATATGTACACTGTGGTTGAAACAAAATATTGACATTAAAATGGACATGGCTTTTGAGGTCAATCCAGTTATCACTGTGAACATCTAACAAAAGAAACGCGGTGTAACAACAACGGAAGCTCATTTTGACATTAGAATGGACACGGCTTTTGAGGTCAATGCAGTTATCACTGTGAACATCTAACAAAAGAAACGCGGTGTAACAACAACGGAAGCTCATGGTCAGTGCACATGTTTCTTTTGTTAGATGTTCATAGTGTCCCTGCTGGTTCAGACTGCAAGAAAAAAAAAAGCTCAACAGATCCATAGCAAAAATGTACCGGCGTCAGGGACGGAACTACTGTGAATGAGACGGACAGATGGTATTTTCTGACCGCTGTTATTGCTCAATCTACCGGTAGTTATGACACTCAGCACAGTCTTTTTTTACAGTTGTTGTATTTTTTCATACAGTACTGACTGGAGAGACTTTATTTATGTACTTGATTTAGTTCTTGAAATGATATTTAATGGTAGGGCCTACTCAAATGACTCTCAGTACCAGTGTTCTGTTCATGTGTGTCAGTGAATGCACAGGCATTGAGTGGAATTATGTACATAAATGTGTGACGTATTTTTGAGTTTTGACTGAATGTGCACAACTTCAATTTTTGTCCCCAAGTAGAGATGTGTGCTGTACGCCAGTATGCATGTACACATGTGCATGTGTTTGTATAGGTTCCATCTTTGTTGTTGCCTGTCCACGCAGCCCTATATCTGTTTGACCTTGTCAATACAAAACTGCCTCCTCTCAGCTAGTCTGAATCCTGATCCCTTATTGCATGGAGCTTTAGAGTAGAGACTGTAAATTCTGGCTGGAGGTCTTTTGTTGACACTGAGCAGTCTTTTGTTGATATAGTGAATATCTGCATGAAAGCTGCCAATGAAGGCACTTGTAACGAGTCAAACAGGTATTTTTGTCCTCTTTTATTTCTATTCTGTCTCATCTTTTGTCCAGAAGACAGGCTAAAACAAATTTGTACACTGCAGTTTATGGTCAGCCGAAATTTACAACCCCCCCATGGTGTAAAACCTTTTTTTTAGTTGGTGAACATACATGTACTGGTAAGTCTCCACATTTCCTTCCTAAATGCTGCTTGAGGGTGGAAATATGATCCCATAGGGCACCAAGGGGTGTCAGTTTCAAAAACTTTCCTGGGTCAGACAGTTTTTAAGGTTGGCCAGGAAGGGACAGCCAGGCACTACAATCCTAGATGAAACCCTGCTGTCCCTCAATAAGTAAATTTTTGGTCGGGTTTAAACCCTTAGATAAACATGTAGGTTTTATCGCTGTGATCTTATGGCACCACTCCCTTCAGGTGTTACTTATATTAGTTTGCACTGTTTTTGATTGCATATTCATAAATTCCTCAGACAGTCTCCCTATTCAAAAACGTGAAACTTGACCGTGTATTAACATTTAATAATACTCAGTGCGTAAATCATGCACAGGCGCCTTGATAAGAGACAGTTTAATCTATTCTGGTTGGTCAAAGAGTCTGTGTGCACGCTGCTTGCCATGCCCATGAAAAGTCCATATAAGGAAATTCTTTTGGACAACCATAATATAAAATGGACAGGGGTGTTCCGGAAATTGAAAGTAAAATTTTAAAACCACATCATTGGAAATTCGTCACATATTGGCTTCTTTGGCCTCTGTGACTAAAAAGGTATTTATGAGTGGGAATAAATACTAGTACGTGATTGGCCAGTCTTGGGCCGTGTCCGAAACGGGCTTTCAGAGCTACGGCTAGGTCTATTGTCTATGAGTCTCCACGCATTTCCAATGGAGCGAAGACCTAGACCTAGCTCAAGACAACAGATTCGGATGCAGCCTTAAACTAACGTTTAAGAGCGGCTAAGGAGGCTGAACACTGACAATGCCCTCGGCTGTGGCTTGGGCATTAGTCGCGTCCATTCCCCTCAGCCAGTCTTAAACGCACATCTAAGACTGACCAAGCACATATTTATTCCCTCATTTGACGGCAGTGAAGTAAATAAATTGTATTTACAACCCCGTCAGTATCTTATGTCACAGTATGCCCTGCTGCAGCTGCTAAAACAGTAATCCCCTTGCACTTTCAGCTGATTCAGAGAAAGATTGTAAATTACTGATACAAGTGATTTAGGTTTGCAGAAGCCTTGTAATATTGAACCCTCCAGGATTCCACAGACTTGTGAACGGAACGATACGTGATATTGATAAGGAAGGGGTCTCTTTCAACACGTGCCTCAGCCTCTCTCATCCGGGGATTTTATTTCTCATCTCTTTGTTCACTCCCGTGATTAATATTCTCATGGATGGTGCGGTGCACAGTTTGAGCCTGGAATCAAGGACGATCACTGGCATAGACTGGCTCACTGCAAAGCTTGAGTTGACACAACTTTCAGTCTAGGCTTAAATTGCCAAAATATACAGCCTCATAAGCTACAGTAACCCTGAGCTACAGTGTTCATGTACATATCTGGGCACTGTTATTAAACTGCAAAGCCTTTGACATATACTGTACACATGTGTGCACACTTTGCATGCAGCAACGTCCTCCATCCTTTACAACACGGGTTGGATTATTGCATTGTGGTACTGTGTTTGCACAGTACATGGGCTACTCTGTTGGTAAATTCCTTGAGGGGAGAGAGTGGTGCAAGAATGAACAATATGGAGACAATCATGAGGTTGATCTGTTTGCACTTTACTGCCGTTAACTTAGTCTTGGCCCAAGACACCAGTAATCCATAGCTGAGTTGACATTTGTTTGCCCAGTTTTTTTTTTAATTACATTAGCTTCATGTGGTTTGAGATTTTTAACCGTCTCTATGTATCCTATTTTTGAGTTGTGTACATGTGCATTTTATGAATATTGGAAAATGTTTTCACCCGGTGGCTTAAGTTGAAAATGCTTTCCGCTGTGTCCCTTTTTTCTTGAATATCAAAATGGTACAGCATTTTTGTTATAAATGCTGGGCTTGTTGTGGATGATTTATATTTAAAAAAAAAAAGAACTTGTCATTTTGGAGAGATCTTTTACCGCAGTGATTTCACCTCATCGGAAAAAATTGTCCCCTGCAAATGTCTCCTGTCTCCTGTAAATCTGCATGAGCAGGATTGTGGTCATGCTATACTGCCCATCCTGTCAGTACATGTATAAGTGGTGTGCATACAACTTACAAGGACGAGTGCATGCATCGGTTAATTATTGACCCCAATCAATGGAACCTTCCCGTTGTTTTCCATTGTTAAGGGATCGACTGGGACGTAGAGGTTTTTTTTCTTTTTTTGCTGTGTCGGTTCTGTTATCATTGCACTGTCCGTGGAGGCTCTTGCAAGAATAGAGCAGAGGCAAGTTGGTGAAGAAATCTTGATGTTATTTCACACTTGACTGATTTTTAAAAAAAAGAAGAAATCATCTGTGTATAGCAGCGTGCAAGTCAGTGCCAGGTTGTGCCAATAACAGGTAGAATCTGACTGTTGTTTTTATTTCATTTATTGATAATTTTGAGGGGGAGACTTTTTGTTCATTGCTGAAGAGAATCATAAGTGATTATAAAGATGAACAAAGAAATTGACTGGAGAAATAAGAAAAGTAAGATTTGAAGCTTTGCATGGTGGAAGAGACATGAGAAATAGGTTTGCGGTTACACCATGGAATCAATCTCTTTTGGGCGAGGTGTGGTTCTTAAAAGAACCGGTGAGTGTTAACTCGACGTTTTGGCCAGTGTGCTCTGGCCTTCCTCGGGAAAGTGTGCTGGACTGGAGTGGGCTGTAGTGCTAGTAGTGGACGCCAGATGTCGCTGAGCTTGAAACCGATGTCTTGGGGTATGGTGGTGTGCCAGAAAATCTCTATGGCTTCTCGAATTGTTCTTGGGGAGCCAGTTCTGGATGGTGGCGATGAGTTCTGCTTTGTCCCATTCGATGCAGTGGAGTAGGCATGTCTGATGATGGCTGACTTGTCGTATTCTCCTCGTCAGCCATGCGAGCGGTGCTCTTTGAGTCTGGTGGGGAAATTTACTGGAGCGGGATTAGAACCTGCGACCTCCGGAACACCGTACTGGTTGCTCTACCAACTGAGCTATCCAGCCCTATATTGGTGTCGCTCTGCTCCAGTCAATTTCTTTATTCATTTTTAGAATCATTTATAAGCATCTAGTCAGTTTCCTATATGCATTTAATTTGTTTCATGAGAATCATAATTCTTAAATAATAGTAAATACATGTATACATCAATACTCAACTTGTTGGAGTCACCCAAGGCTTCAAATGGCAAACATGTATCGGGTTCAGGTTTTGGTTAATTTTTCTGGTTACTATAAATAAATTGAATAAACGTAGGGCAGAAAAACATAGTGGAACTTAGTGATAACATTGCGGGGAGGTCAGACAGGAAGCCATGCAGGCTTGTGCTGGGTCTGTCCCGTCACAAGGACAAGGACATATGTGACCCGGTACGTCGCAATCAGAAATAAATTGCTGAGGCCGTTTTACGTAATGGCCGAGTAAAGTGGGGAAGTGGGTAAATGTTGAAATAATTGATGTGGCGGTTTCTGTGTATTTTGAAAGTGTATGTATGAAAGGTTACCATCAACACACTTGTAATGTGTACCATTTGAAGGCTTATGTAATTCTTTTTCTGACCATGTACCCATCTCAAAAAGTACATTTGTGACTTATTCCTGATTTCAATGTACCACGTCACATATAGTTTATACGATCTGTGATTGATATCACTTACACGTATTTCCACAGAAATCTGAAAGAGCTTCCCTAGAACTACATAATCATTGGACGTCATCTGCCTTGAGATTTGACGATGGCTATCGATGATGAAGACCCCACCCCAAATGGTGCCATCAATGGCCACGGTGAAGATGAAAAGGGCTTTATAGAAATGCAGGATAAAGGTATTTTTTTAAGGTACTTTGTTAAGGTTACAATAATTTTATTTTTTCGAGGTGTAAATTGCAATGGACGTGTTTTTGCAATGTTTTTATTATGTGTGTATTGTAATGGTCATTGGTTAGGTTTTGACGGTTATCTTTTTATGTGTAAACTGTAATGGTGATTGTTGTCAAATATTTCTATGATTTGGTATTAATTTATTATTATCATTAAATCCTGTAAGACAGTTTTTAACTGCAAAAATGGATAAAAATTAACCAATATAATAATAATAATAAATTTTGTTTAGAAATCTCCATTTGACATCAGATAACTATGTATATATATTCTTGGCCATATTCTGTCTTTTTTGGGCAGTAACTTACCTAGCTGTGATATCCATTACATTATCCATTACATCCCCTTCGTGATTGTGGAATGACCTTATCTGTTGTTACGTTTGGTGGCCAGGCCTTCCTCAGCCAGAATATGGCGGAGTGCCCACAGCCGGTGACCAGAATGAAAATGAGGTCGATGATGCCGATGTTGCTAAGGAGATAGAAATTAAGATGAAGGATGCGGAAGACGGAGACGGAGAGACTGAGGGAAAGGAGGAGGAGGAGGTTGAAGTGAAGACCAGACAAGTCAGTACGCTTCAGCTGGTGAGTGGCAAAGCTCGGTCTAGCCCCCTGTAGCATTTCATGTAACCGGCTGCAGACGGCGCCGCAGTTAAACAGAAGCATATAGACGGAGTTGTGACACGAAGTCATGTATGGCATAGTGTGCGATGCCATTTTGTGGCCAAAATGATTGGGTCTTGTGCATTGTATTGTAGTAAAAACTAATTGAATTGGAAAAATGGCCGGGGTGCATTTACATTGCTTATTGCTCTGCTAATAATTAATGTACACATACCGTTGAAAGTAAAATGGCTTCTAATCTGAAGTTGTCACAACTGTCTTTGTGAACAGCTCTGTTACCTCCCTTTAAAACGTCGGGAACATTGCAAATTCCCCAGCTTTTCTTGATATTCTCTGCTGTTTTTCTTTATTTTACTTGAGTAATCCGCCCCCCCTCCATTTTTTTGTAGTTCCGATTTGCTGGTCCCTTTGAGGTCTTTCTCATCATCCTCGCCACCATCTTGGCTTTTAGCCAAGGCATATCGCTCCCCATGGTGCTATTCTTCTTTGGTCGGGTGACGGACGCGTTCATTGATTTTGGCCGAGAGTACATGAACTTGAACGACACTGAACAAATGGAGTGAGTTATGTCGTGTTTTCTTTTCTTATGCAGTATTCCTCATTTGAAATTACTCTGTTTGGCTTAAATAGATCTAGTTTCACTCCCTCAGACAGGAAAGGGGGGGGTTTAATGAAAGGAAAGGGGTGATTGCGCCGTTACATCATTGGAGCTGTTTTTGCACTAACCCCAAACTCCAAATGGCACTATGTACATATAGCTGTAGCACTAGACTGGATTATATACACACCTCCCAGTTATATTTGCCACTAGACTGGATTATGTACACACCTCCCAGTTATATTTGCCACTAGACTGGATTATATACACACCTCCTGGTTATATTTGTCACTAGACTGGATTATATACACACCTCCCAGTTATATTTGCCACTAGACTGGATTATATACACACCTCCCGGTTATATTTGCCACTAGACTGGATTATATACACACCCCCCCGTTATATTTGCCACTAGACTGGATTCTGTATAGCCCCTTATAATATTTGGCACTAGACTAGATTATATACACCTCCCAATATTTGGCACTAGACTGGATTCTGTACACCTCCCAGTTATATTTGGCACTAGACTGGATTCCATACACCTATCAGTGTGGACAGGTTGCTGTTACTGCTCAAAAAAGGTTGATACCATATACTGCAGTTGCCGGGTGGTCATTTCCCTGACACGCATTTTCCCACTTTTGTCTGTTGAATATCCGAGTACCGAGGAGCAGCACGAGCCAGGTCGGCAAAGTCCCATCATAAAGTCAACTGTTCCTCCCGTGCAACTTTTGCAAGCACTGCTTGTAGCACAGGGGTCGACAAAAGACAAAACCCCAATATGTTAAATCATTCTTCCCTCCTCTTGCTCCCCTCCCCCCGCCATGGTAGCTGCCCGCCTATCAGCGTCGACATCATCATCGACTTCTCTGGCTACTATGCCATCTTAGGCGGCATCATCATGGTCGTAGCCTACCTGAACAACATGCTGTGGAACATGGCGGCAGAGCGTCAGATCCACCAGATCCGTCTCCGGTTCTACCGGGCCATCGTCCGTCAGGAGATCGCCTGGTTTGACACCCACAAAGCGGGCGAGCTCACCAACCGGTTGGCAGAGTACGTCTTACTGCAACAATTAAACAGTTTTCAAAAAATGTGCTGTTCCTCCTTCGTTGAATTTTTTTACAATGACAATTTTGAGAGAGATTTCACATTTCTCGAAGCTTTCCTCAGGAGACATTCAACACTGCACAATATTGGAAACTGCAAATTCAATTTTGTCTTAAATGGCACAAACTGAACTGGTTTTCTTATTAACGCTGAATGTGAAGGGAGTTTTGACAGAAATGTTGAGACCAACAGCTTCTAAAGAAATCGACTGCTGAAGAACAGGGAGTTGGAGGTGCTCTTTTAAAAACTCAGTCTTTGGCTCTCCAACTCACTGGAGCCAGTCAAACTATTAAAACATGTTGGGTACCTTAGTATTTACATCAAAAATCAGAAGTCCACATCTCGTTTTGGATCTAAAACCTTTTGTCAGGTGAGCTGTCATGTGAGCAAATATTTTTTGGATGCTCGTCTCGTTTCCCCAGAGACATAGACAAAATCCGGAAGGGGTTTGGAGACAACCTGGGCCTTCTCCTGCAGTACTTGGGTACCTGCATCGGAGGCATCGCCCTAGGGTTCACCAAATCCTGGAAGCTGACCCTCGTTATTCTGGCCGTCGCCATAATCATCATGGTGCCTTCCATCACTCTGGGTGTCAGAGTATGTAGATGGTCTTTTTTCTTGTTTTCCTCTATTGCTCTGAATCCGTCAATTTCAGTATAAGTTTTCACATCTTCACTGTTATAGTTTTTGCCTGAGAATGTCTCTCGGGGTACGCATTCTCTAAAACATCCCTAAAAACTCCCAACCTGTCTCATGCAGTTTGCAGTAAAAAAAGGAGGGTAGTTACATCAAAAACTTTAGGCTTGCCAGATTTAACATTAGAAACCAGTTTAAAGCCAGGAGAAAATAGCCCTTTCATTGGCCCTGCTTTGGTTTGCCGTGTCAGTATACTTTTTCATGTAAGCACAAGAAACGGGTATGCACTTTCTTTTTTCAAAAGAGTTAAGTTCTTTGTTTTTCTTAAGTAGATAGTTGTTTGTAGATTGGAATCTCCAGTCGTTTTGTTCTCCAGTTTATGTCTGGACATGGAATATTTCTAACAGTTCAGTGTTTACGATTTTTTTAAAATAAATTTTTTGCAGCTGATTCGAAAGATGGCCCAGAATGCTTTAAATACGTACGCCAAGGCGGGGGCCATCGCTGAAGAGATACTTTCCTCCATCAGGACGGTGGCTGCATTTGGAGGAGAAAAAAAGAGTCTGGAAAGGTAAAAAGAAAAAAGTTGAACTACACGTTGAAAAGTAACAGAATAGCCTGGACAAGAATGGAAAACTGAGACAAATTGAAAAGTTGCAAGCTTCTGAAAGGGTTGAAGAACTTTGTCAAGAAATAAAAATCTGTTAAAAATGTTTATTATTTTTTAAGAGAACCCACAGTCTCCGATCAGAACAAAAAAGTTTTGGAAATACTGGAAGAACCGTAAAGAAAAAGCAAATTTTAAAGAATTCAGTCTCTGAAAGGACAAGAAATATCTTCCTGAGATCGGGAGGCTGTGACCTTATGAATTTAAAACAATTCAAAAAATGGTTCTTTCAGCAGTAATCGGAAACAGTTTGAAAAAGTAAACAAAGCTTAAGGTTTTGGAAAAACCAAATGATAGCAGTGAGTAAGCACCCATAATCTGAACTGAAAGAAATACCTGAGTGCCCTGAAATTAATGGAGAAGGTAATCCATGATAGAATTGACATGGAACCAAGTGGGAAAAACAAAGAGAAAAAAAAAGAAACAAGAGCATAAAAGTCACTGGATTAACAAGAGACAAAAAATTTGTCAGCCTCTGCTCCACTCTGTGCACTCAGTGAAAAATGACCGCTAAGTTCCTGGGGTATCAATCAGAGACCGTTTGACTTAACGAAATCGTGTCTGGACAAAATCATTTGCAGATACACAGAAAAACTCAACGGAGCCAAGAAGCAGTCTATTAAGAAGGACACATTGCAGGCGGGCTTGGTTGGCGTCTTCTTCTTCAATTTCTATGCGACATACGCTCTAGCTTTCTGGTATGTCACCTCTACATGATATAATGTGTCCCTAACCGTGTTTGATATCCACATGGAACCACTCTTGAAACCTTTTTCTGCTGAGTTCCAATAGAATGTCTTTACTTGTGACGATTTCCTTTCTGTAAATAATCAGTTATATTGAACTGTTTTCTGGACAGGTATGGATCAACGCTTTTCATCAACGAAGGACTTCCTGCCGGGGACATCATTGTGGTATGTGTGAAATAGACCTGCCAGCCTGAGAGATATCATTGCAGCGTGTGTGGAATAGACTCGTTTGCACGTGTCATTGAATATTGCCACTGACGCTTGGCGTTTGTTTCTCTTGTCTGTAGTGCTTCTTAGGGATTCTGTTTGGGGCCTTCTCACTGGGTCAGGGGACCCCCTACATCACCGACTTCATCACTGCCAGGGGTGCGGCGAGCACCATCTGGGAAATTATCGATCAGGTATGCCAAAAACCTTGAACCATTTTCCACTGGAGAAGAGAACAGAATGTTACCCAACCCTTAAATCCAACATGATGAACACAATACAAACATGCTAAAGCCCCCCGCATGACAAAACTGTCAGATGTAGGAGAAAAACCACCAAAATCAAATAATTCTAAAAACATATCTCAAATTGTTCAAAGTTTCTTAAGGAAAAGTATATTCTCTCAATGCATTATACTTTCCATTATATATCAGCTATATATACAATCCTCCAGAGTATATTCCCCTTGACTATATCACCCAGTTGGAGATATTACCATGTTAGGATGCCTGTTGATGCTCCTTCTTAAGGCTGTGTCGCCACACTATCGCCCTACTCTCATATGTTGCCCTGCATTACTTCCCCTTTTGAATATTTTCCCTCTTGAAGGTACCGGATATTGACAATGCCTCTGATCTGGGTCTGAAACCAGACACACTGACTGGGGACATCACATTTAAGAATGTGCACTTCTGCTACCCCTCGAGACCGGACACTCGGGTAGGACTGCATTTCAAGTCGTTTTACTAAAGCTCTGTAATTGTTGTAACGCAGTATTTTAATTTTGTGAAACTCTCTTGAATTCACAAAAACTCCAGTGAACTAAGGGCACATTTTTGAGACTAGTCTGTAAACGGCTGTAAACCTGTCCAAATCCTTTAATTACTTAGTGTGGGTTTCCATGGAGTCAAGGAGCATTGAGCATGGAAGTGAAAAGATGTCCGAGTGGTTAATTTTGTGTTGTTTTTCCGCCGGGGGCAGGTGCTGAATGGCTTGAACCTGGAGGTCAAACGGGGCCAAACAGTGGCCTTGGTAGGCAGCAGCGGGTGCGGCAAGAGCACCACTGTGCAACTCATCCAACGATTCTATGACCCGTTGTCTGGATGTGTAAGTCTTGTCTAAAAATCCATCATGCGCCCTCTCCCTCCCCCCAAAATTCCACGGTACCCTTCCTTGAACCACAGAGAACCTCAGAAATGAGAATTGTCCAACTCAGTTTGGTTCTAAACCTTTAATATTACCTGAAATCAGCTAAATCACAAAGTTAAAAAATCAGTAAAATTCGAGACTGCAAAAAAACACAAGGCTTGATATGCAAGTTGGTAGAGAACGGGTAGAAAATTGCAAAGTTTGGAAACTGGCATCCGAAGTCCATCTATTCATGTTGTTTGAGTAATCAGTGGCATGTAGCTCATCTTCACAGTTAGGCGTTAGGTATTTTATGCTTCCATGACAACTGTCTACTCAGGTCGAACTTGATGGCAACGATCTCCGCGACCTCAACGTCCGGTGGTTACGGGAACACATTGGTGTGGTCAGCCAGGAGCCGGTACTCTTTGCCACGACCATCGCCGAAAACATCCGCTATGGTCGGACGGATGCCACCGACGAGGACATCAAAGCGGCTGCGATTGAGGCTAATGCTCACGACTTCATCTCTGCACTCCCTGACGTAAGATTTTTGACAATAAAAATTGAAGTAAAGCACCTTGCTCAGGAACACGAGTACAAATCCAAGGCTGGATTTTGAATCGTGTTTGAAATATTGTGCCATTTGACCATTAGTCTGACATAGAACCCTTGTGACAATATTGATTACTTTATTCATTTTTTGCGTTGTCATTTTTCTTGTTTCCTTTTTTTTTCAGGGATATCAGACGTTGGTTGGCGATCGGGGAGCCCAGCTGTCCGGGGGCCAGAAGCAGCGCGTAGCCATCGCGAGGGCGCTGGTCCGCAATCCTAAGATCCTCCTGCTGGACGAGGCCACCTCAGCCCTGGACACGGAGAGCGAGGCTACAGTTCAAGCAGCGCTGGACAAGGTAAACTTTGCACTAGCTCCCCAACACCCTGAGCACAATTAAGGTAGGGACTCACATGGCTATGCTTGCAATAATGTGCACGTCTATGAGAAATGGCAGCAGCCACTAGACCAGTGGTCTCTGTTCAAGTGTGTGGTGTTGACAGCCGTAGTCAATTCAATTCAGTCACGGCTCACTGCCAGGTCCATCAAGTTATTGGCTCTCGCGGAAACCATTAAGAGTTCCTTGTCCTGCAAACTATAACACTGGGAATCTTATTGGATGCTACAAATAGTTACTTTTGACAAGAACAGGGGTTGTTCACTTTAACAACCTCGCTTTCTGAAATGGTTGTCATTGATTCTGTGATGAAACGGGGGAGGAGGTTGGGAACAGACAAAGAAAGACTAAAGAATAAACGATTTCTCCCAAGGTCCAAGCCGGCCGCACCACCATCGTCATAGCCCACCGCCTCTCCACCATCCAGAACGCCGACGTCATCTGCGCCTTCAAGGGGGGCGTTATCGTGGAGCAGGGCTCCCACGAGGCCCTGATGCAAGACAAGGAGGGGCTATACGCCCAGCTGGTGCAGCTGCAGTCCCGCAGGGAGCAGAAGGGGGAGGAAGAAGGAGACAAGAAACAGGAGGAAGCGGATGAGGAGGAGGAGGATGAGGATGAGAAAGGTGAGAGAGGGGGAATCGAACCGCCCACCACCGGTTTTCTTGAGCAGTGTTCTCATGAACCATCAGAACTTCATTTAAAGGGAAGGGATTCGAACCAGTGCACTAACACTTGAGCTAAGCTGCCCTGTGTTGTCCACAGTCTGCCAAGCTGTCACAGACAGGAAAACGCCATGGGGAATCGAACCTGTGACCCTCAGAATGCAGCTCCAGTGCTCCACCCACTGTGGCATAAAAAACAGTAGGGGTACCAAACTCATGACCTTTGGCAAAAAGCTTAAGCCTTGCTGCCTTTTGGGCCCTTGCTGATGTTTTAGTTTTGGAGCTCAACGTTCAAACTTAGCATCTTTTCAGCATTTAGTGGAGAGGCAAGAATAAATCATTACGAAAAGACAGCTCAAGGCAGTAATTACAAACACAACGACTGCAGTTTTCAGGTTTAGCCTTTATTTGATTTAGTTTAATTTTATTCAGAAATTAATCAACTTAGTAACAATTGTACATATACATAGAGAAGCCAAGAGACGGTTGATTCATTCTGGGATAACACAAGAAAGCCAATTACTCAGGCTTATTTCCATTCGGGTCCCTTAAGTTTGGCAAATTTACACTTGTACAAAACAAACAAAACATGACAAACAAGTAAATTACCAACCATTTACCCATCACTCATTAATTAATTACTAATTAAAATCATCTTCCAATCTCCATGCATTTAAAATTATTTAACTTTTTATTTATTAATTGGCTTTTTGTGATAGATATGACTTTACTTGTTTTTTTTTTTTAATACGGGAAGACTGGAGTCGATTTTTTTTTTAAGATTCGATCTATCACCCTGGATATCTTCCTGACACCAATAATGATCCATCTTGCCTGCTGTTTTCCTTATATTTCGTGAAACATTTCTGCCCCGGGAAAATGCTAGTTTTGTCAAAGCAAGAGCTCCAGAATCCATCCACAGATCTTCAGGTTGAAACAGCATCTCTTCATGGTATGGTGTTTGTGTACCACTTTTTGGGGTGAACTTTCCATGCCGTGACTCAAGGAGAACTTTCAAATCTTGTCACACTCTTGTTGCAGTGGAGTTCGGACTATTGCTGTATCCTAAGACCCTCTCGTCTAAACCAAGTCTCTCACTGTGGACTTAATGTGATTGTAGCCTTAAAATGTGGACACAAAATGGTTGTTGCGTGTATTACCACATGGCACTCTTCAACATTCATATTCAAATTCCCGACCACCATATTGTGCCCAAATGAAAGACACCAGTTGTCATGGACTCTCTCGTAGGTCTGTGGTCTGTGCATTTACACCGACTGTTTGCATTCTTTTGACTAACCTTTCTCTTAATATTTCTGACAATTCTAACCCTTTTCTCTAACAAGACCGCCCAAGTGAGGAGGAATTTGACCCAATACCAGGTAGGGTGTGGCGCAGCCCTCCTTTGCAGTCATGCAGCGCACCGAATGTCGCATGCCAGCTGATTTTATTTCCGTCCTGCTTTTTGTTGTCAGTTTATGTAGTCGTTAAATTGTGCGTTTTGTTTTTGTCACGGTTTCTTCGGTGAGCATTTCAAAACTAGGAATGCTGGAAAGTTCCTTGGGAGTTGATGATTCTAATTGGCCCATGTACTGATGACATCACACTTTGTTTATGCGTGCACCTTCCTATGGAACCAGTGGGTGTCCATGAACCATCGAGCACCATAGGAAAGCATACGCGCAAACAGACTGTGGCATCATTAGTACAGAGGTCAGTTGGGAATGCATGTTGCTTCCGTTTGGAACAGCGTGAAGGAACACCAGATATTCCCATTTTGGAACGCTTGCTCAAGTGATTACTCTCCTCTCGAGAACAACCATTTCACCTTGGGGCATACTGGGACCACTCTTCACACGTAGTTTGGGACATTGCCATGGTTTCTTGTAGTTTTCTTTTCAATTTTTGTTGTGGAGTGACTTTCTGTTTTTGTAGTTTGTTTATTGAATGAGTTAATGAGTTACTTAGCAACAGCTCTGTGGTTTGAAATGGCCGTGGCTTAAAATTACACACAACTCTATGGAAAGAGGCTGCAGCCGCTACCATAGACCTACAATTCCAAGCCACAGCCAAGTAATTCAAACAAGTCCCAAGTAGGAGACTAGGCTTAGAACATTTTATTTGCTAAGCAAAAAGTACCAGAGTACCAGTTTGAAGAAGCATTCACTGCAAGATGTTCTTGCTGGTCATCAGTTATGCTTAGAACATTTTATTTGCTAAGCACAAAGTTCCAGAGTACCAGTTTGAAGAAGCATTTACTGCAAGATGTTCTTGCTGGTCATCAGTTTTTTTTACACAGTGAATATTTTCCATGCTTGCCATGAAATCGGTTCCAAGGCTGTAGTTGAGGAATTTTTGGCACACATTTTCTGTAATATATTTAGCAAAATTGCTCCCAATTGGCTGTATAGTAGTACCATGCCGCTTGCCTTCAGTATTCAGATGACATTGGTACATCAACGGAAGCAAGCCCGTTACATATTTTGCGATATATTGTCATTTGTTTGGTCAGGTACTAAGGAAGCCCGCAGTGCTGAGAAGGAGCCGCTGTCCAGTTCCCGCCAACGGAAACTCTCCAGCTCAAGCGAAAAAGGCCCTGAGTTGAACCGCATGGTGTCGGCCATGTCCACATCTTCAGATACACCCGAGTCAAAGGTTGGTGATTGTGATCAGCAGAATACGCCAGCGGTGGTATTTTTACCGATTTACCATTTGTGCTTTTTTGATGTGCTAAGGTGCAGTGTCGACAATTTTGTTTTGTCAAGCTCATGAGAAAAGGTTGCTAGGCAGTTTTCAACTTTAAAGGAACCATGTAATAGAAATATTTTATGAAATTTCAATAACTACCCTTGTAATTGCCCCTTTGTGTTTCAGTGAACCTTGTTGTAAATTGTTGTTTTACTATTTTAACCCAGATTTTGGAGCTTTTCTGTTTGTATGCTAATGCACATTTGCATATTCATGAGCAAAACTGTGATATCATCCCAGGCACTGAACCTCAATGTTACACTGATTTGTACATAATGAATGTCTAGATTTTTGACCACACTGCTATCGTAGATTTCATTTTCTTTGGCAATTTATTGTTGCGTACGTTGAAGGCAATGAAGCCAGTGAGCAAGCTTTTCCAAAAGTGTTTTCGCATAGCAAATTTCAAGTTCACAATTTGAACATGAAAACATGCAAACTGAGCAGTGTCTTCCTGGATTTACCTCAAGGCAAAAGTGCCCTCACTTGTCCGCATATGCTTGATCAATTTTGGATGCTTTGATAATCCACTTTTCAGTTCTCGTAACTCAAAAAAGATTCCATGCAGTCTTCATACGTTGAGGAAGAGTGAAGACATACACTAAAAAGATTTCAAGAAAAAAATTATTGCCTGGTTCCTTTAAACTTGCGCAGTGGCAAGCTCACATTGTAGTCAGGAGTGCATACTTAGCGCATGGGTTTCTTGGTTTAAGGAGTACCCCATCTGGCAGACGAAGATCTTGATGATTTCTGCCGTTCACACAGTAACCAATAGGTTTCTTTCAATCAGGTTCAGTAATTAACACAAATTGTCCGTGGCACTGTTGAACACTAGTTAACTAATTAACCCCTTGACGATGGGAACTTTTCTCTGAAAGCCGAGAATTCCAGCCTCGCTTGGCCACAAAGGCCACCTGCCAAACTGCAAATTCTCTGTTTGTGGCCCTGCGTGCTCTACAAGCTTTGAATTACACAGTGAAAAGGCTCATTATTCGGTGGCATGCGGCTCTACTCACACTTCCACATTCCCGTTTCCTCTTTTCAAAGTGGGGACTATTGTGAAGCTGGTGATCATGATGCAAATTCGGTCTTTTCATTTCTGGGCTACACACAAAGGCCAATCACCATATATACAAGAGCCAGGGTCTGCCTTCTTTCACCGTGTTCGCTCGAGTGTCGGCCGAGAATAATAGCTGAAAAGCGGGCTGAGGATCTCAACTTTTACGGCGGCTTTTACCGTCATCCGTCGCGAAGGGGTTAACAGACGTACGTGTATGCTGCATTGTGCATATTATGAACATTCAAAGTGCAATTCAGATAAGTTATGCTTTTTTCTTTACAGGAAGAAGACGAGGACGTTCTGAAGAGTTTCAGTTTCTTCCGAGTAATGAAGCTGAACTCTCCAGAGTTGGCCTTCATCATCGTGGGCGTGATATGCTCCGCCTTCAATGGGGGAGTGCAGCCGGCATTTGCTGTCATTTTCAGTCGTATTCTCCAGGTATTCATCGGAGAAAGAAAGAAGATCTTAGATGTTGTGTTTACTGCGTTGCATTGTGGGATCTTATGAGTCGTATGGTCCAGGGTTGTCCAGTCCAGCTTGCACTTTTTTTTCCCTCTGTCACATGACTCTGTATGGAAGTCCATTTTTTCAGTTCATGAATATTTCTAACTGAGCAAAAGCAATGATGCCACTTTGTTGAGAAATGAACAGAAACGTCCTGGAGCTCAGTTTTGTGACTTAGCTGAAAAGAGAAGCAGTTACATCGAGCAAGGAACGACAGGTCACCGGCCAAGAATGCCATGCGATATATGGGATTTGTGATTGGTCCCCGCCTCATTGGCGCTCAGCAGGGACAGTTACATGTAGCTGAGCAGTTGTTTTCCTACATAAGAAGCAGCATGCGACATTGGGGTTTGCACTGGTTGTGTGAACGACTCACACCTTGGCATGCATATTAACTTTCATGGAATGGTTTTCATGTCTTGCTTTTTTGTAGACCTTTGCTCTCCCAGTTGACCAAGTCCGTGCTTCGGTCGTAATCTACTGTATTCTTCTCTTCGGCATTGCCGTCCTGGCTCTGATCACCAATTTTACAGGGGTGAGCTCATCTTTCAATTGACCCTCCTATGAGTGACCCTCCCCCATCCATTTTGTTGATGCCTGTCACAGTGTTGCATTCGAGTCCAGTCACAAGTCCCTTCACAAGGCCAGTCATAAGTAACAGGGTGAACACTGAGAGAAAAATTCTTTTGTTGCAGCTTATTTAAATTGGCGTAAGACTGAAGGACTTGTGATGGACTTATAGAGACTTGCAAGGACTTGTGATGGACTTATAGAGACTTGCAAGGGCTTGGATGGATTTATAGGGACTTGCAAGGACTTGGATGGATTTATAGGGACTTGCAAGGACTTGTGATGGACTTGAATACAATACTGAGCTGTCAGTATCCCAGAGATCATCCAGGCTGCCTACAGTGTGACAGTGTCTACATCACAAAAACACACTGCTCCATGGTCATGCTCGCCCACATGAGTCGTTCGCTGCGCAGTTGTGATTGTGCCCTCTTGTGTTGGCCACCCCTGACCCCGTTCTCGTTTTCGTTTTGCTCAATTTCCCTGTTTTGCCCATGTGCATTAAACCTCCTCTATATCCGACAAGGCAGTTTCACATTTGCAGTTCTTGTGTGTCCAAGGAACCTCTTTCCTATAACTGGCTCTGTGTCTTTGAATAAAGAACCTGAAAAAAAAACCTTCAAAATACACAACAGAGAGCATTAACCCACAGTCGGTTGACCCTGTGGGTTAATGGCTCGCCACATAAATCTGTCGTGACTAGGAATAGGATGCTCGACTGTCACAGTTTTCTAACAGTCAAAGCCAAACAGTCGGAAAGCCTCTCCAAGATTCCTGGTTCCAGCTGTAAAGGTCCCAGAGCCTCAATATCTACCCAGATGATATCACCAACTAGTCATGGGCTGATTGGTCTGTTCACATCTTCTGTTTACAGGGCGCGGTGTTGGGCAAGTCGGGTGGGGAGCTGACAATGAGACTGAGAGGGATGATGTTCAAGGCTATGCTGCGACAGGTAGGATCGGCATCCCAGAAAACCGATTAAACTTGTTTTTCATTTTGGCTCAAATGATCTAAAAATGCACAGAAGATTTTGTGTGTTTAGCATGGGCGAGGAGGCCAAACCAGGGCGTGACTGGAGATAGTTTAGTCCGGAACCATTGTTGCCATAACATTGCTGAAACCTTTATCAAATAAACTTGGGTTGCTTGACAGTCGGACTAGTCTTGGCAACTGTTCAGGTCGGTCGAAGACTGGTAGCCTGACCGGTTGTCCATTGTAGCCCACGATGCACAGTGCAGGGAAAAGCGGAGCTCACAGATTTCTCTTGACAGTGTTGCACTGCCAAAATGGATCAAATTATCCAACGCCTTAATTTTTTCGGTCTCGTTGTTGGACGTGGGTCTTAGATGTGACTTCAGCGCTGCTGCCTGTCCACTGTGAATCGGCACACAGGTCCCTTAAACACCCAGTGGAACTTTCGTGAAATAAAGTCACGTAAGATGCGTCTAGTTTCCCCATTTCTTCATCTGCCTGTATGTCTCTCACAGGATATCGGCTGGTTTGACGATCATAAGAACAGTAGTGGGGCACTGACCACCAGGCTCTCCTCTCAGGTCTCGCTGATTCAGGGGGTGAGTCAAGTACCTTTCCACTATTCCTCCAGTAAAGATGCAAAATGGTCCAAGATTTTTGACGCAATCACCCCAAAAATTATGCCAGATTTTTTCGCTTTTGATGACTTTGTGTGCAACAACATTGCACATTGACTTTCAATTTAGGGATCAAAGCTCCAAGCAAACTAATCGTGGGTAGACTCTAACTTCCTCAATCCTTCTAAATCCCTTGAAATGTGGATAGATTTTGAAGGATAAGGGAGGATTAAGCATGGCAAATTCCATTAAGTCTCTTCTCTAGCCGCTTCCCACCTAACAGTGTCACAGTGTCCTGGCTGCATTTACCTTGTGCAATGCAGTGAACTAGTACAGATCATGAAGCCACTCGAGTGATGGTATTAAAGGTGATTGTTGGTACCTTCTTACCCTTTAAAGGTGTCTGGTGACCGATTTGGCTTCATAACCCAAGCTTTCTTCAATATTGGCGTGGCCATCATCATCGCGTTCATCTTCGGCTGGCAGTTGACGTTACTTGTGCTGGCCTTCCTCCCCCTGATTATGTTCGCAGGCCTCATCCAGACCAAGTTCCAGAGGGGCATGGCCGCCACCAAGAAATCCAGCAACGAAAACATTGGCAAGGTTAGGGCTGTCCAAAATTGCCCTTGTGCGTGGCATGCATGTGAGGACAGTGAGTGTCCTCAGAGCTTACCTGTGATCCACTTGTGAGGACCTTCAATGTACTAAAAACTCACACATTACCCCTACATGAGGATATAAGCAATGTCCTCAGATCTTTGTATGGAAACTGCATATGAGGACAGACAGTGTCCTCAAAGCTCCTGAAACTGTATCAGCAGTTGTGCACTTTGTCAAGTTTTCAAATGATCTGAGGTCACAGTATCTGTGCTGATGCATTATAGTCAGTTGACCCCATGTCAGAGGTCATCAACACAACAATGCATTGGCTGGTCCCCATATTTGAGATATTTGAGCAGTGCGTGGTCCGGGTCAGAATGATTTTGAAGGGCCAACCACAGTGTTTCCTTGTTGATAATATTTCATTGAACTAGGTGAATTAGGTGGTCATGTAGCCACGTAGCCCTATTTTCTCACAGCCAGCAGCAGTCTCTGTAAAGAATGTTCCATTGCTCCCTCTTTTTTTTTCGTTTGTTCAGATCGTAACAGAAACCATCGAGAACGTTCGCACGGTTGCCAGTCTGACCATTGAACCGGCTTTCATACAGAAATATATACGGCTAATGGCCAAGCCTTACAGGTAGTTTACCCCACCCACTGCCCCAAAAAATGTTTATGAGTTCCAAAACAGAATTAGTTAAAAATGAATGCCTTTGAGGACAGAGTTTGGTTCCACTGAATACATGGAAACACCCACTCATCCCCTCACAGTTTTTTGGACTTTTGCACTGGCCAGAATTTGACGGGTTATTCCATTGCCTCATGCCATTTTATAAGGATATGAACTTCCAACAAGGGGTAAGAGAGAAATTACTTCGTTTTAACCCTTCACTTTTAACTTCCATGACTTTTGTCTCTTCAAACAACTTCAGGGATAGCAAACGGGATGCTCATCTGTCTGGCATCGCGTACTCCATTTCGCAGTGTGTGATTTTCTTTGCCTATGCTGCGGCGTTTCGTTTTGGGGGCTGGCTGGTGCAGAATTGCTACATGGAATTCCAAAACGTCTTCTTGTGAGTACTTTGGTCCCTGATGGGCAAGCCTTTGTTTCTCATCGGCTGAAAAATCTTCCTGAAGTCAAGCACTGAGTGTTGTTCGACGTTACCCGTTTTCCGGCATTCTGCAACCTTCAAATCATCCGAAACATGGTGTTTGATTTCATAGGACATCGGATTTCTGTAACATAGAAATCCAGTCACCACAAGTCAGTCATGAGGCAGTCCAAAGTCAAGTGTCAAACTGTATAGATGAAATTTGATGACATGTTTTTGTCATCGTTCTTCATCCACTGACCTTAACTTGTGTTCATTCGTAGGGTGTTCTCGGCCATTATTTTTGGCGGGTTTGGTCTGGGTCGGGCTATGGCCTCAGCACCAGACTACAACAAAGCTAAGTTTGCAGCTGCGTACATGTTCCACCTACTGGACAGAGTCCCACCTGTCGACAGCTACAGTGACAAAGGCCTGAAACCGGTGAGATGTTTAAAAAAAACTTACTTCGTAGTGTTTTAGAAAAATTTTTTTGAAGTGTTTTGTATGCAGTTTAGATTCTATAAAAATGAATAATTTTCCTCCAAAGTTATTTTTCCACCATCTTTTAAGATTATTTATTAAATTTATTTTTAGCTCAAGATGAATTCGCTCAGTAGTAAAAGTATACAATTTCTGTGAAGTTGCAAGCTTGAAAAATCTCATGTGTAAGTCAGTCTGTGTTCCATTCAGAGTAGAAAACTAAAGCCCATCGAAACTTTTACGATTTCCCCTCGACTACAATTCCTGCGATAGCATTTTCACGACTTGTCCATAATCCGCTTTGGTGTCATGCTTTGACAGGAGGAGTTTGAGTCGAAGATATCCTTTGACAAGGTGCGCTTTCGATACCCGACCCGCCCAGACGTGCCCGTCCTGCGCGGCCTGACCGTCTCGGTCAAGCCGGGAGAGACCCTGGCCCTGGTGGGCAGCAGCGGCTGCGGGAAGAGCACCACAGTGTCTCTATTCGAGCGCTTCTACACTCCGACTGCTGGACTAGTGGTGAGCCCCGTGATTTTGATCACATTTCTCAGTGTCTTCTCAAGAGGAGAGGAGGAACGTAAGCAGGTGGACCTACTCTGATCAGCAGCCATTTGTAAACCGCTGGTTGACTTTGCCCGGTAACCCATGCATAACATATTAAAAAAGTGGAGGGCTTGTGTCATAAAAATAACAGGGTAAATGTTTTAATGAAAACTTGAGAGAGTGGCGTAAGTCGAAAGTCTTGTAGCAGAAAAATTAAGTCGGATGGCAGAGCATCAAAGCACGATGGTGCTCCACCAGAATCCTTTTAAGGGGCTTGTTAACTTCTGTTTCTTGTTTCATCTTGAGAAGTCTTGTCAAACCCTTGTGAATGTTGAAGAGTCTAGGAATGTTGCGGGTTTAAGAACCTTTTCTTTGGATTTCGCTCCTTGCCGTCTTTGACAGAGCTTGGATAGTAACGACATCAAGGTCCTGAACACAGGCTGGCTGCGTTCTCAGATTGGCCTGGTGTCCCAGGAGCCTGTGCTCTTTGACCTTAGCGTGGCTGAAAACATCGCCTACGGGGACAACTCCCGGGTGGTTCCCATGTTGGAGGTCATTGAAGCGGCCAGGAAGGCCAACATCCATGACTTTATCGCCTCCTTGCCTGAGGTGAGTTGAATCATGGCCGATTTTATCGCCTACTAGTGCTCAGTGACATAATGTGTTTGCCATTGACGTCTTTGGTCTGCCATCTTGATGCTAAGCCCTGGTCAAAATGAGGTTTGTTGTCTGCGACTTCAATCTGCATCCTGCGTAAACAGGGGAAAAAAAGCCCTAGGTGGAAGGTGTAGATATGGGCACTGTCTCAAGGCAGAGAGTGAAAGCTTGAAAATGGATCCATATGTCTTGTGCATAGATGCTAGAGGGCGCTGTGGAGTTTAATAATGGAAGTCGAGAGCATGTCTGAATCAACTGGCTAAGGCTGCCAGTAACACATACCCCTATGGGCAGTGACCGCAGCCGGTAGCTAGAGGCTTCCATAAAGTGCATGTTGTATTGAGGCGCAGCCATAACATGTTGATGGAGACTTGGGCTGCGGCTGTATCAGGTGCATCTGTGGGAGGTAGCTGCAGCCACTGTCTAAAGATTGGAACACAGCCCTTGAGAGGCTGGTGCCCTGACTTTTCTTTATATTCCCTCCTGGCTTTTAAAGGAAGGGAGGTGAGAACCAGTCTCTCTGAGAGCCTTTTCTGCGTCCAAGCTCAACAACCATTGTTAAGTGTCTATTTTTTCTTCCAGGGGTATGAGACGCGAGTTGGGGACAAGGGCACCCAACTCTCTGGAGGCCAGAAGCAGCGTGTGGCCATCGCGAGGGCGCTGGTCCGCAATCCCAAGATCCTTCTGCTGGACGAGGCCACGTCAGCCCTGGACATGGAGAGCGAACGGGTGGGTTGGGATCCTTCGGTTCTTATCCTTATTTCTTTTCGGTTCTCTTTACAGTTTTATATTCAAGAGCTTTAACGTTTTGTCATCTTTGGAAAAAGAAATGTAGCGCAAAAAAATGGAGGAATTGAGCCGGTGCCTTTTACACACGTTATTTGCGCGTTCTATAACCTGTACCAGCTGCCTGGATCCAGACTGGGACATTTTTAAATCTTGACACTTTTCCCCTCAACCTGAAAAGAGGTTTGCTGGTTAGATGTATTTCGGAGGATTTTACACGTCCTCAGAGTTGGCTCAGTGCTAATTCACATTGCAGAGGTTTTGACTGCATTCGGGTTGAACCCTTTTTTATGGAAGTCACCCAACACAAGGCCCCAAGAGGCCGCTCAAGGTGAAAGAAGAGAAGTAAAAGCCTAAGACATTTAGAACCGCAACTGTTAGTTGCAAAGGTTGGAATACAGTGGTCACTCGGTGGCGGATTTGTTTGGCCGCAGGTGGTTCAAGCGGCCTTGGACGAGGCCAAGAAGGGGCGGACCTGCATCACCATCGCCCACCGGCTCTCCACCATCCACGACGCCGAGAAGATCGTCGTCATCCGTCACGGCAAAGTGGCCGAGATCGGTCGTCACGAGGATCTGATGCAGCTGCAGGGCCAATACTACAGCCTCTACACAGCCCAGGACATGCAGAGTTGAGCTTTATATGTCTTACAGGGCTCCAGTTTTGCTTACCAGAAATATATCACTTAGCAGATGTGTGCACTGAACATAAGCTGGCAACCAGTCACGTGCAGTGCATATTGGATGATACTTACATGAGCTGCTTTCGAAGCAAATAAGGCCATGCCTGAATTTATTGTCTGCAGCTTAGACTCAAACGGAATTTCAAGCCGCAGCTGAGTAATGCAGATATGCCCTCTCTTCTGTGCAAAGCAAATTTTTGCGCTTACCAGGTCGGTGACATTGGCCTTTGGAGGTCAGATTTCTCAGGTTTCCCAACCAGCAGTGCGTGTATTAGGAGTCTAGAAACTAGACCATAGAGTGTCTGTACTGTAAAACTAGAACTTAGGCTGTGTCTAGTTTATCTGGCTGCGACTTGAAATAATACACGACTCTATGAGAATTCGCTGCCGCCTCATACCATAGGTTCCTGTGTAATTTTAAGCCACAACCAATTAAGTTGGACATGGCCTTACATACTCTTGTTGTAGAGAAATTTTCAGACGAGTGGTGGTGTGAATGTGCAAACTCTTTAAATGGGTAAGAAAGGTGAAAAGAAACTATCATTGATCAAGCAGAAATTTTTACAAAATACTACTGAAAATATGGACATTTTAGTACATATGCAGTGATTTGTTGAACATGTGAGAAATATTGTAATCTTTGTCCTCAGCAGCAGAATGGTTTTAAAAGCGGGGGGGAGGGAGCCCTGCCCATGAGACTGAAAAGAATACATTATGAAGTTGCAATGTACCTCCAATGGCTGGTAGGCCTATAAAGTGGGGGAAAAATAACTACCTCTGGCAATGGCCCCGTGGTTCTGCCACCGTTGTTTTGTATATGTATGCTTGTGGTAATGGAATATTCTTCAGTCAATTAAAAATTGTAAGCGCAAGAGTATGTCGCAGAAAGCGTGTACTCATGTTATTCTAATTCTGTCAATGCATTCACTTGGGTAATGTTTATATTTCTACCTCTAAAACTGTAAGAATCTGTACTTTTGGTACTTTTTTGCAGTTTGCTCAAGTGTGTATTTTCATTTTAACCTCTTGCTGCATATGTGGTTACATTTCATGTTGGAATTGAGTCCTTTGCCGGGTACACTGCTCCTGGTGTCTGCTCCTTGTGCATGTTCAGATGAAAGCCAGTTTTGTAACTATTTGTGCACATTCAGATGAAAAACAGTGACTGGTATGCATTAAGTCATATTAGTGCAAATAAGGCATCACTGCATTTTGAGTATGTAAACCATGCCATTGACTGTATACAGAATTGCACAAGTGTAAACTTTCAATGCACTGTATACCAATTTTAGGGCTTTACTTTCTTTGTTCCAGGTGCATAAATGTCAGGATGTTATATTTAGTTAAAAGTGTAGAAAATATTCCTTGTATGACGATCTTGTAGTGCAAAATCTGCATATATTGTTGGCAAAAGAGAGTGTATATAAAACATGACTGTATCTTTTCAGTTACAGGTACTGTAAGATCGAGGGGAAGTGAGTATAATTTTGGGTATTGGATCTTAAACTTTCTTCTGAAGCCAGTGCTTCTCGTTCTACGCACTTAAAATTGCTCATTCACAAAGGTTTCATGACTGACAAGTCTGATTTTTTTCCATGGACTGATTTATATGAAGATGAATGAGAACATCATTGTCATTTGCAGTATTCCTTTGTAAAGTGAGCACTGATTGATCCACATTCCACAATTTTACCCAGCAAAGTTTTTAAACAGGTGTGTAGAAGCTCAAACTGTACGTAACTTTTATTGTAACTTGCTGCTCTTTGGGGTATTTGCAGTTTTGTGGTCACCTATCATTTGCCTCTATTCTTGGTTCATACTTTGCAGCTTATTTGAGAAGGAAATATAAATGTGATTTTCTGAAAGGAGACCTCCGTTTAGTTTAGGGTCATTCCTCCGTTTGTTAACTACTGAAACACTGCACCCCCAGCAAAGTAAATTTGTAAAAAAAAAACATTTCCCATTTGATCAATTTTTACGAGTCTGTATTTTGGTTCCATAAGTTTTACCCTGAAAAGAAATTTTTTCATGAAAATCATGACGTTGAAGTAAAAAGACAACTTCCAACTGTCTTTGTCACATGTATGTTCACATTGTATGTACACATGGTTTTGTTTGTATTTGTCTGCCAGCGTATGCTATCATGCAGCAGCCTCTTTTTCTTGGAGAGGGGCGATCTGTCAAACAGCAATGAAAAGTGACACTGAAACCGGCCTGATGTACAATATGTTACAAAGAGGTCTTTATGTACCGTCAAAAAGAGATACTGTGACTTGGTCAAATGCCGACATGGCTTAAAAATTAGAGATGGAATCAAGTCGGACCACAAATCAGTTCATAAGTCGGACCATAAATCAGTTCAGAACTAACGAGGGAAACAATGAGTAGGGAATGAGTTGACTAAAGGGCTGAATGACTCGTACCTGACTTGTGATGACTGGATTCCATCTATTCAAAATTATGGAAGATCATCAGAAAGACTGAGGGCTGTGTGGCCCGGTCTCCAGTAACTTCGAGTTAGGTCAACATTGCATGACTGTCAACACTCTCAAATTGGCCATGTGAAGTAAGTCCTGATCTTTACTACTGACCATTTTACAGGAGAGGACATGTAAAAATGGTCTAGCTACAAGACACGTGAGCATGACTGACAGGGTAAGCACCTCCATTTTCACTGATTATTAGAAATGCATTTCCAAAGTTCAAATTTTTAAGGATCACATTTTTAAGTCATCATTTCAGAATATGGCGCTGCGTTAAAACTGTATTTACAAGCTTAATAGTTTTCGAATACAAATGAATTATTTACAAATCAGATTTTGCTCAAAATATATCAACCCCAACTCCTTGGGGTGTGTGTGTCAAATTGTAGAGGACTGAAAACATAATTCTAACTTCTACGTAAGTCAATCTACAAAAACTAGTTAGTTTTATCTTCCCTTTATGTGTCAACAGGCTTCAAGCCCACACACTAACTGGTGGCCGTCTGACATCTGCTTAATATTTACTGATGGTATCACGTGTGTTGGGGGCAGACGTCAATCAACTGACTTTTTATGGCCGCAGCATTTTCGGGGGAACTTGCAAACCCAGGTCGTGTTCTAAATGGGAAAGGCATTTGAAACGAGAGTGCAGGGGTCGGATATCCTTCACAGACCATCCCCCATATCTGGGGGCACGTAGTCATCTGTTGGTGGGCCTGTCACGTAAACAGAGTACAGCTCCCTCCCTACATCAAAGCAGAAATGAACCCAAAAAAATAATGTCAGTGGCATGCAGTAATAGGCCACACCACGGTGTAGCCAAAGGCAAAATCGGCCAGTGATCTTGGGTAACCATTCCGGATTTCGTGAGCAAAAGCAGGAAACAGAAGTTGCAGGAACAAAACATGTCGCCATGACAACCCAAAGGCGAAAACAGTTCACCCAACAAACGAGGAGTAGCTTTTTGTCAAGAGAGCTAATTGACCGCTAAAGACACTGTTCTTGTGAGTTCCATTCCAAGATGGACATTTGTTGAAAATCACGGTGGGCGATGTGACGGCATTGCCATGTGTCGTTAACTGACACTTGTGAAAAAATCGTAGTGCAAAGCTGACAACCTGTATGACTACACAGTTTGATTAGGGACCGTGACCCATTATTTTCTGATCTGTAAGACTGCAGTTTGATTAGGGACCGTGACCCATCATTTTCTGATCTGAAAGCCTGTATGACTGCAGTTTGATTAGGGACCGTGACCCATTATTTTCTGATCTGTAAGACTGCAGTTTGATTAGGGACCGTGACCCATCATTTTCTGATCTGAAAGCCTGTATGACTGCAGTTTGATTAGGGACCGTGACCCATCATTTTCAAATCTGCGTATTCAGGGACTTTATCCAGCAGACTCAAATATGAGTAAGTGTAATGGTCACTCACCAATCTTTCCTATAAGGTCCACAACTTCAAATGCTTTGAGTCGCCTGTTGATGACATGCTGGATGAAGTGACGCAGCCTTTCGTCAATGTTGGAAGGCAACTTCACTTGCTGAGAATTTGTCTAAAAGGGAAAAAAGATGTACATGTAAGAGCCGAATTCGTAAATACGTTTTTCTCCTCATAACGATGACATAAATGAGAAAAAAGCAGTTGTGTTTACCCTGCTTTCATAGTCCAGTGAGGAAGTGCATCCCCCAAGAAGGCGAATGTATACAAATATAGCGCACCACACATCGTAATACTCGTCATCACGAACATCTTGTTCTCTGCCTGATGAACAACACAAAAGCAAAAATATGGTACTAAGTGTGCGACAATCAAAACGCATATGTCAGAACCAACAAGATTGTCATAAATGAAGTGGTATTTCCAAGGATTCCGCTATAAAGAGCCAAAGTCAGAAAAAAAAGAAGAGTGGACAACAAAAGAAAAAGACAACTGTGAATGCAGATGGGACACAGCCTCGGTAACGTTAGATGTGACAGGCGAAGAATTCCTCCACCCTCAAAAAAAAAAAAAAAAAAGAACTTTGATATCACTTTGTGCCATCAGGAAAAAATTCACCAAAAGTGTATCTTATCTTACCCGTGATCCTCTTGGATTCGCCAAAATCGATCAACCTGAGGCGTACCCTGTCCAGGCTCGGGCTAACCAAGATGTTGTTGCCTGCAAGAAGTTAAACATTGCACCACTTCAAGTAAAATACGGTCAAATATGCTACCGTTTCCAATAGATCTGGGTCTGCAGGTGACCAAGTGCTTAGGGCTTGTGACTCCTGCTCAGTAGGTCGGCGGTTCGAATCTAGCTGCTGGCCAGAAGTTGTGACCGTCAGTGAGCCACTTAAATAAGCCCTACTTGTACTTGCCCATCTTTACCCAGGAATATAAATGAGTATCAGCATTAGCTTAGGAGCAACCTGCAATGGACAGACATCCCATCAAGGGGGACAGGGGGTTGGGGAATGCGAGGGAGGCTGGAATACAAATATTCTGTCGTATCAAGCCAAGGAAGCCAGGGATAAACATTGGCGTGATGAGCCTCACGGCTTGAAACAGACTTGCTAATAGGGGAAGCATGAACACTACATGTTAATTGTGTTGAATTCTAAGAACTTGTTGAAGCCTGTTCCGTATCGCCATGTTAGAAGAGATTGAAGTCCAATTATAAAAACTGAAAGAATGAACTGACAAGATGAGAGGTTTACCGTGAATGTCTTTGTGTATAATCTTCAGGCCATGCATGTAAGCCAATGCTTGAAAAAGCTGGTCCATCAAACCCAGCGCCTGCATCTGGTCAATGCGGAAGTTGCGTCCTTCCCTGAAACTCTCCAGCGTCCGGAAGCCAGGATTGTACTCCGAGAGGAACATGATAGTGACGTCCGTCCGGATGAGGCCCAGGAAGCGCACGATAAAAGGAGAGCGGTCGGTCAAATGGCACCAATTCACTGCCTCGTTGACTTGAAAATCTTTAAGTTTGATCTGTAAACGAACAGTTGCAAAAGTGAGGGCTTTTCGTGCTCTCCGTCTTGGCGTACATCAGCATGCATGCTCGGCTTTGTACAATGCACCCAGAGTATGCGCCATCTTCAATTAGTTATAAGTGGGATGTAACAAGGAGAAACGACATGTAAAAGGGGAAGTCTATGGTTCGAGAGTAGAAATGATGATCTCTAGTTGATACTTTGAGTTTTGATGATTATGTTAGAGCTACTGGTGGAAACTATTCGCAAATGACAGGCCTGTGATTTGAATGCTTTGCCATGAATAACAACTTGTTGCATGTACTTACGTATTTGGCCACGGCGTCCTGTTTGGTCCTCTTGTCTCTGATGATGCTAACCTCACCATATGACCCTTCCCCTAGTGGTGGGACCAATTTGTCGAACTCTGCGTTTTCCCGATAGTTGTTGTTGTTGATATGCAACTGTTAAACGTACAGAGTTAAAGGAAATACCTGAGAAGTGTATTTTTTTAACAGCAGCAAATAACATCTCACAAAGAATTCGTCCCAATGATATCCCAATTTGTAAAATGAGGCTGCTAAGCAGGCAGTCTCAATAAAGTACATGTACATGTATATGGCAAAGTGCACCATAAACACACACTCAATTATGAAAGGAGGGCCCCCAGAATGCTACACAAAAGGCAGGCTGATGACTTGGTAAAGAAATTTGACCAAGAGAAACAGCTGAAATCAAATGTACATGTAACTGCTAGCTTCGCATTCCAGCCACTGCGAAAAATAATCTAAAAATGAAGGGGCACTAATTCAGAAATGAAAAATGTTGAAGTTTTTCATCGAAATTCTTTGCCTTTTTTCAGACACTGACCATAGACTTTGTGCGCAAGGTGAGATGGTTGTCGCATATGAACTCTTTCTAAAAAGGTGCAAGTACCAACCTTTTCGCCTTTCAACAATATTCCATCCTGTCCTGGAAGTGTCAATCCCTGCTTTCTTATCTCATCTTGCTTTTCAGCAAAATTTTTCAAATCGGCCAGACTGCCATAGTTCACCCCTCCACGCAGCGGATCTCTGGCAAGGTCAGGCTGGACTGCTATGTTGTCCAAGGTTTGCTGAATATTAGGCTGGTCCCGGAGATAAGTAGCGGCCGGTGTGTTAGATATGGAATCCCCTGCTGCATCCAAGTGAACCTGGGCCCCACTTGGGCTGCCATGCTCGGGCAAAACAGGCAGCTCGACTCCGGAATCAATGGAAGCGACGCCTCCTTGGGGCTCGTCCTGATTGGCCTGGCTGTTACCGGCTGCATCTATGCAACTTGGGTCCTGTCGTCTCTGAATTAGCTGTCCAATGCCTTGGTGGTCTCCAGCTTGGACTTCTGATGGGTTACCAACCCTGTCAAACAGGTTTAACAGACTCAACACTTTCTGATTTGCATAAACAGTCACAATAATCATTCAAATCAATATTCTGTGATTCTTAACTGGTGCCCAAAACTGCAGGAAAGAGTTCCGTATGAGGATTACACTAATTTTCCCTTAGAACGTTTTAACAGCTTTCAGAAAGTGATAACGTGTCCTAAAAAGTGAAACTTAGCAAAAAAAATTCTGAAGCATTTACTTGAAAAACATATAGCTTTTTCAGACAAGTACGTTTTTGCACAGCGGCATCAAATGTTTTCTGTTTATGAAACTCTTTCCAAACTGTATCTCCAGCCACGACAGACTTTTGTTTGACCGGAACTGATCCAAATATGCTTTTGTTGTTGCCATATTCTCGTGGTCAGAGGCTGTTCCATTTATTGCACTCACGTCTGGGCAAAGGGGCAACTCTCCGTTCACTTTGTACAGGGATTGCATGTTTTCCTCCTTTTTTGCTGCAACATGATACAAGTAACTGAAACCTTTTTGGCACGGTGTGGGAGATACAGTGCATATATAATAAATTTCAGGCATATTTGATGAAAAGGTTAGGAGTTTAGTCATGTCCATGAATGGAACTCTCTCCCTCATGGATTTCCCCCTGCAATGGTTCACCTGCCATTAGAAAGCGACACGCCTTCAACAACATAAAAAGCCAAAGACGGCAGGGAAACTACGGAAGGGGAAGAATTCCACATACAGACGCCAATTATTATTCCCTGCAGTGACCTATTAACCTTCAGAAAGCAAAACATGTCCAGAAAAGTTCAATTTAGGAGCGAAAAAGCCAGGTCGTTTACTTAGAAAAACAGAATATTTCAGACCAGTCCCATGGGGTGTCAAGTGGCATCTGTTTAGATGGAACTGTGACTGATGTGAAGTTAGGTCCTTGTTCCTCGTTCAACATTCAATATTGAACAAGTAACTGATATTCCAGCGAAACTGTTGGACATTCAGGGTGCATACCCCTAAAATTGATGGAGTGCAAAATGAGAAAAGTTAAAACACACTCCCCCACCATGCACATCCTTCCAATGTACTCAGTTTACATTGTACGTGCCAGATCACAGTGATGCATACACAAACAACTTTCTTCCACAGAGGGAATCAAGGGCAACAGGTTTTCGGGGTCAAACAAGTCCTGAACTGTTGGCGACGTTTTTTTACTGCAGTTTCATTATTAAAGGGAAAAATGGTTGTTTAAATACATGTACTTTTTAAATACCATTTCATTGAAACTATTCCAATCCATCGAAATAATATGCATCAATCCCATGCCCGTTGAATCCATTTCAACCTGGGCAAGGCACTATTTTCCACTTTCGAAACCGCTTTGACTAAAGTCTCGTCCACGGGGCACGTATGTTTCAGAGGGAAATTATTAACTGTGCATGTCCCATTTTTAGGGTCATTTGCATGCGTAATAAGGCCATGGGAATTCATGTCAGGTAAACAGCTGCTTCGTTTCATGAAATTTACATCTTATTTTCACTTTTTGGAAATAAAAATTCCTGCCCCAAATATTTTCACGGTAAGCTAAGGCCTTTTCCTAACGTGTTATGTGAAAGTAAAATTGAGAAATAGTACCAGAGTAGTCAAAACTAGTGATTGTTGTGAAAAGCTCTTTTCGTAAGCGGTAGCGTGTTTACGTTTTGATGCGATTTTTGAAGGCTCTAAACAAAGAATTGGAAGTCTTCCTAAAGTTTTCAAAAGTGGACTGTGGTGGAGGTGTGAAGGTTTTAGATTTGCTGATGGTTTTCCGTTAGATTTTTTTCTCTTCCCGACCAGACGCATTTGCATATCGACTGCTTCCGTTCGTCCCACATAATCTTACAGCCTTGTGAGCGTAAGAATTTAGTGACTCGGGGACGAAAGATGAACACAAAAGTATAATAAGTTTACTATTGAAGCCGAGGTCAATCTGTCATTATGAAATTGCCAGGAAAATGTTGAAATTTAACGTATATATTGCCAGTTTTACATGTACTATCCATGCATGAACCACATGAACATGTACACCGGCTCCGTCGAAAATTTCCATGTACATGTACGCCGCAGTACGCATGTACAACGTAACAGGCCGCAGTATACCGTGCATGATACGTGGCTGGATTGGTTTTGTGCATGTAAAACACGTATAGATCGCGCTGCGCAGAAGTATAAAATATAACTCATGAAAGTTAACCAAAACAAATCTACATGTAGCTACATAGAACTGATTGTACCATGTCGTATGCAGTGTCTCACTGTTCTGGGAAACTTCTAAAATTGAGAAATTTAGTGGAAAAAAGACCAAGTGATCGATTGAAAATGGAAATAATTTATCATCTTAGCAACCACTTTGAGGCTAAATTTCATATTTATGTAGCATTTCTTTTCCTGATTCAGTCGTATTTTTTCTCCGATTTAAGCCTTCTGGAGCACATACAAAGAGTTTCAATGTGATCGTTCGTTAACTTTGTGCAAACCATAGACCTGGAGGAGAAAAATACAATGGACTGCCAACTCCTGCGCTGCGACCGTCACGTGTCACTGCGCACGTAATTTTGCCTTGGAATTCTTTATTTTTCATGTTTTTCGGGGATAAAATAAAAACTCAACCCCCTATTTGTATCTTTAAGCGCTGCTTCCAACAACTGCACAATTATTACCTGGAAAATTATGCCATTTCGAGTATTTCTGTGTTACGCATTGTGCTGCATGCACAATTTAACATACAGAGACCAGCAAAATGGAAGCTGTCGGTAACTTTGACACTTCCAATTGACACAAGATCGATGTGCACCCGCTGGAGTTGGCAGTCCATTGTATTTTCTCCTCCAGGTCTATGTGCAAATAAAGTCTTCAAAAATGAGATGGCTCAACAGAGGATTGGCAAGTTGCTACGGACATTTTCATATGGTTCAGAGGGTCCAGTCAAGTAACCGCCGCGCAGTTGAAGTAATAAGTTCCACATGCCGAATGGGAGTGAAACCGGGGAAAGTGAATATATCACACCACACTTTTCAGAAAAAACGTTGCATCCTGTCTCCACTTTTTCTCATCATATATCATCTCAATAAAAGTCGGACATTACAGAAATGCTGGAAAGACACGAATTCTGGACCGACAAACATTTACGGATGTTGTTGGGAAATACTTCGAAAAGTTTCTTCACTCCCCATAGACTTTGTACACAACTGCGGAAGTGGAGTCATGAGGTCAGCATGCAACATTTTTCCCCACTTCTCTCAAATCGAAATAAAATATCCATACCCTATGCCCTGCCTAGAGATCAGGCTAACTTGAATCTGATCTCATTGTTCATGCAGTGACGACTTGTAAGTTGTAGCAACCCGGGGCCTGCGGTGTTTTTCGGGGTCACACAAGCCCTATTAATGTATTTGGCACAGTTTGTTTCTTGTCCCCTTTGCACTTTACCGCTTTCAGGTTTTTTTCATGAATTCTTATTCAACGTTGAACGTCGAACGTCAAACCAAACTTGGGAATAAGTAGGGCCTAGGTCCTAGGCCTAACTAACTTCACACCATCATGGATTCTGAGTTTCCATTTTACAAGTTTTAAGACATAGCTACGCTAGTAACAGTTATCCCCTGACACCTGTAGCTACGTACAGCAGCAAAAGTTCACAAATTTGAAAAGTTTTGATCGACCAAACTTCATAATCATATAGTGATAGGCATGGACATGAATTCAGATGTTTTGTGTGGGTCTAGGCTCAACGTTACTTACTGAACCGATGAGGCAAAATCGGCAGCCATTCTTTCTTCCCCGATTTGATCCATGGTTCCTTAAATAAGGCGGCTTATTACGCGGCCGTCAAATCCCGGCAGAGATCCAGGCTGTGCGCACACAAACCACGGCAAACAAGCTGCCACCCTTGTTGTATGTAGATACTAGATGTAGGCAGTAGCACAGTTCAACGCCGAACGTCAGATCCCTGTGCACAGACTTCTGAAGGCTATCCGGCCGGGGTTGTCAAAATCAACGCTATGGCTCCTTGAGATGTGTAGGCCGAAAAGCCTATGTCCTACCTGGCACTTACGATCGCCGGCTTTTAATCTTTAAAAAGCAATAACTTGATTAAGCTCTAGCCTAGCTCTTGTGCCATCACGAATTAACTGGTTAAAGTCAGGCCTTTCTTACGCAGCACATACATGTACATGTAGTGCATGTAATGATGTAGGCCTACGTGGGGTTGAGGTCGACGGTCATGGCAGTGTTCGTGTTGTTGTAGATTAACTGCACCATATGGCAGACTAGCGCCACAAGCAGTATAGTCAGCGTCACTCGTAGGTTGTTTGGGTATTCATCGCACATTATGTAAAAATGCACAAAGGAGAGAGAAAAAAATATGGCCCGGTGTTGTTCGTGCGACAAGCCTCCCTCTTTCATTTTTTCCCGCGTCTTGGAATTCCCCGACATACTGTTTGCGGTGTTCTGATTGGCTTGCTGCATTGGGCTATATATGTAAGCCAATCCTAAAGCACCACCTTGGCCTTCCTGACCCTGGAAATGGTAGTCACTTGAGTCATGCGACTCCGTCACAATTCGCGCTTTTTGGCGGGAAAATCGGCGCCTTAATCAGTTTTGTTTTGTTAGGGTAAATCTTCTACCTGGTTTCTGAAGTCAACCACAAATAAACGCACGGAAAAGGCGATTGTGGAAAGGTAGACCTTTGTTAAACTTTTTTTAATTGCTTAACTTCTTTAAAGTGTTACGCCAGCAACTCCTTCTGTTGAGCTGCATTTTGCCCTTCCAAGTGTTCTGCATAGTGTGGGCGCGCGCTGGATGACGAGAGAACGTCTTTTACGCCTCAAGCACCCACATTTCTGGCTGTATGCATGATTTGGGCTGCGCCGCTGCGGCTTGAGTGCGGCCGTGTGACTTATCAAACTTCGCTGTGGCCTGAAGTTACGCACGAGCTACTCAGGCATCTTAATGGGCGGCCATAGACAGTTCCCACAGCGTTGTGTGTAATTTCAAGCCATAGCCAAGTTATTCGGATGCAGCCTACCAGCAGCCATTTTATAACCTGGTGGCATGGCTTCCCCGTACAGGCACACATGCACGCGCACACAGCCATTCGTTTCCACCGTACCACAGACCAGCAGTGTACATGTACATGCACATTGCGTACCAAGGTATGCCCGGCGATGACTCATGGTGGTAAGTCGCTCTTAAGGCTTCGGCTTAGTTCCGAGCCGGCTCTGGCCATGGCACGTGTTCAACTGGTAGCTTGCGCTTTTTGGCGGGAAAAGTCAGTGTATCTTTTTGTGTCATTGGAATTGCATCATCGCATCAGTTTTATTTTCTGCCAGTGAATTTTCTGGTTTCTGAAGTCAACCACGAATAAACACAAGCTTACTGGCAGGACTGTCAGGACTTTTTACTGAAAGAAATTTCACTATATTTTGAAATTCAGACAGAAGAACACCCAGAAGTTGAATTAGGACGACAATGACGACAAGGTAGGCCGCTAGTATCAGGCAGCCATCTTGGTCATATTGGTAGGGTGTTGATCAGCCAATTTGGCATTAGGCTGTACAGAGTCATTTATGCTGTCCGTAACACGGTTTTCCGCAGAAACGTTACAGGCAGTCTTCTCTTTTGTTGACTCGACGTTTTCGACCTTGCTACAATGCAAGTATACGTGTTATTTGAAACAGTTCAGTATCAAGGCTACGCCCTTCGGCTGCTGTAACCTAGCAGATCCAACTTCGTCGTTGCAAAGTCTCGAAGCCAGGCAAAAAGGTGGACAAATCTGTGAGTACTGTGGGATTATAAGCCAAGACCTTTGTACGGATGGGCCCATCAGATACCAGGGCTAGTTCAAATATACCAATTGTCAACATTAATGGAGGATGGTGCGAAATGGATATTTTATATTGGAATGAATGACCGCCCATTTTTCATTTATAGGCCTGTGGATGATCTCTCTCCCAATACACTACTGTAGGGTGTGTAGAATCTTAGTAAAATTGGAGGATGAAGGAAGTTTGGTGCCAGGGAGTGAAAGCAGTAGGCCCTATGCTGTGTGATGTACAATTATTTTTACCTCTGTTGATTGAAGTTGTTGTGTCACTTGTGGATGTGTACATGATTGTGCATGCATGTGTAATGCATATCAAGTGGTATAACCTCTTGGGCAGGTACAGGTTTCGTCATCTTGCAAACTGTGCCTTGTATTTGCGGCCAAATTGGCTATGTATACATGCAGAGTAAGCACCCATTACAAGTACATCAGGTGGACTTGGTAACTTAACCTAGGCATAACAAAGGAATGCCTACTGTAGCACCAACAGTTATCAGCCAGTCCTTGGTTTCGTTTTATCATCAGGACAGCTCATTTGTGAAACACACAGTCTCAGTGCAATACCGGAATGAAATGCCTTGCTCTTTTTCAAAAGGTAGTGGTACCTTTGTCCAGTACAGCATGACTTTGTCTATTTCAAGTTTATAAGAAGTCCCGTAGGGTGATATGGTAGTTTAGGATTCAGTGTCCTATGGTCCTCGGACACTAGTGTTTTGGTGGCCCTGTAGGCCTACTTAGTCAAACGCAGAGCTGGTGAGTGCTGGAGGCTCACCTTTCATGTTAATGCTAACATGAAGCAGCGCCAGGCACTTGCCAGGTTTGAAGTTGTTCAAAAGCATGAAGCATGCTCTGAAATCTGAGTCATTGACCAATTTTTGTACTTGCTCATTTACTGTGCCTGTCCAATTAGCCATTTACATGTTACATTTGAATAAAGTCTGGTACACTGTGTTATCTGATTGCTCATAAATGTAACAATTTGAATTCCTCAGACTAAAGGCACTGTTACTATACCTCATGATTTGGGGCGAGCTTTTGTATAGCGACCACCATCTCTGAAATGACTAGTTCCTCTGTGCCCTTCTTATCCATTAACCCTAACCCTCCTCAATCCTCCAACAGGTGAAGGATTGAGGAGGGTTAGGGTTAAGAACAGTGTATTGGTTCAAGGCATGTCTTGTGTAACTGAGCAAACGAATCACGAGATATAGTGTGGCGAATTCAAATTGTTATGTTCACGTGAATTTAAAGAACTATAAAAAGTGTACCAGAGTTTATTAAAATTTAACTTGCAAATGGCTTATTGGAAACTATCGCATTTAATATCTTTCACTGTACAGAATTCTGATACCTTTCATTTGTGCCAAAGGGCCCTTAATCTGTTTTCTTGCAGATTTGCCCAGCAAAGAAAAACTTTCTCATTGCCTCTTTTGATCAAAGTACAGTCATGGCTGTTTAAATTTAAAGTAATCTTCACCCTATTTATGGCACGGTGTCATGGTGCCCAGCTAAAAACCCAAATAATTGCTGTCATCCAAACCTTAAAATCCCTTTTTAAGAGAGAGCAAAAATAGAGCCAGTTATCAGCTCATGAAAAGTTGGATTTTCATATTTCCTTTTGGTTTCCTTTCAAACAACAAGGGACTGATATGCTAGATATTGTGATGTAGTATACAGTGTCTCAGGTTGTCAGACCCATACTATACTGCCAAGTTTCATGTATCTAGCCATTAAATCATGAGATAAAACTGTATATGTCTATACTAGGTTGAGGGGAAACAGTAATTTGCTAACTCTTGTAGTAGCAGTGATAAGAAGATGAACAGAACTTATACAGCACCAATTCCTTAGGTTTCAAGGCACTAAAAAAAAAGACAATACCACAAATGACAATGAAAATTCCCCCCCAACTCTGCCAAGCCCAGACTGTGGCAGTCATCAGACAGAGGTAAATTATTTTGGATGTTATGCTGGAGACATGCAGGTCGCTCTGAATTAGACAGTCCTTACATACTTGGAAAAGCACATGGCAGGGCTGATGGAATACCATTCATATGCAAATTATGTAGTGTATGTTATGTTTGAAGCATACAGGTGGCTTTTTGCAAGAAGAAAAAAATTGTTCTGCTTCCTGTGACAAGTAGAACCTGAAAACTGGGTAGGTAGCTGTACATCATCTGAGCAAAATAATTAAAAACAGCCAGAATTGTGTGACACTTGCTTCAAGTGAAACAAACAATTTACACTTCAGTTGAAGCTTTTTCCACCACATTCAAATTATAATAATAGACAATCTTTCCCTTTCTTTATTTCCAATCACACATTTTCCCAAATTTTGCTCTGAAAAAAATCTAGGGCCGCACCATAAATTGAGGCCAAGTTAGGAACCCGGAAGCAGAACTATTTTTTATTTTAGCTTGTGTTCGTCTAAAAATAGAAATGGAATTTCCCAGTTCGCCATTTTGTGATATCTCACAGACGGCGATGGCAGATCCATGATACAGGAATACAAAGGAAAAGTTGGCTGTGTCTCCACTTTTACATTATATTCCCACAGTTTAACAAATCTGCTTTGGTCCGTGGTCAAAATGTATGCTTAGTGCCTCGTATGTTCACTGCAGTGAATATGTTCCGATTCATGTGCAACGTTCGTGTTTATTCAGTGAAGTGCATCTAAACTAGATAGCTTCCTACAATAAACACAAATCCCATGGAGTTCAACCCTTAACCCCTTGTGCTGTTGATAGTGAACAACATGAGATTTGCAAATGAAACGGCCAGGGAATTTTAAGACAGAAATAAATACTGATAGAAGGGAAATCAGAAGGGTGAATGGATTAAAAATTGAAACTGGGAATGGCAAAGATTAATTATAGAGACAAAACACAAAGATGGTGCAAAGAGTTTGATAAACAGTCACCAACAAGTTAAAGTAGACTTTAATTTTACAGATTCAGAAGTGTGCTGGCGGGGCGTAGCCAAGTGGGGATGTACCCCCCACCCACCAATTCCCGGTGCGCGCCCCTCAGGTGCCCCTTCCCCACTAAAAAACAGGTAAATGGATATTGAACAAGCCTCACAAAAGATTGCCCCAAAAAACCACACCACGGAAAGCTGATGTCTCCCACAAGATGCTGGTGCCCCCCCCCCACAAGGAAATCCTAACTATGCCACTGGAGGTGTTGGCAAAAAACTGACAGGTGCAGCCATATTGAACATCATGCCAGATTTACGAGACATTTTTCTCCTTTAGAGAAGAAAATTAACACCCAGTTAAATATGCCTTTGAGATCTTTGTTTACTTTTTTTTTGAAAAAGCTGCTGACTTCTTTTGGAATCAAAAATGAGGTTCGCACAGTTTCAATTTCAATCTTAATGTATTTCCAGTGTCCTTTTTTGTTCAGCACTACCACGTCCATATTACATGATACATTTAGTGCCATTCACTAACATGTCTACTTTTTTCCACAAAGTAGTACATGTAATTTAGTTGAACCCTTGACCCCTGACAGTAACCCCAGTCCCAGATACAGCATCTGGTTTTTGTCATTTGGTAGCCATGGTATCCATGGTATACTAATATCACTTTCCCCATTAATAAAAATCCTTGAAGCACTAAATAAACCAGTCTCTTTCCTTTGGTTGTGTGTGGATGTGCAGGATGATTGTAGAAGAAATCCTGGCCACACTGGATATATCATAGAATGAGTACTTCTGTGAGGTAAAAATTCCTTTTTCCCAACTTTAATGCAGAATTAATGCTATCATTAACCCTCTCCCCTTAAATGTGCGTGACAATTTTTATTTAAAAATGGAGTGTTTGTGACTGCTTGGGCGATATATCGTCACCGTTTTCACGATGAGCCATACATGTCAAATTGGCATTTTTTTCTTGATTTGATTGGACTTGTGATGTAAGGGGAAAATTTTTGAATACTGCATTTTGCATTTTCGCAAAGAGACACAAATCTGACTACCCCTCGTTCATGTATGGAAAGTATTGACTGGAAAGGCCAAAAAGTAGGTCAACTAAGATTATCATATTCACAAAGAGGCACACATCTTAGTTACATTCCCACTGGCCCCTCTATGGAAAAAATACATTGGACATGCAGAAGGGCCAGAAAGTAGAAAAAAGTGTATTTTTATTTCACGAACAGACACGCATCTTTTGATTTATTTCAGCTAATTAGCCACTATGGTCATTTTAATGACTTGATTTGGATGAACATTTTTCTCTCAAAGAATCATTTCAGGCTTTTCACTGGATAAACTTGTTAAAGGCCTCCCAAAAATGTCATCTTTATCTCATTATTAACCCTAACCCCTTAGGTGTATGTAAAATCGTATTGATGTTGAAGGATTTGGGACTGTTAATAAAAACATTGGTTCCATTTTTTTTTTGAGGGAGAGGGGTTGGGAACATGGCCTCTATTGGCAACCCCCCCCCCATCTGCATACCCTTGTTCTCGGCTCCACTTTCCTATCCCTAGAGAGGAACAGTTTTATGCATACCACAACACAATTGTGTTGTTTATCTGCAGATACAAGGAGCCCAGTCAGCCTGCAGACACTGGCACGGACAGCAATGGAGCTAGTTGCTTGGTGACTGCGTCCAGTGAAAAGCAATTTAGGGAGCTGTTGAAGCGTGTGCTACTTGTGATGGATGGAGCATTGTCTGACCTATGTATAAACTTTTATAAGTATCACAATTGAAACATTTTGTAATCTGACAGTGTAATTCGGACATTCTGTAATTGGCACAGTTGTCAAATACAGTTAACTGGCCAGTTAGCAAGTATCAAAGACATCCTAAAACAGATACATAGGAGACTAAGTTTTGGAATTCTAGTAGTTGGAGCAAGTACTTGACTCCCCCTTTTTTCAAACTTCACTTTCAAATTCTATATCCAATTGCTGAATTCTCCATTTTCAAGATTTCAATGTACAAGCAAAAATAGAAAAATACTAATGAGATCAGGGCTCTTCCCTATCCTGTACTGTTTCAGTGCCGGCATGTCGTCTTTGGGATCACAATTTGGAAGTTTTCAGTGCAAAAGATAATGAAAGTGGAAGTCATGGTAGCGGCAAGGAGTTCAGTTCAGCCAACAAAGGCAGCAGGGGACAGGACTGCCAGGTGATTTTTCATAATCAAGTTTTTTCAATATTGTTCTTGCTAATGGGGGGATGGCAACTGCTTGCCAAGGGGCACGGTTCCTCCAGCATCCCTGCCTCCTTAGCAATGAGCCCATTCCACAGTCAAAAATATTCACTCAAGACGGTGCATGCCAGTAGGCTTAATGCTGTCATATTGTCTGCATATTCAAAGCCACTGTTACATTTGTACGTGATGAGTGTACCGATCCTGTCTCATCTTATGAAAGGTCGTGTGCTTGTGATCGCTGAACAATGGGATAGTGGACTTCTTTGTCCTGCAGTAGCTTCAAATGTTGCATTTTACAACTTGCAAAAGTTACAGGGGCAGACAGTGTCTCCCTCAGAACTACTTTTTATTTCATACGGATTTTTCTGGGTTTTTTTCTGTCCTTTTGGAGACTCCGAGATCAGGTCAGACCAGTCCTCCAACGCAAGTGCCTAAATCCTCCGGTGGAGGCGGTGACGATGGAGATGGAAGTCGGCGCCCTCCGTCTGGTGCGGACAAGAAGAAGCTGGACTGTGATAGGCCTTCTGAAAATAAGACGAAAAAGAAGACTGCAGAAGAGGGAGAAAGTGACTCTGCAGAAGCCGAGCTTGGGTCAGGGGATGAAGCAGCTGGCCAACCGACTGAAAACGGCATGCAGGTGATGATGCTCTTTTTATTATTTTCTGCCATGAATTGTGCTATTTTTTTCAACACCAATCTAGATTTTGATCTGCCGTGCATGTAGTGGGTGATCAGTTTGCTTTTCCATTCAAGTAGGGGGAAGAGATGACAATTTTTTAAAACGATGGATTTCATGTGTGTAATATTGATTCAGATTTTCGGCCATAGTTTCAATTTTAATTACCTCATGTTTCCCAATTGCTAAAAGATTTGAGTGATGTTGGGTGAACACTGTTAACAGCTATAACTTTGAGTCTCCTGGGTGTTAGATTGTGCTCCGCGGTTTGAAGGGAGGCGAGGTCTGTGATTATGTGGAGAATTACTGTTAAATTAATCAACTTAACTTAAAGTCTCAAAGGTATTTAATATCATCTCATTCTTAAACAGATCAGATTATTGCAGCTCAACTGTTATAATTGTCAGTGCTATCATGTAAACCAATTTGTGAAAATAAACTCATTTTCTTGGCAGGCTCCAAACATGGTCGGAGCAGCGCTTGAAGAAGAATTTGAGCCCTCTCCAGAATTGGACCAGGGTCGAAATTTTCAGGGGGCACGGAACCCCCCATTTCAGAGCTTCCTGGAAGATCAGAACCCCCCTTTGCCATTGGAGTCATGGTTGCCCGAAGGTGGAGTGGTCAGACCTGACCGGTCAGCAGCTGTAGGTGTGATGCAGGGAGATTGTGGGCAGCTGAATGAAGCTGCCAGGCGGATTGATCACGAGAGAGACCTAGATCCTGCAATTCTGGCAGAGGTGCAGGACGGAGTGTTGATGGATGAGGTAAGTTTTTATCCTTAGCTTTGTAGCGCCCCTTTGTGGCATAGCCCCGTCAGAGGAAGATTTTTATAAAAGCACCCCCATAAAAATTGGACTTGGCCAAAGACAGGAAGGAGGTCACATGTGATTGTGCCTGATCACTTTCACATATTTTGGTAGTCTGAGAAAGTTGGACTCTACAAATCGCCCTTTTTAATATTTGGACATGGTAAGGCAATAGTAGACTCCAAGTGGGCTATCCATCCCATTGATTCATGCAACTCAAAATAGATTTGAACTGTATGGCAAAATGATCACAGAGTACCCATTCAATGTGATCTTCTCCATTGTTTGCCCTTTAGGTTCCTTTATTTCTGTTTTTTGGAAAGTCCTGTAAAAGTTTAAGTACATAGGGTGAAAATTCATACTGTAAGTCTCATAACTCAGAATTTGTTCATTTCTTGAATTCAGATCAGTTATGTTTTATTAATAGACCATATTTGCAGGGGACCCAATTGGGGGTGGGGGGGTAGAAGTATGTGTGAATTTTTCATGGCTTTTCTGAGGGATGAGGTTCAGTTTTGGGGCTTTTCCACTCATCTGGCAGGGAAGGAAATGAAAGACCCCCCACCCCCCAAAATTATCTTTGTGTCATGATATCTAAAAAAAAAAATTGCCCCTTTTTGGGGACCATGTAGCCACCTTTACTACCCTGCCCCCTTTGATCTGCCAAGGGCTCTATTAATTAAAGTGAATTGATTGACTTGTATTGTAATTGACAGTCTTCATTTACCCTTAAATTTGGCTGTAGGGCTTGATTGCCGAGAATGGGCATTACATAGAGAATGACCAGTTCCTGAAGTTGGAACAGATTGGCAAAGGAGCATTTTCAAAAGTCTTCCTCATTGAAGACAATCAGTCAAAGAAACATTACGCTGTGAAGTGTGTAAGTGAAAAATACAATTACTGATAATGTTTTCAAGGCAATGCAAGCATGCGAATGGGCCATGTGTACCATTTTTGAGAAAAATCCAACTATATATTTGCATGCTTCTAGTATGGGAGACTTGGGCATACACGGGGCAAGTTGAGCCACATCTTGGAATAAGTTGATGGGACTGCTTAAGCAACTGATATTAAATAACTGTCAATATGGGCAACACAATATCATTTTTACAACTCCAACACAGTTATGTGAGGCTTGAATTTTAGGCTTTAAAGGATGGCAAAAGAGGAGAGTCACGTGTAGCACTTTATCTCCAGATGCAGCTGTGACATTCAGATGTGGCCCAACTCAGGAGTGAATGTGAATTGTTGGCCCATTTCTCCAGGTTCCCTTGGAGCGTTTTTTCCTATACGAGGTTCTGCTGTGGTCTGATTTGGAGCACAACAACATTGGGCACCTTCGTGGCGTGGTTCGGACAGGCAGTGAGGTCCTGTTAATCTCCAAATACATCCCTGGCCAGACTCTGGAGCAAATGGTAACTCATAGGGTCCTAAGCCAGGGAGAGGCCTTGAAGATGGTGCGGCCCCTGAGCTGTGGTGTCTGTTACCTGCATGCCAAAGACGTCGTCCACAACGATATCAAGTGTAAATATGTGGTGGCGTTTTTTTTTCATTTAAGCATCATCCGATAAGGTACATTTCTGTATGTGAGGTAGGGGGCCTGTACGGGCACTGTAGGCACATTTCTACACTCTTGAAAACAACCTGCAGGAGGGGTGTGTGTGGTGTATTGTTTGTAGCTGCAACTTGTACACGCATTGATAATGTACTTGTAATTATACGAAGATGACGTCATGCCATATGACCATAATAAATCACTCTCTACAATATGGCAGCTCCCAGTGGCACAGTGACCATCATTTTCCCAAATAATAACCCCGCAAATACATCACATGGGTGGTTTGTGATTTTCACCTGATCTGAAATTGAATTCACGTGCAGGCCGGTGGCGATATACATTACCAACACACTTGATGGATTGTTTGTTTTTTGCTTTGTTTCAACAGTGGACAATATCATTGGGGAGCCCTGCAGAAATAGCCTGGTAAACCCAGTTCTTGTTGATTTTGGATGTGCCATGAGGAGAGTGCATGTGGACATGGAGGGTAAGATGAGCTTGTTCACCAACATTCTAGTATGCTATCGTAATATTTAGTGTGGGCATTTGACAATGCTAGTATTTCTTCACGGTACACTGTTGGTATCATCTTTAAGAACTCAACAAAAACATGATACCATTAAAGCCATTTATGTATTCCATTCAGGATCTTCAGCCTGGCCAACTTGCCCAAGAGGTGATTTTCCTGAAAGTATGTAGTAAAATGTATTTTTAGTAAAGCTGTTGTTCCGCTTTTCATTCAACAGGAGTGAATCAACTTACTCCGGATGTGGACGGCGTTATGCATGCATTGATTTCTATCCTGCAGGGGCCTAAGGTAAAGATCTGTTGTTGTCACAATGGTGGAATAACTATGCCCCTCTCCCACCTTTGAAATCTTGAAATGCACATGGCCTGTGTATAAACGACAGTTCCCTTGAACCAAAGTTGTGCACCCTCACAGTACCCCTTCAGAAACTTCACCCCAGTTATGCCACTGTTGCAACAACTTGTGGGTGCTCTTTTGGACTGAACACTGAGGAGGATGGAAGAGGCAAAAGAAGTTGAGAAATTCTCATTATGGTATTTTTTATGCATGTCTCGATGCAAGTGACAGGTCAATTTTGATATGAAATAAGCTGAAGAAAAGGCCACACTGCTTTCATGGATGGTCTTTCTGTGATGTACAGTTTGCCGTCAAGTGAACTTCAAGTGCCCCTGAGGTGCACAAACTTTAAAATGAGAAACCTGTGCTCTCCCTCTCATTGGAAAATTCCCGTTCTTTTATGGACCATTCTATTTTTTACAGCCTTGGAACTGTACAAACTCAGGGGAACCCCCCCTTTTTCCCTAGCGAACTTCAGTTGTTTTCCTTGTACATGTACAGTCTTACGTTCTGTATTTTCCACAAATGGTCTGTGTCTCTGACGTGTTTGATAAACTCAGGGGAAACCCCTTTTTCCTCCGCTGAAAAGTTCACCACCCTTCATTGCCCATTTGGATTTGTGTGAAATCCAACTGAAGGATTTTCTGTACGGATTATAGCTTCCAACAAGCCTGTTGCTGCTCATGACTGTGGACATCTGCATTGAAAAAACAGACAGGCCAAGGACACCCTGAAAAATGGCAAGACAAAGACTGAAGTGGTATTGCCTATATTTTCAGCTGGTGCACTGCAATTCCTTTTTTTTTAACACTGCTGCATGGGGCTTCTTTTTTCAGCGTACACCCAGGGCGAGGATACCACCAAGCACTGACGAACGACTAAAACAATTCATCAAGGGTGTTTTGGAGGATCCTGAGAGGTCGGCAGCTAAGACCTTGGAGAACTGGCCTCATCACCTTGGTAAGTGACCAACAACGTGGCCGGGGCTGGGGGATGCATGTACCCCCATAAACAAACTTCGGCCCCACTGCCCAACTGAAATAAGGTTCTTTTAGGGAACATAACTTATTGGATATCTTAAAAGATTCTTATCGTGCCGGTTGCTATAAAAACAGGTGTTTTGATATCAGAAATTTGGCTGTCCAAACTGTAAAGTCCAGTGGCCACGTTGTGCTCTCTGGTCTCAGCAAATGACCAATTACCGATCATTCAACACTTTATAGCAGGTATCAGTTATTTGAAAATTAGGCATCTTTTTTTGTGTTATATCTAACTCATAATACAACAAATTAGTGAAATGAAGTGAAAATTTCCTCCGAAGTGAAGTGAAATTTGAAAGTAAGTCCCTCACTTCAGAATGTCAGCTCAGTTGTCAGTTAGCCATGTGGGGACTTCTTGTTTGTCAAAAGTTCTCATGAGTGAATTCAAAAGAGTCATACCCGTTGAAGAATGACGGCCTTTTTTGGGTTTTGTTTTCTTCCCACAGAGGAGGAGCTAGACAGTGTCCCAGCCGTCATGGACGACGAGGGTCTGGATGAGGCCTCTATTGGAGTGCAGACACTGCCAGATGAGAACCCCAGGCCCTGCGAACCACCCAGGGCAGAGTGGGATATATGTGGGTTTTTCGATTGAGGGTGTAACTGGTCGGTGAAGGCTGACCATTATGTTTTAAGCCCCTATCCCGTCCTTTCTTGGTCTCAGATGAGCTATTTTCACTTAAAGCTCACTTTCCAGAAAAAGCAAACCAATTGTGATATTTGTTATCACGAAAATGTGTTTTGAAAGAACAAGAAGGTTGATACCGTCGCTGTGGCTTCCACTCTACTTAGGAAGGCCTTTTTTATCCTCCATCCACCGAGCATAACATCACAAGACCCCACAAGACCCCATCAGACCCCACAAGACCCCATCAGACCAACCCGACGCCTGAAGTCTTAATTCAAGTCACCGATCTGTTTGAATGAACTCTATCAAAAAAGCATTCCTTTTTCGTTGTTCTCCCTGTTACTTGTGACTGGTCTTGTGAATGGCCTTGCAATGGTTTTGATAATACAAGACCACTGTCTATTGTTCGCATTTCATTCATAGGCTATACCGTCTGCATATGGGGGGAATGTCGCTGTTCCCCGCCCAACAAGAGGCAAAGTTTTCTTGGTGTTTGCAAGACACGGAAAAGTGTCTATCCTATTTCCTGTTCTTCACCTCCTTGGGGTAAAACCATAAAAAAAATTGTACGATGACCTTATCAAACGTTATGGCTTCAGGGAAAAATTGCCCCTCCCCTGAAAATTTGATTTTGATCTTTCCGTGAACAGTTTTGCAGTGTTCCAGATATTCCTGTGAGAAATGTACATTCCATATTGGCAGCCAGCGTCTTGAATTATTGCTCTTTTCTCTGTCAAACAAAATGGAGGGGGGGTTATGGTTATGGTCCATCGTTTTTCAAAACATCTGAGCGACTGTGTTTTGCCATTGCCTTTGCACGTGAGATGATTAACTGTAATAGGTCTAAGTCTTGGCTTAGGGTGAAGTGGTCAACACTGCCACTTCTTGGGTAGAGAAAGTTCAAGTTTATTTAGGAAGATTTATTATGGCAATTGGATGCCATGGATTGTTGTCCTCCGTAGTTTGTATATTTTTGCATGGATTAAATAAATAATGTAATTTTAGAACAAAGTCGTACTTTTTAAAGGGAATTTTATTACATTTGTATTAGATCTCAAATCATCTCTTTAAAATTTTATCGCCGTTTTTTATCTGGACAGTTGAAATTACGTGTTTTATTTTTCTGAAGATGTAAGTTCAAACCTGGAATTATACATCAGTCAAAGATTCAAAATCATTGAAGTTGAAAGCTCTATTTGGCATCTTGACACATGCATTTATATTTAAATGATTAGAAATAAATGATCTGAAAAGTGACTACATGTACTTTGTGTCAGTCTTCTGATGTAGCCGTGATTTTGAAATATTTTTGGCCTAACTTCGATAAAAGAATGATAGACGGGAAAATATATGAAAAATTATCGTGGTAAATGTATACCCGTGTCACGGTGAAGGTAACCCTCATCTTTTCCTACCTCAGAAGGTAGTAGGTTCGGTTCTCCAGTTATTTGCTATACCCTTCCGCTTCCCCGTCAAGTGCTTCGTAAATTTGGAAATGTTTTTAACTACCTCAGTTTTCACTAATCCGGCCAGAATCCCGGCCCGCTTACGTGTACTCTCCGCGGAAGGGGACGTGGCTCTCTCGATGACCCATCATTAACGATGGGGGACCCACGATTTATTGTGGGGGATCAGGAAATGTCGCAATCGGACAAAAATAACTTTCTTATATTAGTTCCCCTCCCCGTTTTTGCCTTCACTAGTGCTTCTTCAATTCATGACGTCACCAAAATTTGGTTACACGCCCCAATCAGTGACCTTCATTCTGCGGTCAACAGATGCGTTTGCCTTCAGCCAAGTGGAGGAGTCTGGATACTAGTCTGAAGGTTCGCACGTACGTACGTGTTTTCCAGACACAAGCATCCATGGTCCTGCCTCCTTAACCTCCTTGCGCGCCCGCGCCGCGCGCGAACAGATAAATGACGAATCACACCACGTACATTCGTTATTTATCTGTTCGCGGGCAAAGAGGCAGGACCATGGATGCTTGTGTCTGAAAAACAAAGTAAGTTGGCCAAGTTTCGAGCTGAAATAGTTGTAATATTGTGCGCTAGACACAAGCTTGAGTTGTTCCGATGGTTTCTTGGTTTATTGTGTGTCAGATACAGGAGTACAACTATATTATATAAATGTAATTCTATTCATGCCGGGCTAGGTCTCATGGGGTACAATGATTGATGTATAACAGGTGAGGCCATTAGGGTCCAGAAGAGGGCAGAGGTACAAGGACATTCTAAAATGGGTATTGTTGTTGGGTAGAGTTGTGGTGGTCAGGAGTGGACCTGTAAGAGTGCAGGATACCACAATAGTCGGTTTGGTTATAAGAGATGAAAAAGGTCGGTTCACTTAATTTCACCGTGTGGAGAATTGTAATGGTAAAGTGTTTTGGTTTCAAAATAAACAGCGGGAAAGGTTTAAGTCATTTCGGCCCCCGATGACACGCACACGACTCGTGCATTGCCCTAGCCCAGGTTGGACGACGTCTACATTACATTGCGACTAACAACCTGGGCTAGCATTGCCCCACGGCCGGCCTCCGCCCGCCCGGGGCTAGCTGCACCCCGGTAGTGCCATCTCCATACTTGAGGCTGTTCAGGCTACGCAGTAAATGTGACCGTGTGAAAAACTGCATGTACCCCGGTACTTAAACGTGAGGTATTGGATTTTTAGGAAACTGTGTTCGTTTAGGCCTATTTGTATTTCTTGTTTGCTTCTGTTTAACAAGGTTTTGTGTAGCATGGAACAAACACTTCAGACGTGGCCAAGAATTACATTAACCGAAACTGGTATTTTGTACAGTATACACATATATACAGTTGATTTTATTTACAGTACAAATAAATGCAGATTTATAATCCCAATTGACACTATTATTTTGTACAATATCCTATGTATAGAATTCGTCCAGTGGTAAACCGTTTTGTAAGATGTCAAATTATAGATATTTACAAACTGTAGCTGTAGGCCTACATTCATTTACAAAGTTTAACACATTTTGCCTGGACAGAATCACAAAGCACATGGTCTTCTGTACAAAATAATATAAAACTCTATAGGTCTGTATTTACAGTGGAAACAAATACATTACTTTTTACAGTGTCTGTAATTAGCGAAAGTGATTAGACCTACAGACCTGGCTGTCAGTTGCTTTCAGCACCAAAGGGCAAATAATTTGGTAAGAAACAGCAAATATATATCAACTGTAGCTATACATGTATTTACAAACTTGTTTGGATACAGTCTTCTGGTAAAATATATTACAAAAATACATCTGTATTTACCGTGACAATAAAATAGATACTACATGTGCTTTAATCTGTACAGTGTCTGAAATTAGAGAAAGTCACTAGACGTAGAGACCTAGCTGTCAGTTGTTTCCATCACCAACTGGCAAAAAAACCAAACCAAAACAAAAAAAACAAATATTTACAAACTGTGGCTGTACATATATTTACAAACTTGATCACATTTTGTAAGGATACAGCCATAAATACAAAAATAAAACCAGTCTTTTGTACAATATAGACACTATTTCTTAGTAAAATGTTTAAACAGCATTTAACAGTAACAACATTTTGCTGTCCAATGGCAGACCAATTAATTGATGTAAAACGGTGAATATTTACAAACCTTTAGAAATATGTATTTACAAAATGTGACAAACATTTGTTCCGGTAATTATGAAGCACTGGTCTTATTTACATGATATTACTACAATAATCTTCATTTACAGAAGAAATGCAGAGAGACTACTACATACTGAAATATTTATTTCTCTAGGAACTCGGATGTTCTCTACTGTCACCAAATATCTACCAACTAAGGCTATTGATACATCCACAAACTTTGAATTGTGTGTACAGGTAGAGCAAAGAAAGAAAATTGCGGCAAAAATGAACATCTAGCTAACAATTTGATGATTACTTGAGAGTCCATTGAGGAACACAGTAGCTCAAGAACTTTCATTGGTTTCATGTCACAGAATGACCCGACATTGAAATCTATATACACTAGATCTATGACTAAATCTAACTATACAATATGTTGTTTGTTGTTTTTGTCTTGACTGACTTGCTTTGTGTAAGCTTAAAAATAGTATGTACATATATGTACACACATCAATAAAAAAACAGCATTTTGAGAGATTATATTATATATACATATATATACATGTGTACTGAAAATCTTGGAGTACATATTTATCTTGGGTAGATCTGCATAGTTAAAGAATTGATTACCATTAGCGCCCTGCATAATTAAATTAGGCTGACAGTGCTGATTACGGGATGGGCGAAAACCCTGCAAAAACCCATCAGGGAAAAACAGGGAAATTCCCACCCGGCTCCACGTTTCTGTGGCAACCAAGTTAGTCAACTCCGTAATCCAACACCATGCTTGGATCTACTGAGTATTACAAGGAGAGATATGCCTCATAATGTGCAGAAATCTAACTGAACGTTCACAAAGGTTGGAATTTAAATAAAATTAGACAAATGTCTCACAGAACCTTGTGCCAATTTAGGTAATTTTGTTTTGGTTTGTATTGGTCTACTCTTTGTTGTAATGCTTACTCACTGTAGCGTCCTGATGAAAATGGACACTATGCCGGTGAAAAAAGTTGATACTTCCTTATAATGTGTTGTGGGAGATTCTTAATAAGACCATAAACTTCCATATCTGAAGTAGACATAGGAGTACTTTCTGCATCAATGGCGCTGTGTAAAATAGCAATGTCATTGGCACTGACAACTTGATTTAGGTCCTCATCTGATGGGAATAGGGCACAGTAAATCATTGTCTCTGAGAACTGGGCAGGTCAGGCTTGGACAAGTCCTCATCTGATTGGAATATGGCAGAGTAAATCATTGTCTTTATGAGAATTGGGAAGGTCAAGCTAGGAAAAGTCCACCTTACAGCACAGGGGGGGGGGCTTTGAGTGGGCTTAAGATGCAGGCTTCAGGAGAGATAACCAACTGTAGATGGGAAAGCACTGCATTCTTTCTCCAGTGCGCCAGCCGTTGCACTCTAAGATGAACCCATTAGTATCTGGAGAGGAGGTGAAAACAAAATTGATTAGAAACTTTCTTGCGAATGTAAGATAAGCTTAAATCCATAAAACAGCCCAAATTTTCATGTGTGACATATGAACAGAGCAAAGCAAAGGCTTGTCATATATTCATAGAACCTTTCTTTTACTTAATAAAAAGTACAAAGTATCTTTTAAAACATCTATCAAATATGAAGCGGATGCATGTAAGTATTACAAACCCCTACTCTCCATTAAAAAACATTATACAGAATCACTTTCCTGACTAAGTCAACAACATGCAATATTCATTCTAGTCTAATTCAATAACCCTAAAAATTCTTGTATTAACATCCATGCAGTCAACTGGCAATGTGCCAAATTCACTAAGTTTTATCTGCTTTACGCAATGCCTCAAACGGAGAGGTTGTAGGTCATTTTACAACATTTTTCTGTGAAGTTGGCTACTTACGGCACTTGAAGCAAACCCTATACATGTAACTGTTTCAGCTTAAAAATTATTGTCGAGACGTTGGTGTAGTAGTTCATAGAATTCATGGTTGGTGGTCATCTATGGTTTGTTAAAAAAATCAGTGGCAAATTGGGACAAATTGATTGTTATTAAACACAGTTTTGATAAAAATATGAACAAATGAGGAAACTTCAGTAGGAGAGTTTAACATTACAGTGTCCCTGAGGTACATTTTGGGGAAACAGTCAACATCCAAGCATCATATCGTTTTCTACATTTGAAATTTTGTGTGTGATCGGATAATGCTAAATTCAACTTACAAAGATCAAGGGGTATTTATGAAAGAGCAGTTGTGAAAAACAAAAGCAGGGGGTATGCAGGATGTTGACTATGAAATGGGGAATGTTTCATGGTGCACTGTATCATGAATCCCTCCTACCCCAGTTTATTTCTCTTTCAAATGAATTGCCTCACAGTTGTTCATAACTGTCCAGTTGCAGCTGTTTCCTTTGAGACAGATCATGAAAAAAAAGCACAGTTCTAGCCAAATTACAAGCCAGCAGGAATGGGTGACCCTGGAATAGCATCCCCCACTTTTGTAAATGAATGCAGATCATGTAATCTTACATCCCATGGCAAAAATGGTGTTCCAATCTAACAGGCTTATTAAAGTATAAAACCCTAGCAAGGGCAGATTGGGGCAGGGGAACCACAGAGGCCGTGTCCCCCCAGCATTTTTTTAGTTTTTTTTTTTATAAAACCACACTAAACATTTTTTTGAATAGTATTTCTTTTGAAAACTGTACAAGAAAGTCCCAAATGTGGCCTCATCCTTCAGAAAGGCTACGTTGGTTACATTAAATTCCCCATTTTTTCTGGTCCCCCCCAACCTGGGTCCCCTTTGAAGTTTAGGCACTAAATTCTCTAAAAAGGCATTCTAGAGAATAAATATGTTCAAACAGAAGTCACCTTGCCACGTTCATCAATACACCAAACCCAATTCCTGCCATCCAGTGCTGTCACAGCGTCCAGGTCATAGTTGCCTGGCCCAAAAGTGTGATGCCGATCCAAGGCGCTTCCGTTCTTCAGACTGAGCGTAAAGGGTGTTGGGATCTGAATCCAAGAAGTCAGTTTAGTGTAGAAAATGAACTTGTTTAATCAGCAGTTTGTCCTTTGATAAGTGCGAATCTCCTGATTTTAAGAAATCCTCATGAGAAACCGCAGCATGTTGCTGTAACATCTATTTAAGTTTGCACAGTCAAGTACCTGCATTGCACAGAGTGCAACTGAGTTTCAAATGATAACGCTGAAGAGTGCATATTCGCTCTTCGCATGCTGCTGCCATACGCATGCAGAGCATCAACCTGGCAGCCGTTTCAGTGATGCCTGGGACGCTTAGCAATTTTGCGTGCGTTAACTAAGCTCTTATGCCATGTGATTGGACAATATTTCAAAAAGCTGTGTTGACGCGATTCTGAAGCGATTCCACAAACTGCCAGTTCGAGGCTCTGCATGCCTATGATGGCAGGTTGCAAAGAGCGAATACACTAGCAACATGCCATTCCAACAAGATCCCATGGAACTGGCATTACTTTTCAGTGAAAATAAACTTTTCCACATTACCTGCTTGCAAAGTGCCTCAGCCACATCTGCGGCAGTATTTGAAGATGGAGAGAGTTTTATCTTGACAGGTTCACAATCCCCGTAGTGGACAGTCACAAATATACCTACAGTTACACATATGAGACATTTGTTCTTGAAGCAACCAGTCCATTAATACCTCGGTCTTTATGGAAATATTCAATACCAACTTTCTGTTTGTGCACGATCCCTCAAAGATCACAACACCAGAATACTGCGCAGTCCATCTTATCACAAAATTAGACCGTGGACCGCCAGTCCAGTCTTGTGCGATTCAAGTCGCAATTTGTGCTGCTTCACTCTCGTGCAGGCTAAGGAAAGGGTGAAGATGACACTACCCAAGTCAAATTTGAAAAGCCAACTTAAACGTCACGCGGATGGTGTAGTACGTGGATGAGCCTGATAATCACTTTTGGGGGGGATTTGGTCGTTGAATACAAAGAATAAGCCCACTAGAAGGGCTGTCCCTCGACATGTCTCCAACAGCGACATAATACTACAGTATCGTTGTACTATAGTATTTCCACTAATCGTTTGACTATGATGCATACTGTACTTGCAAAAGACTGATCTTTCTGGACAGGCCAGACAAACATCTTTACTTTTCTCATTAACATGCTGGGTGCATCTGGGTTGACATGCACATGGATGAGGGCATAAAATATAGCTGGTTCTGTGTACAAGAGAACGCTGAATCAAAACTGAATTGAAACTTTACGGGATACTCGCGATCAATGTTTTAATGTATGCAAAGTTAAAAACAAAATCAGTTGTATAACAGCCAGATCCCCCTCCCACAGTGAGATGCCCCCCCCAATGTGGTTCTTTCAAGGCTGAGCTCACAGAGGAGAATCTAAGATTTTCCAAAAGGTAGGGAGCGTGATTCCAGTTTTTTTTTTTAAGGGGGGGGGCTGTGAACTAAAGCAGTACATGTAATGATAAAATGCCCGTACGGCGTGGGGTCCGGTGCCATTTTGGATTCCAGGCACTCTGTGGTGCAATTTCAGATTAGTATGACACCTCTTTTTTTCCTTCTCCTTCCCTCTGTCTTCTCTTTATTTATTTATTTTTTGGGTGAAAAGGGGGGGCGTGTCCCCACCCCTCGGATTTGCCCCTGCTTACCTTTGACACCATGGGGGATTGTACATGTATCTCTCTTCTCTGTTTCATCATGCGTCAGTGCTCCTGCTTCGTCAGTGGACAGACCATCCTCTGAAGTTTGTGAATCCACATTATTTAAGCTGTCATCCGGAGGTTGCCTGCTCAGAAGAAAAGAGGCAATTGGAAGTGGTGTTAGTGCTATTTGTAAATATACAGCACAGATCTCTGAAGAACACTTCATGCATTGACATGAACCACATTAATTCAATTTTTTTAACCATGTTCATTACTCAAATGATGGTCAGTCATTGTCAACTCCAGATACATGTATTGAGATCTGAAAAAATCTGTGTATGTTTATTTGAAAGTAATTTTTACATTCAAGTACCGCCTAGACTGTTTACAACCAAGTTATTTGCTGTTTCGTGCTATCTCTGGATTTCATGCGATTACTTAGGAGGGGAAATCTTTCCAGATTTCTACCACATTCCTCCTTTTGTAAGGAAGTGGGTCGGGACAACTTATTACAGAGACAGACTCATTGAGCAACACCCATGTTCCTGTGAACATCACCAGTCAAGATTGGGTACCCATGACACGAAGACTCGGCTTCTGCATTGTCTGAGGAGGCTGCTTGTCCTTGTGCATGTATGACTGTGTCTATGGAACAGCCAATAAGCTGGCTGCAGCGGCTTCTAACGGATTCATGCAATGTTTCTGACCACAGCTAATGATAGGTACGGGAGTTCATCCACTCACCTCGTCTCACTGACAGCATATTTGTTGGATTTATAATCAGCTGCTGGTGGTTCACTCACAGTAGCAGGAATGCTGTACAGTTGTTTCACTGTTTCATTAAGAGCATAAGAAAAGCGCTTATGTCTAGAAAGTGTCATGTCACCTGTTCTGAATGACTACACTGACCTGTCTAAGGCCAGAAAATGTAGAACCACTTTACTTGTTTACTTCATGAAAACATGTATGAGCTTTTTCAGTGTTCAGTAACTTTTTTGTGAAGCAACACTTACCGATACTCATGGGGCAAGCGTCAAAAACTTCTTTTGAAGTTGGCCTTTGGTTTAATGAAACCTTGTGTGCCCATTCGATGAACGTTCGGAGCTCCCCATTGGTTGATCTAGGTATATCCACATTTGGATAATCCTATTGAAGGATTGACAAGAACAAAAGCTTTTCCACTGAACAAATTCTATGCAGGAGAACCTTCGCAGCAATGGGATGTTGCTGTGAATTCTCCATTTGTTCAGTACGTACACTTAAAGTCTTGTGATTGCTTTTGAAGAAGTTGGGTGAGTCCATTTGATATATTCCTTCATTTCAAAAAGTCTTCCGCAGCAAGACAATGTTAATTAGTTGCTTCAGGGTTTAGTGCGACACTAGTTGGAGAGCCACATGAACAAAGTTTTTCAACCGAGTTTGCTAACAGGAACCAACTATACTTGGTTGTGGCTTCCATGAATGCGTACATGGATGTAATTTCCTGCTAATTTATTTGGACAATGTCTCATGTTTAGTGACTATTGCATCACAGTGCCCTACATCTAAACAGCTATGAAGGCTACGGCCTAACAACAATGTGTAGAAAAACAGACTTGCACATGCAGAGTCGGAGCCACACACGAGACAGTGAAATGGAAAAACAAAAATACAGCAATTCAAAAATTCAAACGGGAATTTCACACACCTGTTAAGTGCTCCGAGTTCACTGACTGAGTGATTCAGTGTTAAACTTTCTGATGTGTCATTTGTGCTGTGTGCTCCCTCACCCAATGAACCCGGTATGAGAAGTTATTTTCTGTAAGCTTACCCCGTATCGTTTCCCAATCCACAGAGCATGCCCCTTGAGCTGGAACATTAAAGTGCATATGGCAGACCAGACATCAACACGTCCATCATATGGTTCACCTCCTGATTAAAAAAAAAATGGAAACAGCATATGAAGTATCATAAATGTACGGCAGTGGAGAAAGAAGCACTGAACCAAGGAATTCCATCCATATGATCAACGTAAGCATTTCTGTCCTACAGATACATGTTTGTGTACATATTTGCTCATTACTTTCGATCTCAGGGGCCCTGTATGCTGCGTTTCCCTCTGGGCTGTAATCACTCGTAGTGTGCGTCCTGCCAGACAGTTTTACAGAGGTCCCAAAGTCAATCAGTTTGATGTACTCGGGCAGGTCTGAATTCGAAGGGAGAGACTTCACAAGGACGTTACTGGCTGCATTGAAGAAGAAAATTACGAAGGTGAAAACTTCAATTTGTTTTCAGATGCTGAACTCAAGTTGAGTGCAGAAGCCCATAAGGGTCACAAGCAAACAAATCTGGGGAGTCCTCGTGGTTGGCATAGTGCTTCTTTCTTCGCCTTCCACCTCTGCAGTCTGGGCTTGATTCCCGTCATGGTCCGCGCATGGATTTGGTTTTCAATTTCTGCTACACATGATGGACAATGACATCATGTTGCAGAATTTGAGAGAAAAATAACTAAGAAACAAAAAGACGAAAAATATTGGCGGAAAGAATATCTCAAATCTTTACTCACGGTAAACATCTCTGTGAATTATTTTCTTCTCATGCAGATACACCAGTGCTGCAAACAACTGCTGGATTATGACTACCGCTTCTCCTTGACCGATTGGTCTCCGGTCTACGCGCAACTGAAGTGTCTCATAGTTACAGTCATACTCCGACGCAAACATGATAGAGTTGTCATCACATATCAGACCAAACAGGCTATTAATGTTCCTGTGGTTGAGGCCAACCCAAATATCAGACTCGCTGGACACAAAATGTCCCCATTCAACCTGAAAGCAGAAAAAAGTGTTGTTCCTATGGAGATTTTTTTTAAATAACAATCCACTTCACTTGTTTTGCATCAACTTTTATTGTCAATTTATCCACATTTTTAATTGGCCAAGGGTAGACAAATTATCCCACTCAAATGGATAACTCAATAATTTTTAAGCCTCTTGACAACTGAAGCAGTTGATGACTTACACATTTCAAAGCAGCCATCGCTCCTGAGGTGGTGTCTTGAATGACGTGGACTTTGCTGTGCGCACCCTCTCCTACATTCTGTTTGATGCACTTAACCCCAAACTGTCCATTCTTGGGGACAAATCCGCTCTACAAACAACAGAACCTTAGTGTGACTCACTCAGATTTCAAAATTAATTTGATATCACGATTTAGAGTGATTTAAGGAGACTAAAGGGAACTGTGATAGTTTCAGGAATGTTCAGATGTTCAGATGTGTACGGATAACGATAATATACATGTATTGGTGCCTTTGAATGACATAATCGCTAGAAAAGATGGTAGGTGCCCCATAAATGCTCTGATATTATTTTCAGAGTTCGGGTAACATTGCCATCTGGAAATGGGGTTCATTAAATTTAGATTCGTTTTAACAATTAGCACTCTTCGTGTCATTTGAAGAAACTGAATATTTTAGATGAAAAATCAGAAATTCACAAAGTCATGGTTGTCCCCATGACATTTGTTGGAACAAATCTCAAGAGTTGAGAAAGTTAGAGTCCCTGGACTTGAAATGTGAAAAGGTCTTGTTGCTCTTGAAAGAAAATACTGTTGCTAGAACTTGCTAATTCTTTCATGAAGAATATGAAGGACTTTGGTGTGGATATGCATAGTGCTTGAATTCACTTTAACTGGACAATTTCAAGACTGATGCTGGAAATCCAATGACAATACCTTGGTGGAGAGTAGTCCTTCTTGTCCTCTTTCTAGGCTAAACTGTTTTGAAACAAGTTGTCCGGCAAAGGTGATCATATCATCCTCATCACCTGATCTCACCGTTGGTGGCAATCGCTGCCAATTATCAGTTTTCAGATCAGGAAGAGATATTTGGCAGTCTTCTTCAGGTTGACTGGTGATGCCATCATCTGTGACATACCTTTCGAATGCTGCAGCGGAACCAGAGGAAGAGTGAGGGGTAGGCCTAATGATGGGCGGAACAGTGGGTCCTTCGTCCCCCCCTCTGCCCACGTTCGCTTCATTGTCACCAGCCTCCGGTGGGCGTCTTTGGTCTTGGCTGTTCTCTCTTGGACTGGAAGACCATTGAGCTATCGGGACTCTTCCAGTTCTACCATGGTCTCCACCAACGTGCACCTTTGGGATTGCCCCAGTCTGTCTACATTCGGAATCCCTGTGCCCGTCGTTTGTCGGAGACACAGCCTTTTCTGTCAACGTTAGCTCCTCCGCAGACGATGAATCACTCCCGTCTCTCTGAGGGTCTTCACAGCCTAAAGGATATGTTGTTTGACAGCCACTGTCATCTTCATCATCACTTAGTTTTGCTTTCACCAAATTACGACTTGCATCAGATGCTGCCATTTTTGGAAAGGATGCAATACGACCAGTTGTTTGGTACATTTAGAAAAACAACGTACGGTTGTACTATTTTCATCGGGGGTGGATGCAATATTTACAATGAGTCTTTCCAATTTATTTCTACAAAATACAGGTATGCTTGCTTTAGTCTTTGGTTTAATGAAGACAAGATCCCCATGCAAAAAACAGCTCTCTACGGAAACCGGTACCTTTTGGGGAATTCCCGACTGTGAGCAATTGCGTTGTTCGTGTTTGTGACGTGGCGGTGCAAAGTTATAGATGGCGCTCTGCCCAGTAACAATAACAGAGGCAGACGTTCGCGGAAGTCACTGCTTGGTCACGTGAGCGCGGGCGTGGTCACAGCAGCGCGAAGGCTATAAAAGGCGCGCGCAGTTAAGTACAGTAGTACTCGTCTATCTTGATCAAGGGCTGATCCTGAGGTAAGTATTAAGGGTCGAGAATCGTGTGCAAGGGTTAAAGTCACCTAGCCTAGTGTGTCTGTGCCTAAGTCCGAGTGGTGCGTGTGTTGTTGAGGGGCTAATTAGTGGTACGGTATAGTTCCTAATAGGAGCTTGCGGTCGATGCAAAGCGCATGGGCGGATTGCTATCTCGTGACGTGAGTTGCGTGTAGCGCTAGCGCAGCCCTGACAATGAGCCCCGTAGACTTGCTAAGTCCCTGATTCGGCACTGGATGTGCCCACAATTAATTGTGGTGTTCGCTGCTCTGGGAGAAATCTGGTCACGACACAGTCTCCCCGTCAATAGCGCCCTCTGCTGGTGTATTGTTTCAGTGTTTTGATGAATAAACCAGCCGCTTGTTAATTGTTGTATATAAGTCAGGTGTCCAGGCAAAGTTTATTTCAAGTCAGGTCTGTCCGGGCTACGTCATTAAGTTTCGACCAATCAGATTAGCCATCATCTCGACAAAGACCAACTTTCTTGGGGGACGGTATGTATACTTCGGTTCCAACGGACTCGTCCCTAGCCGCTCAGGGACTCTCTGGCGTGCCGTCCGACGCGCCATGCGTCGAGGACGAGGGCGCCCTCGCCTTCGTCGGAGGGCGCAGCGTCACAGTATGAGCAGACAAAGTGTACAAAATTCGCCCAGCAAAGTTGTATCGGATTTAAAACCAAGATGTAAAAATTTGTTAAATCATTCTCAGTAATGTTTGTATTCATATTATTAAGTACCTGTAATTAAAATCTGGTGTTTGGATGAATGAATGAGACTCTTTTTCAACCAGTGCGTTATTATCTATTTCGTTGACGGCCAGCCATGCTTCCACCTGACATGGTTTACACGTGACGCGAACAGATTTCTCGCACCGTGATTTGGCGTACGCAACAAAAAGAATAATTGTAGGGCTTGCCTTGGACCTGTAATCGTAGTTGGTTGGTAGAACACAAATTGGTACGTATCGTCTCCGTTGGGAGTGCGTCAGGTCAATTAAGGGAGCGTCCTGGGCGGGCGATTGAGCAGATTTGAGCAATTGGTGCGTGGCGCTCACTGATCTCTATTAATAATACACTTACAGTTTAATAGAGGGTGCGTTC